TCGCCAGTTGATATACTTGTCATGGCGCATAATCTTCTCCTTGCGCTCGAGCCACCGCGTCATCTGCACAAATTCATCTTTGTGATTTGTAGCACGGTAAGCGTCCTTCGCGAAATCGATGTGAAGTCGTTCGGTATACTCAGTGTTATAGTTGTCCGTTGTACCAAACATCATAATCATGGCAGAATAGTGGCGAGCGGCATGCAGTTTAGGTAAATTAAATTAGAACGGATACCGAGGTCAATGAAGATATCCTTATTCTTGTGGAAAAGGTCGAGTGCGTCATCCAGGAGCTGTAGTGACTCCAAGCTATGACATGGATATTGAGCAAGATAGAGGAAGTCCAGTAGGCCTTGCACTGCTCGTAGAAGACGGCCCGCATTTAGATTATTGGGCAAACGGATGCCGATGACGATGCCAAGGAGAAAACGGCAGATTTGAGCGTGTTCAGTTCCGCTTATACGCGACAAGCAGGTGATACCCTTGCTGAACAAATGTATATGGTGATTGGGAGGAAGACGGCGACACCGAGCGTCAATTTCGGCTCCTCCGCACGCGGCTGATAACCAACCTAAGAGATGCTTTATCAAGCCTTGATATAATTGATGTAACACGTCTGGTGTGATTGCACGGAATATGTTGGTGAATGGGAGATCTTCCCAGAAAGGATGGACAATGGGCTTGATGCCTGCTGCCGCGCAAGCACGTACAAATGATAGATTCCCTTCGTCAAGGGCAGCGAGGGCATCTAGCACCTTGGTTAGATTCCGTAGATGAAAAGGAGCCGTGTTGCTACCCGTGTCGTCCGCGTCCACGTCGCATTTTGGGCACTCTCCGAACTTGATCCCAGTCACAAGAAGCTGTTCTGGGTAGTCACCCACAAAGCTGGCAAATAATGGGTGGCAACGGCGGAGGGCACCATCCCCACTAGCCATACGAAGTCCATCTACTCCTATGGACTTCAGCGGAGCGAGAACACGACGCAAGCATGCGTGATAAAGGTTTGCCAAAGTCCGGCGGCGTGAAGCTTTGTTGGTGATATGCTGAAGGCGTGTACAAGGTAAATAAGCTAGAAGTATATGTGCCCCATGCGAAGGCTTGCGTCGTATTTCCTTCGGGATGTTGCCAATGGTGAGATACACAGGATAGACGGACTTGTTGCGGAACAATGTGACTTGTGTTTTGTCGGACGAGATAATGATGGGAATGATGGTGCCGCCTGGATTATCCTTGTCGAGTTTTTTCTAAAGTATTGTAAGTATCATATCTCATACAGACATAATGTCATTCGTACCTGTGTATCCCACCACCATTTGCCGGTGTGCATATCATGAAAGAGATGAATCGTCTCGTCTTCATCAGAATAATGCCGCTCAGGCGCAAATGCTAGATATTTGGCGAAGTCCGGATCACCATACAACGACTTGACACATTCGATGACGTCGCGATAATAGATGTCAAACGCTTCTCCAGCGACCACGATCTGCTCGCGTTTGAACTTAGGACGGCCAGTCGGAAGCCCATGGTCGACAATAGCGTTCAGCTCATTCGCATTCTTGAACGAGAGTGATAAGCGTTCACTGATCTGAGAATCAAAATCATTAGTTAGTACAACGACTTTCGGAACAAATAGTATCCAACTCACCCCCTCGATTGCAAGCAAATCTGACAATGCCGTCGAACTCAGACCACGAAGCTTGGCCCATCTGGCGACCTCCCATTCCATCTTGGATGCAAAAGGGTGATACACATTCTCCTCCTCATTGGCCAGATGCGCCTCGTATTCTGCGTTTGCAGCACAACCGCGTGTTATTTGCTGACCAGCACGCAGATCTGGGTAGGGCACCACCACGCAACCACGCTGCCCTTGCACACGTGCTTGAATATCCTGGTGAGCACGGCGTTGATCTTCCCAGCCAGCTTCATCTTCATCGGCCAAATCCTCGATGGCATCCATGGTCGCGTCCTCGACTCGATCTTCAACGGGAGGCTCCCATTCAGGTTCAAAATTCCACCCCTCATCATCATCCTCGTCCCCAGCCTCAGCCTCGCCCCCAGCCTCAGCCTCGTACCCAGGCTCGTCAACCTCGTACCCAGGCTCGTCAATCTCATACCCAAACTCGTCAACCTCGTACCCAGGCTCGTCTTCTGCAGTCGGCTCGTCAGGCTCATCTCGTTGGTCCCTGGTATGTACTTGGGAGCGCGACTGATGGTACAGTGCTCGACAATGTGGGTTGTGGCTCTTGGCCAGATGTTGACTGAGACCAGTTACCGTGAAATCGTCACGGGAACAAGCAGGGCATTGAGTGGACATAGCTATGTTGCTGCGATCTTGGAGATAAGGGCCTTGAGTGTGAGTAGAACTAGAGTAGAGGAGGTGGATCAGTCCTCCAATGAACAATACACCTTGTAAGACGATATACCTTGAGTGCGCGATGCTAAAATTTCCAGGGAGCGAAAACTTCTGGGGAGTGAGACCGTAACGACAGCACCATGAGGACATCCCACTAACCTAATCAAGGGGGGTTCAGGTAATCCAGGGCCTGTACAACCAGCTGGTCGGCCGTGACGCGGTTGTTGATTCCAGCGCTGGTCAGCCATGACACGGTTGTTGATTCCAGCGCTGGTCGGCCATGACGCGGTTGTTGATTCCAGTGCTGGATGGCCGTGACGCGGTTGTTGATTCCAGTGCTGGTCGGCCATGATGCGGTTGTTGATTCCAGTGCTGGATGGCCGTGACGCGGTTGTTGATTCCAGTGCTGGTTGGCCGTGATGTGGTTGTTGATTCCAGCACTGATAAGCGCCAGACAATCCTGGCCGTCCTTTGAAAATTTCAAAACAAAGTTACAAATGAACACCTGAGGTAACGAGTGTCAGCTTATATGAACCTGGGCGCATGGAATGAGCTCACCATTTCAACTGCCTCCCTGGGCGACGCCCCTTGAAACTGGGGCCACGCACTCAAATTTCACGGAGCCCTCCGAGTCTGAGGCTCGACTCTTTTTCCTTCCAACGTTCTTCGTTAGCTTGTTGTCGCACCTTTCAATCTATATACAATGTCCTGCACCTCCTCAGTCTCGTGGTGAGTGACGAGTCCACGCCAACAACTCACCATCAGCGTAGTAGACTCACTGGGTGTCCATAGAGCCGCGAAATGCAAAGAAAAAGGCTATGGAAAATGCAGGTAAGCATGCGAGTCTTGACCGAAAAATTGATACTCACCTCCAACTTGAGTATGGATGCCTACTAAGTCGGCAAGGAAAGTCGCTCGTCAACTTGAGGCGTCTCCAGACCCACCATCAGCTGCCATTGCGAAGCCTAAACAAGTCAAAGAGAAAAAGATCAGCATCGGTGATCTTTGTTTGATGCCATATAAGCCAACTACTCACCTCGAATCAGTTAATGTGCCGCGCACAAACTTGAAAGTAGATCCCGCGCCAACCACTGCCAGCCTTGCTCGTAGCAACAAAGGTTTAGTACCTGCGAGACTGAGTGAGTCACAAATGAAACATAAACATTGGTACTAACCTTAGTGGCCCATGATAGAGCGCAAACATACCAGCGCCAGTGTTACAGAAGACGAGGAGGAGGATGGCGAAGAATCTGATGGCAGCCTTGCGGACTTGGAACGTGATAAGCCTCAGAGGCCTCAAGGTTAGTCATGATGATGATGTAACTTACTCACATGACCGTGTACACGTGACAGCCATTTATGGTCGTCCTCGCAAACTCTGTCGCACATACGCCATGCGTGACGTCTCTGCGTTATTCGAGTCTGACGAAGATCAGGAGGAGGAAAATGGTAGCGATTCTGACGCTGACCGTGAGGAGAGTGAGGGTGAGCCTGGGGATCTGGAGTCAACCGCCATGATGCTCTCTGACGAGGTGAGTGAAAGTTGTTTACTTCAATATAAGCTGTAGTACTCACCACAGTCACGGTGACGGCGTGTCTCAAGGTCCCTTCGCTTGTCGGCAACGTTAAAGTCAACTTGAAGTCAACGCAGGTTAAATCCCGTGGCAAAACCCAGTCTGCCCATGATGCCAAACAAGCTGCAGAGGTGAGTCACGGTGTATACTATGTATTGAACTGACACAATCTTTAGATTCCAACCTGGCGCGATTTCGACAATGCTGAGTCCACTGACGGAACCACTACTGCTTGTGGCGAGTCCTCTGAGCCTTACTCTAGCGACGTCGAAGGTGCTCCGGAACCCAACTCTGCACTGACTCGATCGGCTCAGACCGTTGCTGCTCTCGTTCGAACGGAGAAGGGACATGTCAAATTACTTGATCAAAATAACGAGACTCGGCGAGTAGTGCGGGATGCGATTATTGATGCCAAAGGTTACATCATCTTTGTCGATGCTTATCCTGAGCTAGTCGACAAAAACCAAGTTGCACTGCAGTCTCTACTAACAGTGGCTGCGAATCGTGGAGTACACGCCATCAAAGAACGTCTTCGAACCGATGCGCAGTATGCGGCTCACCTCGCTAGTTTAGTAAGTCCTTTGCGTGTCTCAATTTTTCTTATGTTTTAACTATCTTTCATTACTTGAGGTGGAGCCTCGCATTCCGTTACTGCGCCGTGACCTTAAAGTCGCCGCGTGCACCAACATTGATACTTACTTTCGGCTCAGCAATAATGTGGTCAAGGCAAAGAAATTGATGGAGCAGCATGCGTATATCTATGCATTGAAGTTTGATGTAAGTAAATTTGTCCTTCGGTCTTCGCTGCTAGCCTCTGACTAACATTCTTCATCAACAGTTGAACGACGATGCTTCACCCATAGGCAAAAAACCCTACCAGGGTGACCTGCTGATCTTTCTCATATACGAGGCAGTCTTTAGCGGTCCGAAGTCTATCGGCATCAAGTTCGTCAAGCGCTTTGCCAAACTGGCGAACAACAAGGGCAATCGTCCTGAATGCCCCATTCCGTTACTCGCACTTGTGGCAACAGCAGGTACCATCCTTTCTACCAATCTCTGTGCTATATTGATTCGTTTTACAGGTCTATGCAGCCCTTTTCTGGAAGACACTCGGCTCACCAGGGAAGTTTAACTTTACAGGGAATCAATTCAGCGAGACGTATGTGTTTCATGTCAAGTTCCTCGAGGACTTGAAGTGGGATGCACCGGGAAAGTTTCATTGCATGATGGCTGATATTTACGAAGCTGTACAGTAAGTTTTACAGGTATTCATGGTGCCATTTCAACTCGGATACTGACTCTGCTACTCGAAGGACCTTGAAACGGAAGGGGAACAATCATTTCGTTAATGAGCATCGAGATGCACTGGGGCTACTCGACCTGGATGGAATGGCAGATGATTAGGTCCTGTATTCATGCTGATCTATACCTGTAAACATCCCAGATTCGTGTATCACACCTTAATTTGCCTAGTCCTCCAAGTTGGCTGTGTTATGTATATCCTTTGATCAAATATTAGTCTTTTTTGCTCGTAATACCATCTAATGTGCGCGATTCGCTATGCTACGTTCGAAATATATTCTCTGAATTTCTCGATATTGCCTTTGAATTCATGATAATTATCCTTTATATACAAGGGAGTAAAAAAGTCTTTCTAAACTAACTAATCATTCTAAAGCCCATAATTTGAGATAATTCAAGAGGATTACCGAGAATTATCATAGTTTAAAGTAATTTCCTGGGGGAGGGTTTTCCTGATGATGCATGAGAGGCCGAGACAAACTCGAAAGACATTTGAGTCATTGGCTGATCACCTGGTCACACGTATCCGAGAGTCAAACTCACGTTCCCATTGGCTGCCAAATTGCCAATAGCTGATTGGCCTAACTCAGTGTTTGAAGTTCCAGTGGCAGGCCATTGGCTGGCCAGGAAAGAAGACATGGCGGTTGGCGCCGCCATGAACATGGCTATGGCTTTTTCTCACCACGTGGTAGATGGATCCCGCGCTGTGATTGGCTGATCGGATCTAAGCGAATCAAACTGTACTACACATCATATCATCGAAACTTTGCTCATGCTCTTCACCTTCTGCATCCATTTCAACAAGCTCATAAAACTCCAGCTCATCATCAAGGGATCTCATGCCTATCCTCTCTGTCAATTTTGTCCAGGTATCATCCGAGAAATTGAATAGTTGTTGTAGTGTGATTTGTTCGAACTGAGATGTGAATGTGTCTGTTGGATCTTCGACATCGTCCAACGCCGATTGGTGACTGAGGGCTTCGGCAATGGAAGCTAACGAGTTTTCATCGACGACAGAATCAAATTCACTCATATCGGACGTGGTTTTGGGTTCGATTTCCGAGTCATCAGTCATAGAAGTTGATATGTCCTGGTTCTGATGGGGGAATGGGTCGGGAATGATATGCCTGGGACGACGAAGGCGATCTTTCATGCTTCCCCTGCGCATGTATTCGTCTCGTAAATGTAACCTAAGCTCAGCAAGATCGAGCATTTTTTCAAGCCCAAGGCGCGACCGTAACTTGGTAAGAATCTGTCACAACCCTTATAATGAATTAACGTAGGGGCAGAGACTAGGACTCAAACAAGGTTATCACAACAAGAGAAAGGAGGACAGCAGGTACGTCTTAGGATTGCTAGCAATGAGCTAATACAAAAGAGGTTTGAACTAAAGAACTACTGACTACAATGAGCTACCTATATACATATATTGAAGCGGAGACTGAATCTGAATCTGAACTAACTAACCAATCATTAAATAGAAAAGAGAATCGTACGATGATCTAAATATAACTACACCTATGATGTCATGAAATGTGTAACAGCTGTGCAAGGGTTCTCGAAGGTTCTAGAGTCACGTGACTTGATCATTTGTGAAAGAAAGTCAAAATCAGGAATGTCAGAGATAAAGGTAGTGGGCGCTAATGGAATAGAGAAGTTCGGATATGTAAAGGATGTGTTCGGGTTAAGGTTTGTGAAAGTTATAGGTACAGACGCTGACTGGGCGCTAATGACAGGCGCTTGTAACAGGCGCTTAACGGGTGTCTCACGAATGTCTTTGTGAGTTTCACAAGTGTTCAAGAAAGAATAATGATTTGTATTTGGAATTCGTGACAGAATCATACCAAAAAGGCTGAATAGCCGTTCGCAAGATGCAGAGTTTGCGCAGATAGAGAAAATGCGCTGTGCGATCATCTGCAGTGGTGATAGTGACTGGTTCTGAAAACGAATGCCTTCATACATTCGCAGGGGATCTGGCCGTTCACGCTGCATAATAGATCTTATTATATAAATCAAATGAATAAAAAATGAAATTACCTGCGCTTCAGCAGCATTCTGTTCACCTACAGCCCACTCAGAAAACCCCTCATAATTGCCACGATCCTGCAGATAGTCAAGGATTTCTTGACAAAGTGATTCTGGGGGTGGCGAGGAATGAAATCGTTGCCAAAGTTTGAGCAACAAGGAGGTGATGCTAGCCATGGTGAATTGTCGAATCTGCGCAAACAGCTTGGCCTTATAGAGGGGGTTGAGAATGATGGCGGCAATGAAAACTGTTTGATCACTCTTGCTCCAGTGCTTTTCAAGTGAGTCGATGATTGCACGAATCCCGATTTTGTCGTCAGTAGAAGTTGCTGTGGTTGATAAGTTGAGATATCTGGACATCAGATATCCCAGGATAATCAGGACTTCGTCTAATTGGCAATGTGCAGCCTGAGCAAAATTTACGGCCATAGCAAGTGGCCCAATATGAGTGATCATTCTGACGGGAAAATGGACATTGTGTCAATATGAGACAATGCAAATTGAATGGGACAAGTACTTGGCCAAAATATGCCACATCAATGGTTCTTCAATCAATTCTAACATTTGCTTTGCTTTTCGGCGGGATGCAGCATCACCTGTGACTATTTTTGCATCACCAGTATCACGGTCCCTTTCTTGCTTCACAAGGATCTCCAGCGTAGTCCTCAAATCGAGCAGACGCCTGAATGCTAAATAGTGTGCTGTCCATCGTGTCAGCACTGCACGGATTACACCAAGAACCCGTTGTGTCCGAGATGGGTTTGCAATATTGAGAGCCTTCTGGACATCCCTGAGCATGGCCAGAACCATTGTCTTGCTCCAAAGCCAAGCAATGAGATCAGTGGCCTTCTTCGTGTACTGTAGGAACTGTGATGTTGATGGAACCTTGTAGTAATCACCGACAACTAAATTTATCTGGAAGATTGAACTGAGATTTCGAGAACATGATACGGTATAATATTCTCACTTGATGGGCAAAGCAATCAGGGGCAACAAACTACAGAAATTCAGCGACAATTCTTTTCCTTGCTGCTCTGGATTCGCCCGAAGCATCTGATGTGATCGCTACTATTGTGGCCTTCCATTTACCCTCGACCTCCTTGACCACATCAAGGATGAGAATTTTGAGATGGTCAGCTGTTTTCCAATCCGAAGAGACATCCGTTGCACGAACAGTATGCACCTGCCAGACACTTCTGAGAATATTATCAAACACATATTTTGAGGCACGCACTTCTCGTTTCGAAGTTGTTATCATAAATGCAATCAAATGACGGAAATTTACTCCAGTCCAGCCATTAGTTTGCAATGTAGCATACTGGTCTTGACTCCTATTCATGGCTGCATTCCGATGTTTTTCTACCTCGCGTGGTATAATCCGATGAGATAGTTGGTAGCTCGAAACATGTGATGCAGAAGGTAACATCTCATTGAGAAAATCACAAACTGCTTGATTTTCTACCCAGTTAGAAGGAAAGCCGCATGAAGCTGTGATATTTGCAAGGTGGGTCTCGAAGCGCTGTTGTGTAATATTTGACCATTGTTGAGCTTTCGCGGGAAGGCTCGGTGCCCCATTATATGCCTGGGATGCCGTTCGCACTCGTTTTCTACTACTACCAGCAGGAATAGGTGGATCTAGCAGGAGTGATGCGGGGCTGCCAGATGTGCTATGTGGAAATGACAGTGGAAATGGCGAGCCAGATGCTGATGATAAGGTAGATAGTGGAGTATCAGATCACGAGTAGCTGAAAGATGATGATTGAGGGTATTGTGGTGCGAAGGCTTGCAAATAGGTTGGTGTCGGGGCTTGCCCATTAGTACCAGGGATCATAGGATTATCCCTGATCCACTGGTCGATGGGGGAGGGAAGTAAGGGTCTCGCGGCTGCTGCGGGAGACTGATAGTTTGCTGTAGGGGACTATTTAGGTTGATGGTGTTGACGCGACTGGCACCTCTGATCCAGTTTCGTGCGACACACACTCCATACACCTGTTCATGCACATCATCTGGCTGTCTCGGGCAATTTTTTAGGTGAGTGCACATGGTTTCCTGTTGTCCTTGAAGCCATGGACAAGGTCCATGTCCCCTCTTTTCATGTGCCCACACTGTCACTGATATAAGCTGAAAATTCAGAATAATGAGATAAGAACATACTTGATGCTATGATCTGGTCTTGTGTTCGAAGTTCGTGAATCTGCCCCTGTTGAATCGCTTCTCGATCATGTTGCTGCTCATCAATTATCCACGCAGTCCGGCATGGCTTGCACATCACCTTTGGACGACGTTCTTTGATATTTGCATATGAGTCTTGGGCCTTCTGAGCATATGAGGGGTGGATATCAAACAATTTCCACCACCATTCTCGCCCTTCATCAGCATGATGCCTCATTGGAGGCATTTGAACAGGTAGTACAAGAGGATTTCAGTCATAATCTTGGAACATCAGCTCACTTATCATATTAGAATCAAACCACGTGTACATAAACTATCTGAGCTACGATCTCGATGTACAATTCATTATAGGGAGTGATATTGTAGTAGATGCGAAAATTGGATATATTTGGCAACTAGCCATAGCCATGATCATGGCGGTGGCGGCTGCCACTGGCTAGCCGCCGGATATACCCGCCAGCATGCCTGGCGCACCATTGGCGCTTCAAACACTGCTGTCTGGGCATGGTGTCGGGAGTGTTGAGGCGGAGAAAAAAGCTGAACTAAAATCGCGGGGGGTCGAGAGTCGAGATGATTCGTACACGTTGGGGTAGGGCACCCCCCAGTACAAGGGGTCGCAGAGGCAGGTGTTTGCGAGGGTTTGGGTAGCTTAGTCAGCACAGAGGGTCGATTCAGGACACAACAGTAGTAGAGCATAATCATCATTCATCGAGTTCATCGCTCATCACTCATTGGCTGGAGCTACCGCTCCAACGTCAACATCGCACGGGATGATGTCACTTGTTTGATCCACGGAGTTCTGAAGGTATCGCTCGTTTGTGCAACTATTACTAGTAAGGGATGTACCATCTTTGAAATTTGGTCAGTGCTGGTATTCGTAGCTTGGAGCATAATGAATGGTTAGGATCCAGATGATAATACATTAAAGAGCCAAGGACAACACCGTGACGATACCATTGGCTTGGAACAAACGTTCCATTGAAATGAAATAGACATTGTGTCATCTTCGAGTGACTGGGCAGGATTTTAGTGACCAGCTGGGCCAATGCAAGCGTGGATTCAGTCGCCTGCCACATGGAGTGATGTGGCGAGTGGGCAGTGTGCGGACGAGCGAATGTTGAACGTCGAGGCTCGTTGCTCCACAGGATGTCATGGTAATAAATGCAAGGGATGTTCTGGTGCTGAATATTGAATCTGGGAATGATAGAGCTGTGTATGGTATATAATACCTGAGGCAAATGTTTGATGCTGAAGATTACCCGGATCGATATCCGAGTCGATGTGAATATGAGGAAACTGAGTCAGTTACCGAAACTCCTGGAATTTGACAGACGCCGGGTCCCGTATGTCATCGTATGGTTGCTAAAGAGCGATACAACTTTAGAGGCTCGAGGGTCAGACCGGTCAAGCTCAAGGCCGAACGACCTTTCGTCGATACTGATGATAATGATCAGGATTGAGTACAATTCAAACTCCGACCGGGTAAACTGAACCACGGAGGTGAACCAACACTCCGCCAGCACTCCACTAATTTTATAATGTCAAGGACTACCCTTCGGTTGGCTCTACGACAATGTATTGTGTTTGCAGTAGCAACTCAGGAAATACTATATCAGCATCGTCTCTGCAAATAGACAGTGTCTCTTCGTGTTCTCACTCTCGACAGCGTTGGGTACAATTGACCGACCGTGAGCGACTCTGGGATTCAAGTTAGCCCGGAGGTCGAGCACAGTTTGCACTAGCGTCAAACCTTGACATCCATTAAGTGTAGTTGCGTGTGCGGGTCGCAAAGAAAACTGTCTTCGATTCACTATCCATGACAAACGGTTTGTATGAAATGCGCGGATGGAGCTCGAGGTCTGATGAGTGCGCTTGAGAACGGTTAGCACCATGTTTTGTAACGCATAGTCTCAATTATAATCTGTAGAAATCTAGGGGATCACACAATATTAATGGCGCATATCTCTCTCGATTTCTAGTCCATCACCGAGCACCACTGACGTGGTTCTGTCTGGCTGTGCACGGTAATTGTATGGCCGCACAGCAGCCTCGTGTCCTCCTGCAAGCACTGGACGGCGAGCACTTACTCGTCCTTCAACTGCATTCCACAACCATCCCGCGAGCTTTCCATAGCAGAATAGATTAAAACATCCATCCGTCCATCCCATCATCATCACCACTCTCCATCAATCGACAGCTTGATCGTTCCGCGACCCAAGTCTTGTCACAACTTACAAGCTTCTATTCAAATCATCGTACGTCGTCCCTCAAGATAATTATCACCCAGGTCATTTCATACCATACCCTCGAACCCAGCTAGTACTTTCAGTTGGTTCATTGCATCTCACATATCAAAGCCTCGTAAATGAGTGACGATCAGTGTCAGTACTTCCATCTCTTATCTCTTGCAAGTTCTCTGACCTCTTTGACAGTTCTTGAAGGAATTTGGGCGAAGCTGTCCGAGGTTGTTGTCAAGGGTGCTCAATATAACTCCCGTGAACGTCAGCCCCACCCGAAATGTTTGGAAGGGACCCGGGTGGATTTCCTCGAATACATCCACGGATTCCTGGACGACCCAGAGAAGAATCGCCTTATTTGGCTGCATGGCACTGCTGGCGTCGGAAAGTCTGCCGTTGCGTTTACAGTAGCTGACAAGATGAGAGATCTACAAGTGACCAGAGAGACAAACGTCGAAAAGCGGCTAGCGGAAACATTCTTTTTCTCGCGCAAGCACACCAAACGCTGCACAACTGGATATTTTTTTGCAACCCTTGTCTACCAGCTTGCCACCAATTTTCCAAACATCCGGAAGGATGTGAGCAGAATTATCCGCGACAATCCCGCTCTACTAGACCCAGACACGCCTCTCCGCGACCAGATGGAGGCTCTCTTTCTCAAACCTCTCCGGAAACTTCGACTCAGATTGCAAGGGTGTCCGCCTTTGTCGTTTGTTGTCGACGCCCTTGATGAATGCACATCGGAACCCGAGCTTACCGATCTCATCCTTTCCCTTGCACGTGCTCTTCGTGAGCCTGATCTACCGTGACCCACATTCTACTCACAAGTCGCTCAGAACTGCATATTAGCAAAATCTTTCAGAACGACAAGGTGTGCCCATTGGTGCGCGAGATACCCGTGAGAACTTCTGGGGAGGGTGGCATCATTTCGTTGGACGGCGCAGACGTTGACAATGACATCTGTACTTTCCTGCAGCATTCCTTCGAAGAGCTGAAAAGTCGCCATCTCAATTTCCCGCAGCTATCGATGAACGACCTTGCGAAGCTGGCGAGCCGAGCAGGTAGACGTTTTATCGTGGCATCTACAATGATGAAGTTTATTATCGACGATGAAGATAATGATCCCCGTGATCGGTTACAGCTGATGCTGGACCTGACGAGCAAACTGCTACCAGGAACAGAGGTATACAAGTTATACGACTGTATCCTCTCCACATGTGCCGACCCTAAGCGGCTTACATGCACTTGTCCATTGTCGCCGCCCTCGCAGACCCTCTTCCCATCTCAAATCTCGTTACTACTTCTTGGCCCTGGTTTAGGCCGGGACGTGCAGAAAAGCTGATACAGCTACGGTCTGTCATGGATATCCCTACAGACAGTACTCTCCCGTGAATCTCTATCACTCGTCCATTCGCGATTACGTTTCCGACTCCTCGAACTGCAGCCTCCCTCAAGTAGCGGACACAATATGCCATCACCCCACTCCCAACTCGCTGAATCCTCTTTTCGCTTGATGATGAAAAATATTCCAGAAAGCACGGCCTTTTTGGATGCGCTCTCAGAACTGAAGAACAAAGCAATGCTATGCAACCTGAGGACCCCTATAGGTTGAAGACTCATTAGCGTTTCTTGTTCGGCAACCAGAGCCACCTGTCAGCTGTCGTCTGTATGCTGTGGCTTCGAGGAGATCGCACTTCAGATTTACAATCTTGGCTGGGGACCGTGGACGGGTGTACTTGGTTGCTGACTCAGGGAGGACGAGACTGGTTGCAGACACTGGGAGGACGACGCTGGCTACAGAATCGGGGAGGACGGGATTGGTTGCAGACCTGGGCAGGACGAGAGTGGCGGCAGACCCAGGCAGGACGATTCTAGCTGCAGAGCCCGGGAGACGAGACTGGCTGCAGACCCAGGACGGACAAGACTGGCTGCAGACCCAGGGAGGACGATTCTGGCTGCAGACCCAGGGAGGACGATTCTGGCTGCAAACCCACGAAGGACAAAACTGGCTGCAGACACTGGGTGTGGAAGAGTGGCTGCAGGCTCCGGAAGGACGAGATTGGCTGCTGATACAGGGAGGACGAGACTGGCTGCAGACGCAGGGAGGACGAAACTGGCTGCAGACACAGGGTGGGGCAGACTGGCTGCAGACCCTCGAGGGAGGACGAGAGTGGCTGCAGACCCTGGACGAACCATTCTGCCTGCAAACCCAGGCTGGACGAACCTGGCTGCAGACCTGGGGAGGACGAGACTGGTTGCAGACACAGGATGGGAAAGACTGTGTGCAGATCCTCGAGGGAGGACGAGAGTGGTTGCAGACACAGGCAGGACGAGACTGGCTGCAGACCCTGGGAGGACGAGAGTGGCCGGAGACCCAGGCAGGACGGGAGTGGCTGCAGACTCGGGCAGGACAGGAGTGGTTGCGGACCCGGGCAGGACAGGAGTGGCTGCAGACCGAGGAAGCACCAGACTGGCTGCAGACCGATAGAAGACGAGACTGGCTGCAGACCTGGGCAGGACGGGAGTGGCTGCAGACCTGGGCAGGACGATTCTGGCTGCAGGCGGAGGAAGGACGATTCTGGCTGCAGACCAAGGAAGGACGATTCTGGCTGCAGACCGAGGAAGGACGATTCTGGCTGCAGACCCATGGAGGATTCTGGCTGCAGACCCATGTAGGACGATTCTGGCTGCAGACCGAGGAAGGACGAGAATGGCTGCAGACCCGGGCAGGACGAGAATGGCTGCAAACACAGGGTGGGGAAGACTGGTTGCAGACACGGACAGGACAAGAATGGCTGCAGACACAGGGAGGACGAGACTGGCTGCAGACCCAGACAGGACGAGAATGGCTACAAACACAGGGTGGGGAAGATTGGTTGCGGACTCAGACAGGACGAGAATGGCTGCATACACAGGGTGGGGAAGACTGGTTGCAGACCCAGGCAGGACGAGACTGGCTGCAGACCCCGTGTGGGCAAGACTGGCTGCAGACTCCCCATGGTCAAGCGTGGCAGTCCACTCCTGCGGCCTCCGTCTGGGTGACAATGGAAGAATTCGTGAGGACATCGGAAGCAATCAATGAGTATATCGTTATCAACGATGTGCCTTTATTGCCAGCTTTCCGGGTAATCCAACAGTTCAAGACCTTGCCAGATTTCTTGCTGTTTCCGGTGTTCCTGGCATTAAGACACCAGGATCATTCCACCCCTGCATTACCAGAAAGTCTTCTACCAGACAGGGAGATAATTCATGCTGTGAATGCCTTTGAGAGATTCGCAAACGAAGCACAGGAACGAAGTCAATCAGCTTTCGACGCCCTCAAGTACGCCTGTCACAACTGGGCCGTACATCTCTCGCGCGTCACCAATCCATGGGATGACACGTTCAATCATATATTCCAGGCTTTTTGTAATGATCATATTATCCCCTGGCTGGAAATGGAGTGGTATTTGAAGGGTCTGCGGTCTTGCCTTGCCATCTTATCTGAAGGGCAGAAATTTGTGAAGGTGTGTTTCAACGATTCAAGACAGCCACAACTGATATCGCTTCATGTCCCATGATATCTAGTCTGATGTGACGCCTTGAAATCCTATCTTCAGTCCGGACTCTCGAGCTCTTGACATGTTCCCGGCGCTAGCACTCGAATCCGTCACCCCCACCCCATTCACAGTGCTTACAAACCACAAGCAGGCGAGATTAGCATCAGCGCCAACAAGTAACGTAGTATCCTGTGGTGCGACGGATAGCGTGATGTACTTTACTCCTTGTTATGAAAAACGTTGTCTCAAGTGGCACGAACGTTCGACCTATTGTTGATACCAACCTCGAGTTCTCGAGCTTTTGAGCAGTGGCACGTTCCAAAAGCATGTTCGCACTATCATAGAGGTCGCTCATGACCGTAGTTACTACGTATTTTTGCATCTGCTGTTTGGATCAGGCATGATTTCCCCATCTTGTAATGCCATATGGTGTTTCATGGCCTGGTAGAGCACTACGTCGCTAGTGCTGTGTGGAGCAGAGAAACTGAAAGCCCTTACAATCGATAGCCATGGACAAGTTATTCAAAGGCAGGTGGGCGCGGATCAGGAAACCCACTGCCGAGCGAAGTGAATTGTAGCATCTAGCTACTCAATACTTATATATATGTATATCGAGGCTACACTTCCGATGTCAAATGTGGCATCAGAAAACATCATGCACTCTCCGACAGCCTCTTTAATATCGAGTTAAACCAGGCGGTATAATACCTTTGTCAACCCTCTTCAGCTCTACTATAACACTATGTCTGATGACTGGAGGGAGGGTAATATCGCCTGACACTGCTGTCCAAAATGTCAGTCGGCTAGCTTCTCACTTTGTTGGCTAAATATGCTCTTGTGAGGCTTAGCAAGTGTGAACAATTAGAAGGTTTGAGTGCTGTCAGAGTCATGAACGAACCAGTCAAAGTTAAAATATCAAAATCACTCGGACACGTACATTAGAGACCGAGACAAACTCGAAAGACACTGTTTGAGCCATTGGCTGATCATTTAGTCACGCGTATCCGAGAGTCAAACTCACGTTCCAATTGGCTGCCAAATTGCCAATAGCTGACTAGCTTAACTCGACTCGCCAGTAATCTACCAGATTCCTGCTGACAATGAGTATGTCAAGACAAATATGGGGTGCAGCGTCAGGGAAGTTTAACAAAGCTTACCATTTTCAGTGCGAAGCCACGGGCATCTGCTAGCACAACTATTAAAATAAAAATAAGGACGGAAAATGTTGGAGGACAGTCGCCGCGTACTGTTTTGGCATGGTGTCGGGAGTGTTGAGGCGGAGAAAAAAAGCTGAACTAAATTCGCGGGGGGTCGAGAGTCGAGATGATGTCATTTGTTTGATCCACGGAGTTCTGGAGGTATCGCTCGTCTGTGCAACTATTACTAGTAAGGGACGTACCATTTTTGGTCATTGCTAAGATTCGCAGCTTGGAGCATAATGAACGGTTAGGGCCCGGATGATAATACATTAAAAAGCCAAGGACAGCACCATGACAATACCATTGGCTTGGAACGGACGTTCCATTAAGATGTGACCGACTCCACAGAGATGAAATAGACATCGTGTTATCTTCGAGTGACTGGGCAGTATTTTTCTGGGCCATTGCACGCGTGGATTCAGTCGCGTGCCACATGGAGTGATGTGGCGAGTGGGCAGTGGGCAGTGTGCGGACGAGCGAATGTTGAACGTTGAGGCACTCCAAAATTCGTTGCTCCGCAGAATGTCATGGTAATGGACGTTCTGGTGCTGAATCTGGGAATGCATGGCCATGGTATAATACCTGAGGCAAATGTTTGATGCTGAAGATTACCCGGATTGATATCGATGTGGATATGATGATTAATTAGCTCAGTTACCGAAAATTCCTTTTCGGGTCCCATAATTACCCCTAGACTTATACCATCATCATGAGCGATGCAAATGTGTGATTGTATAGTTGTTAAAGAACCATACAGCTTTAGAGGCCTGAGAGTTGAGGAGGGTTAATGCCAAAAGACCTTTCGTCGATGTCATCATCTTGGATTGAGTGCAATTCACACTCCGCTGAGGGCAAAGTGAACCACGGAGGTGAACCAACGCTCCGCCAGCGCAACTGTGAACTCAGTGTTGATACGGTGGTACTAGGCTACTACTGCTAGTAGGGGCCGGCATTGCCGACTATTTACCTTGCTCCGGCGACTCTCGCGCTTCAACCAATTTTTCTCATCCCCGATTTTATTCTGGAATACGGCCCACAACGCTGTCGAATACCACTACAGTCCTAGAAAACACGCCAGAAAAATAGGAAATACGACACGCTTCGAGATACAAGTACAATCATGAGTGCAGTAGAAGGCACTGCACCTCATTTTAGGCTTTCGGACCACTCGCGTCAGTCTCTCGGGGAATTTTCCGGCCGGTCTTTGTCGTCGTTGACGTGCCATACTCCAACGACTACAAAGACCAGTGTGATGCTCTACTATATATTGCTTTAAGTAACCTTCTCATTTGTTCATCGGTTCTCTGATGGCGGGTGTTTGTAGTTAGTATTGTGATGGACCGCACCGAGCCTCAGAATGGTTACGTTTTCCGCGGTCGCTTGGAAAGTATCATGATCTTGGATTTTCCAATGACGCACGGTGAACTCAATCTCCACGATGGAACCATTGAGAGCAGTATTGGTGTGGATGGGTTGAGTAAGGTTGCCTTCATGGAAGACAGGGAAGGGTGTTGCTTGGAAATTGTATGGAATGGGCCAGTTTGCCGTTTCGTAGTCCATCTGCGAAGCCACTTCGACAGCTTGTCCATGAGGGGAGTCAGGTACGGCGTTATCCTTTCTGTTTTAAGTTGTCATGTATGTTGATAAACGTATGCACGTACCCTTGAGGTGAATATGTTCCTTACAGAACGTACCATTCTCCCTGTGACGTCATCGACGATTATACTCATACATCATTCTGTGGTGGCGACTTGGTCTTGCAACGTCTCCAGGGTGGTGATTGCTTGGTAGTCCGTTGCAAGATCAGGATGGGCGGGTCGAGAGATATGGAATTGATATTTGGCTTTTTCTAGAGGGCTCATGCCATTGGCAATATGATTTCCTGCAGGTCCACATTTCAGGAAGTAGGCAGATACACGATTTACTATAACGAGTTTGGCCAGGAGCTCGCCACTTTCATTGACGAGTTCCAGTCCACTGCTGGCAAACTGCTGGAATATGTTGCCAGATGGTAGAATTTAGGGTTGCTGGGCGTTGAATGAGTGCCGTAAAATCACGTGATTTGGCAAATTATTTTTCTTCACACGGACTATTGCTTACGTTGGCACATATTTACCAACATATGAACATGACCTTGCTTCGCAAGGTAATCGTGATTAAATCAAAGACAGTAAACAGTAGACATACACATAGTACAATTTTATTTACAGCACGATAATAATCAATCATTTCAGATACCTCCCCTCAGTTCAGTCAACATACATTCGAAGCCTGGAGCACCACGACAGCAGTTGCACACCCCGAGGCAACAAACGCAGTTGCAGGATCGCCAATAGTCTTCTTAATAACATCTTGCCCCACGCTGCCCCGCTCCTCAAGGATCTGCTGTAGCTCCGATGTGTGATCCTCCCCCGCAAGGCGCCGTGAGCGCCCAACAACCACCAAAACAGGCTTGTGCACAGACGCAAGCTGGATGGCAGAATGTAGCGGTAAAGGCGACGAATGCTCGGAGAATTTGATCCGGGAAAGGGCGGCGCTCAGTGAGGAGGGCATGTCATCCGAGAGTTGAGAGTTAGCGTATCGCGCCCACAGGACGCTATTGGCTGTCTCGGATTGGAAATGCATTTCAGTGTTGGCCTGGCCGTAAAATGTGTCTGGATAAACAACATTCTACGAAGTATGCATCAGAAAACAGGCGAGAAAGAGAAACAACATAACGTACCGCAGGGACAGGCATTTGGTATCCTAGACTCGGCATATCTAAACTTGCTTTCTCCTCTAGATGTGCGAGCGACGGCCTTTCAACCGCAGCACTCTCGGCGCTACTTTTTGACATCCTCACGACCGTCGCACTAATTCTGGGATTAGCACAAAGCTGCACTACGAACTCGAGTGCAAGCCGATCATCTGGACCGCCGAAAAATGGGCAAAATATGTGCCGTGCACTCCCAGTGCCGGTACCGGCCGGATCGATGAACAGCGCAACATCTGTCTTGCTCTCTGCAAATACTCTGCGCACGAACTGCGAATGGATCACGGCTGCGGACTTGCCAGTGTGTTTTGATCCACCAAAAAACGCTTCGAATGGATTCAGTTCGATTTTCGGGCTATGTGGGCCAGACAAGTCTTCATTTGTGTTGGACGATGGTGATAGCCACGGCAACAGGAGGAGTTGAGATCCGAATCGTCTGGCATGATCAGCCACAGTACCCGGCATGTCGTCATAAGGTACAATTGAAAGCGAGAGTGAAACAGGTATATCATTGAGTTCCCCAAAGGTGCGGAACACACTCAGTAGCGGGTCAGTGCGGATGAGTGTGTCAACCGCTGAGGACTTCATGACGTCCGAGGTACGGTCCGACAGCTCAATCAAACGGAGAGTGTCCACGCTAACCTCAGGCATTTTTATCTTATCAAATGTCCTCATCGACGCAGTTGATCGGGGAGTGGCGACCAAAGGCGATTCAAGAGAGGGCGGGCACACCAGTTGAGTGGCCACCAACATTCCGGCCATGTGATCAAATTTGTCGAGGACGACGGTGAAGCGGGAGCGCCATGGTTGATCCTCGGTCACGGGGAGACTTACGATCGCTTTTGTCTTCGTCCGGATCTCCAGTTGACGCCCGTGAAACACCTCCAACTGCCGCACGAACCCGGCGTTCGGGAGGATAAAGTATAGAGACGAGGGGTGTAGTCATGAACGTTAGGATCAACGCTTCGAAGACAAACATCGAGAACACCCTTTGGGTAAGAATGTTGGCAGCGAGCCCAATGTTGAGCACGATCAATTCAACAAGACTAGAAAAATGTCAGTGGCCAGATAAGACGGAGGAAATTAGATAACCAACCCTTTGCAACTCATCAATGATCCGACGGTGCCTGACTCTCGCCAACCCATTCCAGTAATCCGTGCAGTGATCGTACATGCAGTGAATTTGCCAGCGAAGTCCAGACATATAATTGCGACAGTGAATCCCCAAGTGATACCTGCCGCAAGCATTCGTAAATGATTCATGTGAGTCATAGTTAGCAGGACAGACCGTTGTCAATCAACCCAAGGTTAGTATTTAACCCAGAGATTGTGAAGTACTGCGAATTAATTAGTCTTATCGAACGCGACAAATTCAATACTCATACCAGAGGTAAAAATATGATCGTCACCATATCTTCGAGCTTCTCCGTTAGTGCGATGGCAAGACCGCCTTCGCGGGGGAACAATGAGTCCTGCCAGGAACGCCCCTACATCCTAGATAAGAATTGAACGTCGAAATGTCATAACATCACTTACCAAATATAGCATTTACGCCCACAATGTCCGTGAAGAACGAACATGCCCAGAATACCAAGATGGTAACTGTCATGAAAAACATGGTGGGTCCGTTCTCCGTACTTCCGGTGAACCTAGCGAACCGCAGCAGCGCGATTCTAACCGGCCACATGAGAAATGCTGTGAATGCCACGCATGTTAGCAGGATCCACAAAGCTGTGAGCCCGGAGGTCGCATTAACGAGGGCCACAGCTAGTGCCAACAGACTCCAGCCAACTACATCATTGCACACGCCAGCTGACAGGACAACGGCGCCGACCGTCGTGTCTAGGAGCTTCAGTGCGGTGAGGATACGACAAAGAACGGGAAAAGCGGTGATAGAGAATGACACGCCAATGAAAACCATGAAGTACGTAAACTTGACGGAGGAAGGAATGAAGGTGTGGTAGAGTGGCACAGAGATGGAAGCACCGAGACCAAAGGACAAGGTCATGGCAGAGAGTGCAATGAACAAAGATGAGCGAACATTACGCTTAAGGGCACTCCCGTCGATTTCAAGACCGACTATGAAGAGAAAGAGGCAGAGGCCAACGTTGGCAACGAGCGAGAGATATGTGATGGATTGAGAGGGGAAGATGTGCTCGGTGAAACCGGGTATTCGTCCCATGGCAGTAGGACCTACGATTGAATGAGCAGCTGTTAGTACGGTATGAGAAATGACCTAACCGAGGAGAATTCCGCCAAGGACTTCAGCAATGACTTTCGGCTGTTTGATCTTGCCCAACCCAAGTGACAGCAGCTGCCCCATCATGATAATTATACCTGCAGCTGGCTTAGAATGATGTCGTAGACTTGGAACACAATATGCCTACCTATTTGTATTATCAATAGCCTAAGGGGATCTGAGGTGCTGAATGATGCGGGATCTACTCCTGACAACAAGCCGCCCTAAAACTTCCTTCAGTTGTGCATAGGAGGTACGTTCTAGAAGAAACGCTCACCTGGCCTGTAACCGTCCTCTTCCAGAGGCCAGACACAGGACTGACGACTGCGTTTGAGAAGTCAGGCATCCTAAGGATTGATATGAGCACTAAGTGCCTAGGTGGAATCTGAGACAAGCTGGAGTGCTGGTAACGATTCTTAGAGCGGAGTTTATACAGAACGGATAGTTAATATACCCCCACATCATTGGCTCCCTACTAGTGCACACTCTGTCAGTATGTCAGAAAAAAAATGCTGTTCACTGCTGTTCAAACGTTTTCAGCATTGAGCCTAACCCTGAAGAGCGTCAGGCACATCAGATGGCATCATGACTGCCCAGCGCAAGGGTCCCCAAATATGGGAGTTATCTCCTTGGAGATTCGGCAAGGGACAAACAAATCAAAATACATATTAGTACTTTGTTAGCCATGAGCCACCTCAGCCTACGAGAGTTTCGTGTCCGCTGGATGCTGGTCGACCCCAGATGTGCTAACGATGTCATCCACGAACACGCACTAGGCGGCTATCTGCCTAGAAATCGGTCCCGCGTACTATCTGTCAATGTCATACTGGCAGTTGGCACTCTCGCGATACTTGTTACTTCATGCGGTTCCCAAGCTCGTTTCGTTCTTCCTATCTTCCAGTTCCAGCTAGCACTGGCAGGCACCATCGGATATCCCGGATTCCACTTGCCTTGTCATGGTTCTATTCCATAACTGGGAATCTCAATTCAGAGTGTCTGTCTTCCTCTGGATGGCTTTGTCGCAATTTCAATTTTCACGGTCGATCCCAGAGCACTCCCCCCTGACGCTGGAACCGGAATCCTTGTCATCTGCAGATGTAATCATCTTATCACTGTATGAAATTTTGACGATCGCTTGATCCGATTAGTTGCAACGAATCGCACCAGATTGCACCATATTCGAAATTTGCTAAGTGAGGTGAAATAGATGTTCTTTAATTATACAGCTGCTTACAGCATGAATCTTCGAACCAGCTTTCATCTTCCGATGAGTCTTTGCAATTAATCACTGTAAAGTGCGACATCGGATTTTTGGAACTATTGACGGAACGACGCCGGGGATCAAGTCGACGAAGCCTTAGATCCTAGGGTCATTCAAGAAGTTATCATTTAGAAACACAAAGACGATCTTCCCGTTGATCACAGGCGCAGATCTTCGTTGTGCCAGCAGCTCGAGCAGCCTCAAGATGGGCAACGTTATTCTCGGTTCTTATCATCGCGAATTTCACATTAAACTCGTGTCCACAGCCTATTGAATGAGACGAGTCAGACGACAGCTGACGACAGCTGCATGCAAATTGCAATATGGATGGCCGTGCATTGCATCATGCCCGGTCATGATCTAAGTCACCACCCAGTGTTTCGTCATCCTAACTAATATCCAAATAACTGGTACCATCCTAATTAATCTTTGGGTCTATATGGCTTGTTCCCTGTTGTGGCAGTCGTCTCCAGGTAAATTACACCTTTATTAGATCCAACCGTGATAAGATATTCGAGCTGCCATCTCATATATAACAGTGATTTGTTAATTGATGTCTATCGCTAGCCAGCTGGGATCCCCTGTATACAAGATAGGCGAGGGGTAACGCTCTGGTCTACTTCTAAATACTTCTACCACACTACACAATACACTATGTATGAACAGATGCCAAGAATTGGCAAAAACTCATGTAGTATGTACTGCTCGAACAGTTTACAAGGACAACTTGACGCAACTGTAGTGCGTAATGTAGTGACATCGGGTTTGGCATAGCTGACGCAGCTCGCCGCTACAGAATGTAGCTGTTAAACCTGAAACGCGCTGCGATGATATAGCTCAGCAAGATATCAGAGGCCATCAGGGGCTCCTTACCTAGGGTAAGCGGCCAGGCATCTCGCAAGGCTTCGTGCCTCTTTGGCTATATGTGCGTGTAAGACCCATTTATAGTGAGGCAACCTGAGCTCCGTCTAGGTCTTCCAGTGTGACCACATGACTCTCTCTATACGGTAAAGATGAGCATGACAGTCCAAGAGTAAAACATTAGACTCACCTCCAGCAGTTGATTGTACAAGTCGAACGACAGGTTAAGACAAATATCGCCCAGAGATACCGCCCTTGAGAGACTTTCTCTCGTTCTCTTATCAAGAAGCTGATACATGACAGTCCTCATTGCTTGTATGCTGTGGACGTCTGAGTGAGATAGCTGTGCATTAGCTAGAGAAGACCACACAACTCTTACCGGCTAAGTTGTGCTATATCGCCCTCGTTGCCGTAACACATCAGTGCGGTACATTGTCGTAGTACCTCACTGGTTTGTTGATACCAGGTCTGGACCATTTCCCGGGTGCCCATTGGGCAATCGGAAGTATACTCCACGGAAGCTCCATGGTACACAAACTTCTGAAAAATCGTGATTGACATGACAGGTGATTAGCTTGAGGGAAGAAAGGGTTGTTGAGTTGGCTGGAGATTGACCGGTTGAGCGCGCACCTTATATCTTTCTCAGCAGAAATAGCTCCAGAAGCGAAACAATCAGGTGCTAAGGGACACAGCGTAGCAGGGAATTATGCCCACAAAAGTGGGTTTGGTAACTCTTGTACGGACCGTCCTTCTAGCTAGGCACCATAGAGATTGATGCATACCTAGACAGTCGAAGCACCTGCCGTTTGCGCCGCACTGTTGTCCTTGTTCTGTTGAACAATACTAGTATGTATGTGGTGTTTCTATGGTAGCGCATAAACAGGCGGGATCCCATAACCACGTCGGGGGGCTTGTTGTTTCGCCGTTGTGAAACGTGTTACGATTAGTATGGATGAAGGTTGAAGACAAAAACGACGTCGGGTTGGGCTCGGCTCTCTAATACTTCTGGGCGCTAAATGGGTGCACTGACAGCTTACGTATATAAATGAGACGAGTATTCTTCACATTGGCAGTAGTACATGTTATATTATAACAAATAACGTATTCAACATATGTTCCGGCACATCCGCCGATACAGAGTACTGGAGTAACGAGACACCGGGATATTTATCGTCCAAGCAACCAAGGATCCAAGCGGAGTGCAACGTCCTGTCACCGAAAAGAGGGCGTTCGTGATACTACAAAGGTCCGGGGATCGATAGTGACAAGATGAGGATCGGTTGAAGCCGCTTCATCGGCTGCAGCTGTTCTTGCTCCATACCCTTTCTCTAGACAGAAGAAGTCTGATCAGTCTCCTAAAATTCCACGAGATGGCCATTCACACCATGCAAGACGGCATATCTTCGAGCCCACGCGTAATAATCCGAGCCGTTCTCTCGCTTAAATAGCTGTAATATCCAAAGGTAATTAAGCCATGCTAACCACTAGGTATAGCTACGACGTACTATTTGCAATTTTGTGCTAAGGTACTGAGCTTGATAATTGCATGTCTGTGCCTCGGCCAGTCGCTCGTCATAGGTAAGGTGAGTGTTGACCAAAAGTGCGTCGTTCATGTCTCTGAGACTAAACGGCGGGATAGTCAAGGAGACCATTAGTTATCAACCGGATGCAACTTACGAAGAGCGTTGAACATCATCAGTAGCGCTGCCATACTTCAGGTAGGCCTGACAATAGTCGAGAACAACGTTGGTGCTATCGTGCCACTTGGTAACTTCGTCGCGTCTGGGACGCTTAGAGCTGTTCCAGGAGATGGCCATTTTTTCCTGCTGTTGTAATTTGATCTGAGGAATATGATGAGAGGCCAAAAGGCGGAACTCACCTTATATATTATAAGCACAGGATGGACGCATGCGGATGTGGTCAGTGGCTGTGTGACACAAGATCTGAACGCTATTCACCGGAGAGCTCAGCTTCTGGACAGTTTAAGTCCACCGACTAGGATCTCAACCACCACAAACAAAAATGGCATCTAGTCATGTAATTGATACTGACATCATGGCACTTGCTGCCGCAAGCCACTTATTCAGGGAAGACGTCAGTGTGAGGATCCACAGGGGGACACAGGCCATCGTGTCGATCAAAGGAAGCATGGGAGCCAGCTACCATGTTACTATTGGTACCATGCATGCGTCTAGGTCGTTATTGGATCAGCAGATCGTTGCTGGCCAGCGTACGTGGACTCCGGAAAGCCATCAATGTTCAAGCCTCTTATTGGGACAGAAGATGTGGCAGTTTATTCGCTTGTGAGGAAAGGGCTGGGCCGCAACAGGTATACGGATCCCATGGAAAGATGCTACGAGACAGTGCACCTCTCATTTCTGACTCAGAGTGATGTATAGTACGCACTTTGTCCGCCGCATCTAGCTGAGCAGTCCTGTGGAGAGAAGGGTTTGACGTTACAACCATTCCCGATATCCAAACCTTTATCTTGTTCGTGGTAGCAATAAGGCTGGAAGCCAGACCAGTCTCCCCTAGACTACACGATGATGATGGGCTCAAGCTGGCCTTGTAACGTCATACAAGGGAAGAATAAATCACAAAGGACCAGCCCTAAACAACATCACATGATCTGCCACTGGAAGCTGCGCACTGCGCACAGCTGTCAGTACAAGTCAGGCCAGATCTAGATTCGATTCCCCCGAATATATGATTGGACCTCAAGCAGTTCAGTGGCTTGTATTGGCATATAGTGCGAAAGAATGGATATCCCAATGTGAATGCTGGGCGTGCCCTTGGCCCGGCGATTGCCAGTCTGCCACAGTGCGACGGTGAGTGAATCAATATTGCCGCTACCCAGCTGTAAATTTGCCATTTGTGCGCATTTACATCAATCATCAAGTGCTGTGTGTCCGACCTCACCGGCAGTGCTCAGATTTTCAGCTATCGAAGGTCTTTTAGTGACTTTTTTTCTGACCGCCTTACAACCATGGTAGATTAGGTGGAATGACATATCAGAAGAGCAGTCATTTAACACTGCGAAAGCATTCACTTCGAAGCTGCTCCAGTAATATCTAGGATACCGCACGGATAACACCAAGGGTTGACACCGTACCCGCGCCCGTCGATGTCGCGGTTTATAGAAAAGCAATTGCTGGACTAGTAATCGTACCAATGATATCACTGCCAACTCAGCAATTACTCCAGGACCCTTAGGTTTGAACATTAGGCCACTGGTTCCCCTACATCATACTCATCAACAAGTCGCGTCAAATCGACATTCAGTGTCCGTCTAGATAGCGCCACATACAACACTACAGGTATCGGTCAACAGAAGACATCTACCCTACTTCGAAAGTAAAAAAAATCAAAACCACTCCCAAGGACTTTCATCACCCCATGTCGCTGGCTCGCAAGTAGATCAAGTATAAGTTGCAGGCTTCCTGAATTTGCGTTCCATTATTACCTCGACCTAGAGTGGCGCGAGCTCAATGACAAAGTGGAATGCGACAAATATTCGCACCATTATGGAACAAAGACTCCGACGAAGAGGAGATCCACGGCGAGGTTGTTTTTGTGGTCCTCTCCGTTCAGACGAACCCGCTAGCTTCGATGCACGACCTACTCAAGAGCAAATGACGTTTTGAACGAATTTGCTCGGTAGCCCACCTCAGTGGTGGGTTGCTCATAAGAACATGTAATCTTGTGTTTTGATTGAATCCAATGATCATTTCAGTTTGATCTCGAGCGACTTTCGAGCTGTTACTTGGTCTGTACAATGCCCTTCAGTCTTTTTCCACAAACGCCAAGTACTGACAACATCTGGATTTGTTCGTTGTTGAAAGATGGATATAAAATGGGATTCACTCGTATGTCGACCTGTGCATTCGAGTGTTCTAACTTCTAGCTCGTAATTACTCAAATCTGCTACAGCTGGGCTTCAGAGCCTGCTGTCGTCAAATTGCAATATCCCCGCTCAAACAGTTAACTGTGAGTTTCCCCCTTAGGAATACGTTGCAAGTGTACACTTACTCGCTATTCAGCACGAGCCCGACTTAACTCGGGCTGAAAGGAATGTAGCGTCATGAAAATCGCGTTCAGGCTGACAGCCGCAGCTCAGCGCTCAATGTTCAATCCTCAGCGAGCTCACGCATACTCGAGGACACTAGCCTGGCAATTAAACCCTACATTATCCACAAACTATACTAAATGTGCAAGTACGTCTACATATATGCTACAGCACCGATAGTCCCAGCCATTCTATCTACGGTATCACGATGCGCAGCTTGTCACATCTCTGGGGGACTTGCTTGAGCAAGGTGAAGTAGACGGGTGCTAATGCAATCAAGGTTGAAACCAACGCCTTCCTGGTATATGACCTTCTCGGTTTCCGGTTCTACGGTGTTATCCTTCAAACTATTCTTCAGCTTCCTTTGCTCTTGGACTGGAATACGGGAGTAATTCAGTCGTAGCCTATCATCACATCAAAAATACTACTTACATTCCATGACCGCTAGTCTTTTTTTCCAGCTTTGGTCATTCAAACCTTTGGCTTCTTGTTCCTTCTAGGCAAACAGTAAACTATCTCCTACGCTCCACAAAATCGTTCGACTCACATCTAATAGTGTATAGTGCAATTTTCCTACTTGGTGGTTGCATTCTTCTGCTAAGGCTACACTGTTCTGGTCATCGTGAACAACACGTCCTTCAAGAAAATGAACTGCGCTGTTCATGCCCCTGAGGCTAATTGGTAGTTCGAATCAGTCGGCGGAGATGATGGACGGATCAGAACGTACAATGCTAGCTGTGCGCTATCTTTAGCATCTCCATATACAAGTAGAGGTTCGCAGTAGTTGAGCAGATCCTCAGTACTCTTGTACCAGGCGGCGATCAAATTACGCATGGAGGAGCCGGTGTTGTGGTAGAGATCAGGGTTTATAAAAAGGACTCGTTGAAATTGCGAGCTACTTCGAGACGTTGGCTGGACTTTAAATATCTGCCATGATGACCGTCTGAAATTTCTGAATGTGCATCTCGTTGGCGAACACGTCAAGAATATACAAGAACAAGTTTGGAGTTATATCCATAGAACAAAAACGCAATGACTGAGCTGGTTCTTCATGGGGTTGTGCCATTGTTCTGATGCACTGGTAAGTATGTCACAGTCACGATAGCGTGTCCAAGCTCGCCCACAGCACATAATCGTGTACAGGCACGCCGCACGCCTGCCTCGATTGTACAACAACATTTCTCATACTGCTGCATCGATGCAAACAAGGATGTGCTGCGAGTTGGCAAGGAGCTAAAACAAAATTGAATAAATGACGATTGTCTTTGCACGGCCGGAGTTCAATGAATAACGAATAGCGAACTCAAGAACCTACCAAAAAGGAATATGATAATATTTGTACGTACGCTTTTATCCCAACTTTCCCTAATCAAACTTGAACTTGAAGTTCGGGATGATCTCACCGTGTCACTAGGTGCAAGCACGGATAGGCTGCCTAGGTAGTGATACAAAAAGAAATTGGTTTGTTCAGAGTAATTTCCCTTTGAAGCCGGAACGCAGAACAAGCTATTTGCAGTACCACAGACGATGAAGACACCAGCCTAGCGCTCAGAAGGAGAAGGTAATGCGATGACGGTTGTCGTGTTGAACCTCTGCCTGCACTAGCGTAGTAATGTGTGCTCTAAGACCCCGAACTCCCCAGACCCTGACTCATTGCCTTGTGTCCGCTCTGCGCTCTCTTAGAGTCTCTACACCTGCCTCGTCCTAACCCTGCGCTATGCTCCCTTTGACTATTCCTCGCATTGTGCTCCCCACTACTCGAACTATTTTTCCTGATACTTGCAGATTACCCAACAAGCATTTCCCATGCTACACACTACTGTCAGTCGACACATGTACACCCTCCTCAAATGCAATTGAAGTCATGTCGGTTGCTGCATCAGAGTTGGCCACGAGCTCGGCGTGATATTCTCGCACGCTAAGGAGGAGGCGTGGTCCCAGCACAAACATCTGTATGTACGAGAAAATTTCAAAAATAGCGGTAGAAATCTGAACTCCCACAGAATCTAGGTCCTATAAAAATGATTAACAACGGTTACACGTAGATCAAGTTGGTGACAGATCGGCGCACCGAGACCTTTGAAGAGCGCTGAATATCGTGACTGAGAGCGGAGCAACAAACAGCGGCAAAGCTAGTAGGTGCAGCCTTTCAACGGAAAAGACAACCGCATTCAAATTACGAACTTACCTTGCAAAGTAAACCACATGAGATTCTAGTAACACCACGAAACAGTCCCCAATAATCCCCCTCGTCGTGTGTTGTCGCAATTCACGGAAGTGTTTTACAGCAATCCAGATTAAAAGACACAGTGTAAGGACTTCCCATATAGCGGTGAGTATCCAACTCATGAGGATCAGGAGTAGGTCGCCTGCTTTATAGGTGTAAGTGCATGCATGTGTGCCGGAGAGGATGAACTCCTCTGATATTCGTCAAACGAGCCTGATTCCTTGATTATGTAACTAAAGCTTACCCCCTGACATATACTTGAGTACCACTCCGGCAATCACTCCGCAGGCAATGTTGACAACCAGGAAAATTATAGTGAGAAAGATAAGCATTCTTCTGGATCTCTGATACATGGCATATAACCGAGCGAGCATGATGACTTGTACGATGTTTCAGTCAATGGTACTGAGGTAATGCAGCTGCTAGAGTCGCTCACCGCCAAGCATTGCAGATACAATCACATTGATCCAATTCAGTGTAGAATACAAAATAACACCTGAAAACACCCAATTAACAATCATCCTCGAAGAATCAAAGTTTCCAGAGAAACTCACACCTATTATGGTCATTGTATTGAGACAAGAAGCTGGTCAAGCATCGCACTCACTCCTATACATGAAGTCAGTTAATAGGAGAGGAATTGGAGGTAACAGGGTAGGATGCTCACCGCATCCGTTACCGAAGATGCTGTGTGCTACCGATCAGAAGACACGAATACATTGTATAAAGGAGACGCACCCATCATAATATTAATGCTAATTGCGTGAGATGGCTGATTAGCACAGCACCATCATATTAACCCTACAAACGTACATATAATATGGTATTCCAACGTAGCGTACCTAGAACAGATCAGCGTCAGCACAATTTGCCAACTGCGCTAGTAACGTAAGTCACTTACAATGAGATATAGAAAAGTCATCAAAGACCAGCGTTGTGTCTGTGCCAACATAATTGTACCATCATGTTGTCTTCTGATACGGGTGTCTACTCACCCAGATCAGATCAACCTATCAAACCATTCTTAGCGAGATGGCTGCTCCCGAAGTAATGGCATCAACCAACCTCTTGTCCGAACGTTAGTACTGGAAATATCATAAGGATATCAATGGTTCTACAATAACACCTCACTCACCCCAATCATATATCAGTGCGGTAGATGAGGCAACTGCGAAACCACCGTCCATGTCAGAATGAGACACCATCAACAAGACTGGCTCTCCACGAACATGTAAAATAGCCGGATAGACGAAACGAATTGATTATTGGCCACCAACTGGGATCATTTGAGACTAGCGTCATTTTCGAGGGAGGGTATTAGTTTGAGCGGGGAACTTGATGGACAAATAACCATGAATTTCTTCATAGATATACTACTACCTGCCGGGCACCTGTGATGATCGCGAACACCGGCATAATTATGCGTTTCCACCCTTGATTGACTCGTACTGAAGTAAGATTCTTAGTAATGTGGTACCGAATTTTGGTTGGGGAGCTGCCAATCTAGTATCACTCGCACAGAATGATTAAACACCGGCAAAGATCAAATTGGTTCAACGTGAATTATGATGTCGGGGAACACAATCCTCGGAATTTCCTGGCCACGCAAGCTTGATACATCCATCGGGCCATAATTATGATAACTAGATGACATCACACAATGCAAAAAATGATAAGGGTTGTGAGACTCTGATGCGATTCGGAAAGCGATGCTACAACCCACTGTATATGCATTGACCCTGGACAGCCAGTTGACTGACTGATGAACTCACTCTGCTCCTAGCTCAAGACAGAAATCAGAGGGCACATGGTAAATTTTAAAGAACTTAGAACACGACTCCGATGGGCCTGTAACCCCGGCTACGAGTCACGACAATTCAAGGCGCGAGCTGACCTACCCTGAACTACTCACGTGATCACCCATGTACGCTGAATTCATGTTTTGAATCAATTATTACTTACGAAGAAACTATTCGGAGAGATGCGCCGGTCGAATAAATCACACAAGGTGCGCACAGACTTGGTCATTGACTGCATATACACAAACCGGTTATCCAGGTTCCCAATGTTAAACTTAGACCCGCTCAGCCACGATCCCGTCATGCCCACCCGATGGACGTGCCATATGACCACAGTTCAGATTCTGAACTTGTCCTTCCGAACGCGAGTATGGTTGACTTGTGTCCTAGACCGTTCAGGAGTGTTATGCTTTGCGCGACGGGTACAATGGACAAGGTGCGTCGGCTCTGGCTGCCATTGTGACAGACATCGGTGAAGTTAACCGTGTGTGGGAAGCCTACCTTGTTTAAACAAGCATTTGAACTCGGCGCAACATCTACAAGTGATTTTACGGACAGAGTGACTCACTTACTAGCAAACAGCCACGGTGGAGCCAAGTACGCGGTGAGATTCCTCTTAGGTGCCTCTTGTCTTTGTTTAATCCTATTCATACGGGTGCAGTGCGCGTTAGAACGCAAAATACCTATCATGCATCCTGAGTGGATAACAGATGCACACCAGGTTTGGTTGCGTGGAGATGACGTAGACCTAGCAGAGGTGAGCATAACATGATCGCCGACAACACACTCCTAACGTCCGCAGACTGTTTCTGCGCACCGCCTCCCCATCTTCTCCGGCGTCACACTCTCACTATCAGGTATCGACGACCTCGAGCAACGCGCAAACATAAACCGCTCCCTTACTAGACACGGTGGAACATACGTCAAAGCCATAGAACGCCCTGTCAAGGTGACACATCTACTCTGTGCGGGCGACAACGAGACCGAGAAGATGCGCTACGCTGATAAATTTAACAAACGGGGTGAGGCAAAAATCCATGTTGTTTGGGAGGAGTGGTTCTGGGACTGCTTGGAATTTGGAGGACGCTTCGAGGAAAAACGTTACGTCGTCACGCGACCAAGGCCAGAGAGGAAGACTATGAATGAAGGTGAGTAGACATCTATTCCATAAAATTGACAATCCATTTACGCGCAATAGAACTCACCACCTCAATGCCAGTCCACGACTCTGCCCCAGGCACACACCCTTCGAATGCGATTCCTGTCGACGGCCATCTACCCAGGACGCCCGCCCCACCAAAACCCAGTTACGAACATGATCTATTGGAGGAGGAGGAACCTGCATCCCTTGCACGCACACCCGTTCGCGCGGTGACGCTTCAGCTCTGGGGAAGTCTCTTACGTCCACGAGGTTTCGAGCTCGATGCGGTTGCGAACAAGCTCGTGCGTAGTCCTTCAAAGTCACAGTCAGTGGCAGGTGCGCCGATGTCGCCGACACGATTACCAGCACGTCTCATGCCTGATGTGCAGAAGAGAGCCACAGAAAAGGAGATAGAACCTCAGACGAAATCCGTGATCTCGTCATTCAAACGCGCCAAGTCATTTGCGCCGCCCGCCAAGGAGCCGGTGACGCGCCGGCCGTTCAGACGGACAACCACCATTGCAGCTCTGGGACCTGGGGACGCAGAGGGGAGCGAGGCACCCCGCCGACCTGAGCTGGAGGACTCTTCGATGGCGACACTCTTTGCGGGTTACCGCTTCCGTCTACTTGGGGAGGCGAAGTGCGTGAATGTGCGCAATGCTATTGACCGTGGGGGAGGCGTAGTCATGGACGAAGATACTGACGATGTCGATTTCATTGTAGTGCGACTTATTAGGTGAGCTTCGACTTTCTCGTATGCATGCGGCATCTTATGCAGCGGATTGTTTAGTGGGAGTAAACTCTACCAAAACGAACCTGATGAGATGTTGCGCGCCAAATATCGCACAGAATGTTGGCTCGAACACTCGGTCTTCCAAGAGCGAATATGTGGGCCGCACGAAAATATATCATTCAGGCCTCTTAGCCTTCCCTGTCCAATACCCAGTACGTGTTATGGCTGCATTCACTCATTTTATACGCGCTGACATGATCACAGACACCGAACAGATTATTCTCAGCCTTTCCGGACTTGATCAGTCTGAACTATGCTGGACAAAGCGTCTGCTGCGGGCGTTGGGCATAACGCTTGCTCAGATATTCTCCCGACGTTCGACGCACCTACTTTGTCCGAGTGGTTGTGGTGCCAAATACGACAAGGCAAAAGAGTGGAACATCCCCGTTGTGGGTATGGCATGGCTGGAGGATATGGCGACGGAGGGTAAGGTACCTGACATCAGCGAATATCTCATTGGCAACGTTGGCGACCGAGTGGCAAAGGGCAAAGCGAAGGATGTGCAGATGGTGGATACCACCGATGCTAAAAGTAGGCCAAAGTATCATCCAATAATTGACGTCAATTTGATTGTTTTATTGTCACAGGCAAGCCCGTCTCTCCGTTTTTCGTAAAGAAGCCAAATCTCTTGCAAGATCTCCGAACGCCTACTCTCCCTGACATCGAGCATGCCCCTCCGGCCACGTTCTTTGGCGAGTCAAATGGCTCGCTGGACGACGCTCTGCAACAATGTGAGGGCGACGATAGGGCACGGTTCTCATCTTCTCCGCCTCTGCCACCGCAGAGCAGCTCACCCCCACTTGAATATGTTGCTCTGCCCCCTACACGCCGCAGACCTCGATTACCTTCTGAAGACCTCAATCCTCCGGTCCCCTCCCTGGATGCCAACGGATGCATACCCTCCTCCACCTCGCCCTCGCCAATGAAGCTCCCCCCAAGCTCAGATGCACGACTGACGTGTGAACCCTCGCCAGTGCGAGTGCCTCATCCAAGAGACGTTGCCCGCGAGCTACAGGAGAGCCTGACAACGCTGCTCGGGAAGAGACAGGTATCAGAAGACGATATTATGCGCCCGGAACAGCGGAAGGGCAAGCGGCCGCGGCCACTGCCGCGCCCCAAGGTTCGTTGGCAGTCTATAGAGTTCCTTTCTCTTTCATTCATTACCTGTAGGTGCAATCTCGGCAAGAATCACGCGAGACCATCACTAGGGAGCCTTCGACACGACTTGTGCCACTTCCGCAGCCCATGTATTATGACGCAATGAGCCTGCTGGACGGGAGCGCGCGTCCGAGTGAGGATAGTCTGCGCGTGACGTATGAGGATCCTGGACAGGAGGCAGAGAAGCGGAAGCTGATGGCTTTACTTGGGGAGGAGAATGTGGGCAGGAAGGGTAGGAGGAAAGGCACGAGGATAGCGGGCTATTGATGTGCATTCGAGTGCCGGATCTCTTATAGTGTATTATTATACCACCTAGCTCGACCACATTGAAACAATATTGGCAAAAGTCTACTGGAATTAATGCGCATTAATGGGGTAGTGGTAACCTGGGTCGTTGCCATCGACCCGCCGGGGGTTCGATTCCCTCTTAATGCACAGGGTGTACATATAGTGTATGACACGATGTGACCTTTTTGCGGCATCTATAACGGAGCCACTAAGTACCAAAATGTTGCGTAATGTAGCCTGTAAAAACGGTTGACTGCACACATACTACCAGAAATCTAGAACATTTCCGATGCCCAAAGCTAAAAAGCTCGTCCTTCCTTATGATGGTGATCCATACAAGTCGGGGACAATGAAGAAGACACGTAGAGGGATGCGGAGTGAAGAAGCCTTGGAACGAAAGAGGAAGAGGGCAACAGCTCACAGAGAAGCAAAAGAAGCAGCGCTACAACGACGCAAGGACAGAGAGCTGCTAGCCTCGGATGTGGTCGATGTACCGCCAAAAGTCGATGAGCCTCAGGCTCAGGTGATGGTCGCGGAAGATGCATTAGTTGGGGAGATTGCTGGATGTCGAGCTCAGAAAACGAGTAGAGAAAGGCGGAGTGAAGAACGAAAGAGGGAGAGGGCCATAGCTCACAGAGAAACAAAAGACGCGACGCTACAACTTGAACAGGTCGAGGACGAAGAGCTGCTGGACCCGCAGGTCATCGACATCGTTGCTTGAGGTGATATTCAATACTGGGCTTGCATTCATTTTACAACATGAGCTCGAATGTGCTTTAAAGAGTATGTTAGCTCTCCTTTATTAACAGGACCATCATTTTTAGCATCACCGTATGTCACTACGGTACTACAGTCGTGCTTAAAAATACTTACATAATGCAAGTTACAATGTTTTGGTGGCTGTGCAATTATACTTTCTCCCAACTCAAAAAGTTGTAATGGATGTACGTTTCACGATTCGAAGTCATTGAACAGATTGTGACCGCAACGGATCAGACAGGGTTCAAATGCTTTGAACAAGTCCATGCAAAGCCTATGGTCCACCCACAGAAAGGCGAAGCTCAATTTAAATGCATCTGCTCCACTTCCGCTAAATACGCCTGTCGAGACCCCACCTCCAGAAGATGCAAATCAACTACCCGTGTTAGAAAACCCAGTCAAACCAGGGACCTCGATTCTTCCTCCATCTTCCACAGCACCCGCTACGAACTGAAGTAACCTCGCCCGACATTCGTCCCCCTTCCTCAAAGCGAAAATTGCGCTCAGCCCGTTCAACGGCAGAAGACAGCAGTAAACGACCCAAGATATCTATAAATTCCATAGCGAAGGACCACACTCCCCCTGCCACTCGATTATGCGATCTAGGTGGTGTAGAAGCATGCGTGGAAAAGATGCTGGAGCTTGTCGCCATGCCTCTCTGTCATCCAGAAATATATCTACACACCGGTGTGCAGCCTCCACGTGGTGTTTCTGCTGCATGGTCCTCCGGGGTGCGGCAAGACCCTTCTAGCGAATGCGATAGCTGGGGTGAGTGCGCTCACTGGTTCGTTTGACAGTTGACTGATCGTGTGCAGGAGCTGGGTGTTCCCTTTATCAGCATATCTGCACCTTCTATTGTGTCCGGCATGTCTGGCGAGTCCGAAAAAACACTACGGGATACATTTGACGAGGCCAAGGTACATCTCACATTCCACGTGATTTTTCTTAAATCCTAATCGTTATCCTCAGCGTGTTGCTCCATGTCTACTGTTCATCGACGAGATCGATGCTATCACTCCAAAACGAGAGAGTGCCCAGAGGGAGATGGAACGACGCATAGTCGCACAGTTCCTGACGTGCATGGATGGTTTGTTCACATCATTTTTCTCTGCCACATGTTCTAATCTGACCCGTACAGATATGTCTTGGGAGAAGACTGAAAATAAGCCGGTGATCGTCATTGGCGCCACAAACCGACCAGACTCGTTAGATGCCGCTCTCCGTCGCGCAGGCCGATTCGACCACGAGATAAGCATGGGCGTCCCAGATGAGGAGGCCCGAAGCAAGTAAGCCCGTAGTGTCATACTATTCTTGGTCCATTTCAAGCCTTGGCAGGATTCTACGAGTACTATGCGCAAAACTCCGGCTGGACGGCGACTTCAACTTTGCTGCCTTTGCCAAAGCTACACCCGGCTACGTAGGCGCAGATCTATCAGCGTTAACAGGCGCAGCGGGCGTCATCGCCGTCAAACGCATCTTTAAGCAACTCACCGACGGCACGCTCGTCCTTCCGGAGGCATCAGAAAACATCGGCCAAGATATTATGGCCGTGGATTCGCCGCCAACGCCCCCAGCCGATACCACACCAAGTATAATCCCTTTTTTCTCTCTAGCATCCCAGCTCTCTACTTCTTCCATCGCGCACTTCCTCAGTGCACATCCCTCTCCCCTCACACCCGGTCAGCTCACTCCTCTCTGCATTACTTCGGACGATTTTTATGCTGCGCTACGTGAAGTTCAGCCTTCCTCCAAGCGAGAGGGTTTCGCAACCGTGCCAGACGTGACATGGGCCGATATCGGCGCACTGCATGGCACACGTGAAGAGTTGCACATGGCAATCGTGCAGCCTATCAGACGCCCTGAGCTGTTCAGTGCTGTAGGCATCGAGGCAGCGTGCGGTGTGTTGCTGTGGGGTCCGCCGGGATGCGGAAAGACCTTACTGGCGAAAGCTGTTGCAAATGAGTCCAGGGCGAATTTCATCAGCGTCAAGGGCCCTGAGCTTCTAAACAAAGTCAGTCGCTTTCTATTACAAGTGAAAAAATTGCTAATGGGAGCGCAGTATGTCGGCGAGAGCGAAAGAGCTGTGAGACAGGTGTTCTCTCGTGCCCGTGCCTCATCTCCCTGCGTGATCTTCTTCGACGAGCTAGACGCTCTCGTTCCTCGGAGAGATGAAAGCATGGTACGCACCCTCCATTTTTCGCTCCAATATCTATCTCACACTCCCATTTTAACAGTCAGAATCTTCCGCACGCGTCGTGAACACACTGCTCACAGAGCTGGACGGACTTGATTCCCGCAAAGCCGTCTACGTCATCGCCGCAACGAATCGTCCCGATATGATCGACCCAGCTATGGTTCGCCCTGGCCGTCTCGACAAGCTCCTCTACGTTGACCTACCAAGCGCCGACGAACGCGTCGAGATCTTACGGACGCTAGTGCGCAAAGTCCCATTCGCGGCTACAGAACCAGGTGCCGAGACGATCCTGCAGGGCGCGGAGCACATCGTGCGGGAGAAATGTGATGGCTACAGCGGTGCGGACCTGGCAGCTGTCGTTCGAGAGGCAGGCGTTGTGGCACTGAGACGTGTCCTCGGTGCGCTTGACCAGATGGATGACAGTGGCGGAGGTTTGGTGGAGAATCAGCCACGAGTGGTTGTTGTGTTGGAGGATTTCATTCGGGCTCAGGATAAGGTTGGTCCCAGTGTGTCTGCTGTGCAGCGGAGGAAATATGAAGCGTTACGAGCCAAGTTTGCTGGCCTTCCTGTGCGAACAGGGAAGGATGTTGATTAGAAGTGAGCTGTTAATGGTATCGACATGATAATGAAACACTGATATTTGTCACTCCTGTGACACATACGTGATTCGATTGATCGGGTAAGTATGAGGCCAGTACAGGGAGGTATCGTCACAGTCCTCCTCGTCTGGCTTTAACCCCTCCCCCCTAGCCCCTCATCGTACAGTCTATGTGCAGACAAACTATGACATGACTGGCATATATGATGGGCGATGCCTGTGACAAGGGTTAAGGTCCAGTCCGAGTGTGTAGCACCCTGTTATGATTCCGAGCTAGCTCGGTTCCCTCAACTACATCTGAACACAATCTGAACACTCTTACGGCATTCATTGGGTTCAAGAGCCTAGCATGCTCGCTTCAAGGTTCGTTTAACAACATCACATATCCATCCAAGTACTAGTACTCTTTGCCAGAGGCGATTAGGGGAAGCGAACCCGACACTCACCACTTCGAAGCCTTGCTATTATTCGCCTCTGATGGTGTTGCCAAGTTAATGTTCGGACGTTGTAATACTGACCACCATATAAAACGGCCTACTGGCAACTAGGAAGGATGGCTCAGGAAGATGGTTCCATCCAGATCGCTTTCATCTCTTCTTGCCTTGCCGGCGCTTGCCTTCCTCTCGCTGTCAGCGAGCGCGTTGCCTCATGCTCGGACGGCGTCAAGCACAGCTGCTCTCAAGCTCGCCGTTAGAATAAACTCGTATGGGATGAAGAGCATCGTGGCTGCAGATCGAGCCCGAATCGAAACTTTGCAAGCTCGCGGCAGCTCTTCTGTCGATATAACCAATACTAGTGTGGCATACACCGCTGACATTGGCGTGGGGAGTCCAGCAACGTCCTGTAAGTCGCTCGTGCTCCTGCGATTCCTTTTTCTGACGCATTGTCAATTACATACAGACACATTCCTGGTAGACACCGGAAGCTCAAATACCTGGATCGGGACCACCAAGGCTTACCAGAAGACTTCCACGAGCCATGACACAGGCGGCACATTCGTGAGTATTTGTTTCTACGTGGCACATACATGTTGTCAAACCGTTTCCAGAAAGTTGCATACGGCAATATGAAAAAACCTAGTTCCGCTTCTGGGGAGCAATACTTGGACACCGTAACGGTCAATTCTAATCTGGTCATCTACAACCAGTCTATTGGCGTCGCATCTAGCGACGCAGGGCTGGGTGATTTGGATGGAGTCCTTGGCCTTGGCCCAGTTGATTTAACTGAGGGCACCGTCAGTAATGCAGATGAAGTTCCAACTGTGATGGACAACCTCTATAAGCAGAAAAAAATTAGTTCGGAAGTACTCGGAGTGTTCTTCGCACCTGCTTCCTCTGACGATGCCAGCGGCGAGCTCACATTCGGCGGTTACGATGATTCCAAATTTACTGGAGACATCAGCTATGCGCCGATCACATCGTCATCTCCAGCGAATACATATTGGGGTTTTAATCAATCCATCACCTATGGGTCAACGGTCATTATGAATAAGACAGCTGGTATCGTCGATACCTAGCACTACCCTCATTCTCATTCCCTCTGGTAGGTGTCCTGTACGACATCGAAACCCTTCTAATCCACTGTTCAGATGCCTTGAGCCTATATCAGTCTGCTACGGGAGCAACCCTCGACTTGAGCATTGACATGTTCAAGATTACATCTGACCAGTACGACCTGCTCAAGTCCTTGTATTTCACCATTGGTGGGGTTACTTTTGAGCTTACCCCAAACGCACAAATCTGGCCTCGATCACTGAACTCCGTCATTGGCGGTACCAGCGACAGTATATACCTGGTCATCGGTGATACTGGGAAGTCCTCTGGTTCTGGCTTGGATTTTGTGAGCGGCTACTGTTTCCTGTACGCTGAGCTGTATTTTTTTTGCCGGAAAAATAAATTGCTGAATTGTTCTTTCACAGCGAGCGGTTTTACTCGGTGTACGACACTACGAACTCCCGAATCGGGTTCGCCACCACTGAGTACACCTATGCTACGACAAATTAAGTACAGTCCTTGGAGAAGATCGCATACCCTGGGCCATACCAACATACCCCCCCAAGAACATTCGTTACTTACTTGACAATTCGTTACGTACATATTTCATCACATTCATTTAACACTGTTGATATCACGTACGAGTCGTACCTATAGTGAACAATACATTGTTTGGCTATGACTTAACGCACCTTGAACTTGAAGCTTGAAGCTTGACACGTAAGAATTGAGCACGCTAGGTCTAGTACTTACGAGTTTTCAAAAGTTGGCCTCGCTTCCTTTACCGGCGCATTTACATCCTAATTAGGTCAAGTGATATGACCAGCGTCTGCTTGAGTGACTCACGATGCTTTGACCGCTATCAGAGTCGACCAGCGGTCCAACACATTACATCAGGCTGTCAGTGCTCCATCCAGCAACGGAGAGATGAAAGCATGGTGCGCATCCTCCATTTTCGCTCCAATATCTATCTCACATTCCTATCTTAACCGTCAGAATCTTCCGCACGCGTCGTGAACACGCTACTAACAGAGCTAGACGGACTTGGCTCCCGCAAAGCTGTCTACGACATCGCCGCAACGAATTGTCCCGATATGATCGACCCAGCTATGGTTCGCCCTGGCCGTCTCGACAAGCTCCTCTACGTTGACCTACCAAGCGCCGACGAACGCGTCGAGATCTTACGGACGCTAGTGCGCAAAGTCCCATTCGCGCCTACGGAATCAGGTGCCGAGACGATCCTGCAGGGCGCGGAGTCCATCGTGCGGGAGAAATGTGATGACTACAGTGGTGCGAGCCTGGCAGCTGTCGTTCGAGGCAGGCGTTGTGGCACTGAGACGTGTCCTCGGTGCGCTTGACTAGATGGATGACAGCGGCGGAGTCTTAGTAGAGAATCAGCCACGAGTAGTTCTTGTGTTGGAGGATTTCGTCCAGGCCCAGGATAAGGTTGGTCCCAGTGTGTCTGCTGTGCAACGGGGGAAGTATGAAGCGCTGCGAGCCAAATTTACTGGCCTTCCTGTGTGAACGGGGAAGGATGTCGATTGGAAGTGAGCTATTGATGGTATCGTCATGATAATGAGACGCTGACATTTGCTTCTGTGACACATGCGTGATTCGCTTGACCGAGTAGGTGCTGACATGAATTTCGAGGCTATTCTTGATCCGCTTCACAACAGATAGACACGGTCTGAACCTGCAGTACAGTGAGGTATCGTCACAGTCCTCGTCTGGCTTTAACCCCTCTCCCCTAGTCCTTGATTCCCCTCATGGTACAGTCTATGTGCAGACAGACTATGACATGACTGGCATATATGACCTATAACAAGGATTGAAGTCTAGTCCGAATTGTACTCACTAGCACCCTATTATGACTCCGAGCTACCCCGGTTCCCTCAACTACGTCGGAAAAAGGTCCGAACACCCTCACGGCATCCATTGGGTTCAAGACCCCCAGGACATCCCCGACACGTTCGCTTCAAGGTATCCTTGACGACATCACATATACCCCTAAGTAGTACCCTCTGTCAGAGGCAATCAGGGGAACCGAGCTAGCCCGGAGTCATAACTGGGTTCTTGACACTCGTCGCTTCGAAGTCTTACCATTGTTCGCCCCCGATGGTGCTGCCGGAATAATGTTCTGATGTTTTCAATACTAACCATATAAAACGGCCCAGCTAGGAAGGATGGCTTAGGAACTTGAAGATGGTTCCCTCCAGATCGCTTTCATCTCTTCTTGCCCTGCCGGCGCTTGCCTTCCTTTCGCTGTCAGCGAGCGCTTTGCCTCATGCTCGGACGGCGTCAAGCACAGCTGTTCTCGAGCTCGCCGTTAGAATGAACTCGTATGGGATGAAGAGCATCGTGGCTGCAGATCGAGCCCGAATCGAAACTTTACAAGCTCGCGGCAGCCCTTCCGTCGATACAACCAATACTGGGGTGGCATATACCGCTAACATTAGCGTTGGGTATCCAGAAACGTACTGTAAGCTGCTCATGCTCCTGCAATTTGTTTATCTGACGGATTGTCTATTATATGCAGACACATTCCTGCTAGACACCGGAAGCTCAAATACCTGGATCGGGACTAACAAGGCTTACCAGAAGACTTCCTCAAGCTACGACACAGGCGGTACATTCGTGAGTATTCGTTTCTACGGGCACATACATTTTGTCAAACCGTTTCCAGAAAGTTGGATACGGCGATGAGAAAAATCCGAAATACGCTTCTGGGAAGGAATACCTAGACTACGTAACGCTCAACTCTGATCTGATCATCTACAACCAGTCTATTGGCGTCGCATCTAGTGACCCAGGCCTAGGTGATGTGGATGGACTCCTTGGCCTTGGACCAGTTGATTTAACACAGGGCACCGTCAGTAATGCAAATAAAGTTCCAACTGTGATGGACAACCTCTATGCGCAGGGGTACATTGATTCGGAAGTACTCGGAGTGTTCTTTGCACCTGCTTCCTCTGACGATAGCACCGGCGAGCTCACATTCGGCGGTTATGACGCCTCCAAAATTACTGGAGACATCAATTATGTGTCGATCACATCAACATCTCCAGCGAATACATATTGGGGCATTGATCAATCCATCAGTTATGGGTCTACGTCCATTTTGAACCAGACAGCTGGTATCGTCGATACCGGGTCCACCCTCATTCTCATTGCCTCTGGTAGGTGTCCTGTACGACATCAAAACCCTTCTAATCTACTGTTCAGATGCCTTTAGCACATATCAGTCTGCTACGGGGGGAACCCCTGATGAGAGCACTGGCTTGTTAAAGATCTCATCTGATCAGTACGACAAGCTCTCATCCCTGTATTTCACTACTGGTGGGGTTACTTATGAGCTTACTCCAAACGCACAAATCTGGCCTCGATCGCTGAACACTGCCATTAACGGTACCACCGACGGCATATACCTGATCGTTGCTGACAACGGGAGTCCCTCTGGTTCTGGCTTGGATTTTATAAATGGCTACTGTTTCCTGTACGCTGAGCTAGATTTTTTGCCGGGAAAATAAATTGCTGAATTATTTTTTCACAGCGAGCGGTTTTACTCAGTGTATGACACGACGAACTCCCGAGTTGGGCTCGCCACCACTGATTACACTTTTGCCACGACAAATTAACTACAGTCCTTTTAGAAGATCACATGCCCGCGGCCACATCAACATACCCCCCAGAACATTCGTTACTTGACAATTCGTTACGTATATATTTCATCACATTCATTTAACCCTGTTGATATCACGTACGAGTCGTACTCGCCAACAATAGACGACTTATTCTCAATTTAAATGTTGCTGCTCTGTTTCCGCTCAATACGCCTGTGGAGACCCCTCCAGAAGATGCAAACCAACTACTCGTAGAAAACCCAGTTAAACCAGGGACCCCGATTCTTCTACCAATGAAGTGGTCAGTCCTTCCTCGTTTGACGCTCGTCTCTCGATTGTCCGATCTAGGTGGTGTAGAAGCATGTGTAGAAAGATGCTGGAGCTTGTCGCCATGCCTCTCTATCATCTGTAATGATGTGCAACCTCCACGTGGTAATTTGCTGCATGGCCCTCCGGAGCGCACACTGCGGTAAGACCTTTCTAGAGAATGCAGTAGCTGGAGTGAGTGCGCCCACTGGTTCGTTTGGAAGTTGACTGATTGTGTGCAGGAGCTTGGTGTTCCCTTTATCAGCGTATCTACTTCGTCTATAGTTGGCATGTCCAGAGAGTCCGAAAAAACACCATGGGATGCATTTGACGAGGCTGAGGCATATCTAATATTCCGCATGATTTTTTGAATTCGAATCGTCACCCCCAGCGTATTGCTCCACGTCTACTGTTCGTCGAAAAGATCGATGCTGTCACTCCAAAACAAGAGAGTGCCTAGAGGAAGATGGGACGAAACATAGTCGCACAGTTCCTGACGTGCATGGATGGTATGTTCACATCATTTTTCTCTGACACATGTTCCAACCTGACCCGTACTTGGGAGAAGACTGAAGATAAGCCGGTGATCATCATTGGGGCCACAAACCGACCAGACTCGTTAGATGCTGCTCTCCATCGCGCAGGCCGATTCCACCATACCTATCAGCGTTGACAGGCGCAGCGGGCGTTATCGCCGTCAAACGCATCTTCAAACAACTCACAGACGGCACGCTCGTCCTTCCGGAGGCACCAAAAATATCGGCCGAGATACCCGCAATTCAGTGGATCCGCCACCAACGCTCCCAGCCGATACTACACCAAGTATGATTCCTTTTTTCTCTCCTATCCCAACTATCTACTTCTTCCATTGCATATCATATGGTTGGATGTGAATACAACGATGTTGTTAACAGGAGCATTGACTGCAATTGAGTCTTGAGTGCTTGTCCGGTTCACAAGTACCACCCGAACGACACACGCATTCTTCACGAAGGAATAGGCGCAAATTTGGATTTAAGCGGATACATACATTGTGTATAGCAATTTACAAAAGCAATAGATGATACGAAAGAAGCATATGAAAAAGGGACGATACACGGTGGGAGGAAATATTGAGAGGGGTGACGCATGCCCTCTCTCGCTTGGATGAAGGCTGAACTTCACGTGGCGTGGCATAAGAATCATCCGAGGTAATGCAGAAAGGGGCAACCTGAGCGGGTGTAAGGGGAGAGGGATGTGCACTGAGGAAATGCACAATATGAAATAAAATAGATCAAATGCATATGGGTATGGGCAGTGTGAGATGAAGAGCGTAGAATCAGGATGCCAAATGAGGAAAGAACGACGGCTACGTGAGGCGCCGAGAATGACAAAACTTAGGTCGAAGTGAGCAGCGGAAGACTGCGGTAGGTCACGGCGGCAGCGCCCGGTTAGCGGTAACACGAGAAAGATCGTGGTCGGGTGTGTAATACCAGGTTCATGGAAAGGCGAGGAAGTGTCTGTGTTGGCGTGCCAGGGTTGCAGGATGTTGCCCTTGGAGCGTGGGGTTATGGAGGTGTAGGAGGTTGAAGGAGCAGGTGACCACGCAAGGGCGACAAGGTGCAGGAGGTCGAAGTGGGAAACGGGAGACTGAGTCAGACTGTGGTAAGTCGTGGCAGCAGCGCGGGGTCAGCACGAGCACGAGGAAGGTCCTGGTTAGATGTGTGGGGCAACGGATAGCAACGGCAGGATAATGGAAGGTGGGGAAAGGTCTTAGTTAAGTGTGTAGCGAAAGGTGGTAGGTTGCCCGCGCTGTCCCAATTATGTGACTGCCTTATTTGGAGCATGTCACACCAAGTAACAGAGCACGGACGTTAGGTTTTCCGTACAAAGAAGCTAAACATTAATCATGATGCCTTGATGTTCCATCAAATTTGTCTGAAACTGCCTGAAATATCACGTGCTTCCAATTTCTCAGTGGGAGTCCACTACTGACGGTTTTTGCTAAACAGGCTCTGTAATAAAATCCTGCAGGCCATTTAAAGGTCATTACCAGACTTTTGCTGAAACTACTTACTAACCGACATTCATTTCCTGCATAGATGAATTTCATGGGACTCGAATGTATCCTCACGCGATGAGCCCCACATTTCAAACTAACGTAGTCACTTCGAAGCCTTGCTATGCCGTCATTGTTCGCCGTTCGCTGTCAGTGGTGTTGCTAAAGTAACGTTCCGATGTTTTAATACCGACCACCATATAAAAAGGCCCAGCTAAGAAGGATAGCTCAAGATGATGGTTCCCCCCAGATCGCTTCCATCTCTTCTTGCCCTGCCAGCGCTTGCCTTCCTCTCGCTGTCAGCGAGCGCTTTGCCTCATGCTCGAGCAGCGTCAAGCACGGCTCCTCTCAAGCTTGCCGTCAGAATAAATTCGTACGGGATCAAGAGCATCGTGGCTGCAGATCGAGCTCGAATTCAAGCCCTACAAGCTGGCGGCAGCTCTTCTGTCGATGCAACCAATGCTGTGACGGGATACACCGCTGACATTGGCGTGGGGAGTCCGGCAACAAACTGTAAGTTGTTCGTGCTCCTGCGATTTATCTATCTGACGGATTGTCAATTTCATACAGACACACTCCTGGTAGACACCGGAAGCTCAAATACCTGGATCGGGGCCAACAAACCTTACCAGAAGACTACAACGAGCCACGACACAGGGAATCAATTCGTGAGCATTTGTTTCTACGTGGCAGATACATTTTCTCAAACCGTTTCCAGTATGTTCCATACGGGTCCGACGGTCAGGATTACGTTTCTGGAGAAGAATACACAGACACGGTAACGCTTAACTCTGATCTGGTCATCAGCAACCAATCTATTGGCGTCGGATCTGCATCTTCATCTGTAACCTCAGGGCTAGATGGTCTGGACGGGATTCTTGGCGTCGGACCAGTTGATTTAACGCAGGACACCGTCAATAATACATATGAAGTTGCAACTGTGACGGACAACCTCTATACGCAGAAAACAATTAGTTCGGAAGTACTCGGCGTGTTCTTCGCACCTGCTTCTTCTGACGATAGCGGCGGCGAGCTCACATTCGGTGGCTATGATGCCTCCAAAATTACTGGAGACATCAATTATGTATCGATCACGTCAACATCTCCAGCGAATACGTATTGGGGCATTGATCAATCCATCAGCTATGGGGACACAGTGATTTTGGCTGAGACAGCCGGTATCGTCGATACTGGAACCACCTTCATTCTCATTGCCTCTGGTAGGTGTCCTGTGCGACATTGAAACCCTTCTAATCCAAGTGTTCAGATGCCTTCGACAAATATCAGTCTGCTACAGGGGCAACCTTCGATGAGAGCACTGAAATGCTAAAGATCTCATCTGACCAGTACGACCAGCTCTCATCCTTGTATTTCACTACTGGTGGGGTTACTTATGAGCTTACCCCAAACGCACAAATCTGGCCCCGATCGCTGAATACCGACATTCGCGGTACCACCGACAGCATATACCTGATCATCGGTTCCACTGGGAGTTCCTCTGGTTCTGGCTTGGATTTTGTGAACGGCTACTGTTTCCTGTACGCTGAGCTATATTTTTGTCCGGGAAAATAAATGGCTGAATGGTTCTTCCACAGCGAGCGGTTTTACTCGGTGTTCGATACGACGAACTCCCGAGTTGGGTTCGCCACCACTGCGTACACCGATGCCACGACAAACTAACTACAGTCCTTCAAGAAGATCAAATACCCTGGGCCATCAACATACCCACAAGAACATTCGGGCCTTACTTGAGAATTCGTTACGTACATATTTCATCAGATTCTGTTGATATCACGTACAAGTCGTACTTGTGAACAATATGTACAATTTCAATTTAAATGCTCCTGCTCTGCTTCCGCTAAACACGCTTGTCGAGACCCCTCTTCCAGAACATGCAAACCAACTATCCGTGTTGCAACCAGACTTGTTAGATTCTGCTCTCCGTCGCGCAGGCCGATTCGACCACGAGATAAGCATGGGCGTGCCAGATGAGGAGGCCCGAAGCAAGTAAGCCCGTCCATCGATATCCATCCTTTATCCACTTCAAGTTTTGGCAGAATTCTGCGAGTACTATGCGCAAAAATCCATGCTAGACGGCGACTTCAACTTTGCTGCCTTTGCCAAAGTCACGCCTGGCTACGTAGGCGCAGACCTATCAGCATTAAGAGTCAACAGGCGCAGCGGGCGTCGTCGCCTTCAAACGCATCTTCAAAAAACTCACAGACGGTACGCTCGTCCTTCCGGAAGCACCAGAAAACATCTGCCAAGATTCCCCAAAGGTAGTGGATCCCCTACCAATGCCCCCAGCCGATACCATGCCAAATATACTAGTAAGCCCCTTTTTCTCCCCAGCACCCCAACTCACTACTTCTTCCACTGCGCATTTCCTCAGTGCACATGCCTCTCTCCTCACACGCGCTCAGCTCTTCCCTCTCTGCATTTCTTCGGACGATTCTTATGCCGCACTACGTGAAGTTAAGCCTTCCTCCAAGCGAGAGGACATGTGTTGCCACCCAAAATATTTCCTCCCGCCGTGCACCATCCTTCTTCCACATGCATTTTTCATGTCATCTATTGCTTTTGTAAATTGCTATACACAAAATACATGAGCGTCGTTTGGGTGGTACTTGCGAAGAGCAAGCACTCAACACTCAATTCCAGTCAATGCTCGAGTTAATAACATCATTATAATTACATCTAACCATATGATATGCAACAAAATCGATCAAATGTATATAGGTATGGTACGGTAGTGTGAAGGGAACATGATGAAGAGAGCAGAATCAGGATGCCAAATGAGGAAAGAACGACGGCTGCGCGAGGCGCCGAGAATGACAAGAACTTAGGAGTGAGAGGACTGTGAGAAGTCGAAGTGAGCAGCGGGAAACTGCGGTGGTATGTCATGACGGCAGCGCCAGGTTAGCAGTAATGGCACGAGAAAGATCGTGGTCGGGTGTGTAACACCAGGTTCATGTAAGGGCGAGGAAGGGCCAGTGTTGGCGTGCCAGGGTTGCAGGACGTTGCCCTCGGAGCTTGGGGTTGTGGAAGTGCAGAAGATTGAAGGAGTAGGCGACTGTGCAAGGGCGACAGGATGGTGCAGGAGGTCGAAGTGGGAACGGGAGACTGACTCAGACTGTAGTAAGTCGTAGGGGCAGCAACAGGTCAGCATGAGCACAAGGAACGTCCGGGGTTGGATGTATGGGACAATGGAGGGCAACAGGTTACAGCAGGATCATGGGAGGGTGGGGAAGGGTCTTGGTTGGGTATGTTGGTGTGTAACGGAATGTGGCAGGAGGTTGCCCTAGGGCGCAGGTAGTTGCTGGGGGTAGCACTTTGATGTGAGCCATGGTGCACGAGCGATGGAAGTTGATAGCGACAGGGATATGGATTAAGTGTACGACACGTTTACACACGCGGTTGTCATCGTACGTGGTTGATGACGAACATAGAGTATTCCACTTATGTAGCCGCCAATGTCGTGTAGGGTGCTCCAAGGTATATTCCGCTATCAATGCAGTGTGCACAATTGTTTTATGGCTACCACTAGCGGAGTCTTTAATCGAACGCATCATTTCTTCTGAACTTAAACTTCAAATCAAGTAAGTGTAAACAATGTGTTCAAATGAGTGAAATTGCAGAATCGCCCGCTTCTTAGCTAGTGGCGATGGCACTACTGAACAGGCTCTGTGACATGTAGTAAAATCCTGCAGGTCATTCAAAGGTCTTTGCCAGACTTTCGCTGCAGCAGCTACTTACTAACCGACACGCGTTTCCTGCATAGATGGTTTTCATAGGACTTGAATGTATGTATCTCCACTCGATGAGCCCCGGGCCCAGTCACATTCTTGGCAAGCTAACGGCTAAGTTCGAAGCCTTGTTATTGTTCGCCTCCGATAGGGTTCTGATGTTTCAATACATACCGACCACCTTACAAAAGGGCCCAGCGATGAAGGATAGCTCAGGAAGATGGTTCCCTCCACATCATTTTCATCTCTTCTTGCCCTGCCAGCGCTTGCCTTCCTCTCGCTGTCAGTGAGCGCTTTGCCTCATGCTCAGACGGCGTCAAGCACAGCTGCTCTCAAGCTTGCCAGTTAGAATAAATTCGTACGGGATCAAGAACATCGCAGCTGCAGATCGAGCTCGAATCCAAGCCTTACAAGCTGGTGGTAGCTCTTCCATCAATGCAAACAATACTGGGACGACATACACCGCTAACATTGGTGTGGGGAGTCCAGCAACGTCCTGTAAGCTGCTCGTGCTCCTGCAAATTCTTTATCTGACGCATTGTCAATTTCATACAGACACACTCCTGGTAGACACCGGAAGTTCAAACACCTGGATCGGGGCCAACAAGGCTTACGATAAGACTTCCACGAGCCAAGATACAGGCAATGCATTCGTGAGTATTTGTTTCTACGTGGCACATACATTTTGTCAAACCGTTTCCAGTATGTTACATACGGCGATAACAGTTACGTTTCTGGAGAGGAATACACAGACACGGTAACGCTCAACTCTGATCTGGTCATCGACCACCAATCTATTGGCGTCGCATCTGAAACTTCAGGGATGGGTGATCTGGATGGAATTCTTGGCCTTGGACCGGTTGATTTAACTGAGGGCACCGTCAGCAATACAAATGAAGTTCCAACTGTGATGGACAACCTCTATGAGCAGCAAACAATCAGTTCGGAAGTACTCGGAGTGTTCTTCGCACCTGCTTCTTCTGACGATAGCGGTGGCGAGCTCACATTCGGTGGTTATGACGCCTCCAAAATTACTGGAGACATCAATTATGTATCGATCACATCAACATCTCCAGCGAGTACATATTGGGGCATTGATCAATCCATCAACTATGGGTCTACGACCATTTTGAGTGAGACGGCTGGTATCGTTGATACTGGGACCACCCTCATTCTCATTGCCTCTGGTAGGTGTCCTGTACGATATCAATACCTTTCTAATCCACTGTTCAGACGCCTTCGACAAATATCAGTCCGCTACGGGTGGAACCCTCGACGAGAGCACTGGTTTATTAAAGATCTCATCCGACCAGTACGACCAGCTCTCATCCTTGTATTTCACTATTGGTGGGGTTACTTATGAGCTCATCCCGAATGGGCAAATTTGGCCTCGATCATTGAACACTGCCATTGGCGGTACCACCGACAGCATATACTTGGTCATCAGTTCCACTGGGAGCTCCTCTGGTTCTGGCTTAGATTTTACGAACGGCTATTGTTTCCTGTACGCTGAGCTGCATTTTTTGCCAGGAAAATAAATTGCTGAATTGTTCTTCCACAGCGAGCGTTTTTACTCAGTGTACGACACGACGAACTCCCGAGTCGGGTTCGCCACCACTGAGTACACCAGTGCCACGACAAACTAACAGTCCTTCGAGAAGGTCACTTACCTGTGGGCGACATCAACATGCCCACTTGGGAATCCGTTACGTACATATTTCATCACATTCATTCAACCCTCTTGATATCACATAAGAGTCGTACTTGTGAACAATACAATGTACTATGTATTTCAATTTGAATGCTCCTGCTCCGCTTTCGCTAAACACGCTTGTCGAGACCCCTCTTCCAGAAGATGCAAACCAACTATCCGTGTCAGAAAACCCAGTTGAACCAGGGACCTCGATTCTTCCTCCATCTTCTACAGCACTCACTACGAATGAAGTAACTTTGTCCGACATTCGTCCCCCTTCCTCGAAGCCATCAGTGAACTGAGGAAATTCTGAGAAAGATATATATTACATTGTTAAGTGGATAATCACCAGCATCAGTATAAGTACTGTAGAGATACGCACTTAGGTTCATCACACTGTCACATGTCAACCTATTTCGTGTGACAGTCACACCAAGGTTGCAACCTTCCCAGTAAGCCTGACCTGCTTATGAAAATCGTATATAAATAAACACGTGTATGTAGGCCGTACCATCCTCCACGAGAATGCTGCCTAGACACGGCGTGAGTCTACAGGCGTCCGTCAGTATCTAGGTGCGGTCCGAATAAACAAAAGAGCTCACCCTCAGTTGTGATGGAACAAACTGAGGGGAGAAGAGAATACGAGGCGATACATATATACAGCGATGGTTCGTATTCCAATGGTTCGACTCCGCTTGTCGTGTCGGCGTGCATAGCACTAACAATATATTTGAGCTTCAACACTACAGGTACAGGTGATCGAAGACCTTGGCAACAGGCTGCATGTAACTACGGCTGGAGGCTACATGCGAAATCATCAGATTGACGCGTTAATCAACAAGCTGAAGGTATGCACTAAATTGATCATATGCCAATATGGATGAACACTATGCGTTGGTCCAAGGGCATGTCCTTGTCGTGAGCCAACGAGTGAATTGCTTGGTGCAGGGCCAGGGCAGCTCGTTTGGGATTCATTTTGCTATTCCCGCACAAGTTTTTGTAGAATGCCTTGACTAAGCGTTGCACAGTACTATCGTTGACCTTCCATAATGTCCCAACGACGCTCTTAACTCCAGCGAATTGCAGGCCAGCAGCTAGGTGTATCACTTCGTCGGGCGTACTGAAGGCGCCACGTGCGGTTTCACAGGCAGCAAGAAATGCAAATTGATGCTGAGAGAGATCCATTTGGATGATATCGAGGAGTGAAAGCGGGTGGTCGCGCATAAGAAAGGCGGACTTAACGGGTTCGTCAAATTTCTGTGTCCCGTGGCACGCGAAATGGAGCCACGTGTTATCTCGCAGTGCACATAGCGCTCGCGATTTCGTGGCATCAATACTCATTATCTTGGTAGAGGAAACAGTTGGGGGAGGGGGCAAAAGACTCAGCACCAAATCCAGCTCAGGCTCCACACTATCCAAAGTGAATAAAGCACCGGCTGGGTGATTCTGGCCAATGGCAGCGAAGGACACCGACAGCGACTTGTCATGGCTTCTGCTGAGCCTTCATCAGCGCGGTAAGCGATGGGGTGTATGAAGAGATGTATTGCTGTGAAAAGGGACTCTCCATTTGCCCTGTATTCGCCAGCAGCGTGCAATGGCAAGAGATTGAACAGAGACGTTGGGCACCACCATATTCGGGAACCTCGTGGTGCAAATCCTGGCCAGAATCTCAACTACTGGATGGACAACGTCATCCCACAACTCCCTCAAAGCTTTTGTCAGCGCTGGTTGGTTCTTTTTAGGACTGGCCTCTTTAGTAATTGCCACCTGGAGTGCGAACACCAATCTGGCGGGTTTCCCAGGATTGGTAGGGAGTTGAATGCTAGTCGGGGGTTGCTGATGCGGGATAATAATAGCATCACAGGACGACTTGCTTGCGATGAGCATAATGATAGGCCCATCACGAGCTGCATCTCGAAGATCGGAGAATAAGGGGGGAAGGAGGAAGCGAGAGTAGCCCTCGATCTTCCGGATCTCTTCTACAGCTTCGTTCCACTCCTTCACCAAACGTCTGTACCGGGTTTCTTCTGCTTCTACATCGGTTTTTGGGGTTGCTTCTCAATCGTTCGCAAGAGGTTTATCGAGGAGGGAACTGAGGTCTCTAAATTTCTTCACAAGGGCCACTGCGTGATCGCCGCATGTCTGGAGGTTGTCAAGAGGTGTGTGTAGTCAGTGTCATCTGGGTCCCAGATGATAGTCCTGCCTTGTTCCAACAACTCAACAGCGTGACACACGTCACCGCTACGAAGAGCACACGATGCAGCATCCACGGCAAGCGTTCCTGGGAAGTCCTTCATGATATTGTGACGAGACGATACTGAAGCTGTCGTGGACATGTAAGCGTCCAGAAGTTGCATGGAAAGTTGTACAGGCCTCCAGCTCAGTGGCATGTGAATGTTGACTAGCATGGTGAACCCAGCGTAGACTTGCTCGCAGGCGAGATAGTGAGCCTCCAGAGACAACATTTGCTGTTGCCTTGAGATGATGCATTGCAGAATTCAGACTGTCAGTATCTTTGCCTGCTCCGGTGCCGTCAAGCCCCGAACGATGGAATAATAAATAGACACTAGCTAGTGAGTGATGGACTACTGATTGACGAGGATCATGTTGTGTCAACAGAGTCAATGCACAGCGTAGGTTCTCTCGTGACTCGTTGAGGTCTTCTCTATTGCCTCGGTGCTCAAAGCGGGTGGCGAGTCGACCCGCAAGGTTATTTAATGACAAGGACCGATCTGTGTGACCGACCGGGCACAAAGCCAGCGCTTCCCTGTAAAGTGCAATAGCCTGATCCAAGTCTTTGTCATTGCCTCGGTGCTCAAAGCGGGAGGAGAGTTGATTCGCAAGGCCATTTAATGACTTGGGCCGATATACGTGCCTGACCGGGTGCAAAGCCAGCGCTTCCCTGTGAAGTGCGATAGCCTGATCCAAGTCTTCGTCATTGCCTCGGTGCTCAAAGCGGGAGGCGAGTTGACCCGCAAGGTTATTTAATGACTTGGACCGATATGTGTGACCGACCGGGTGCAAAGCCAGCGCTTCCCTGTAAAGTGCAATAGCCTGATCCAAGTCTTTGTCATTGCCTCGGTGCTCAAAGCGGGAGGAGAGTTGATTCGCAAGATTGTTTAATGACTCGGACCAATCTGTGTGACCGACCGGGTGCAAAGCCAGCGCTTCCCTGTGAAGTGCGATAGCCTGATCCAAGTCTCCGCCACTGCTTCGGTGCTCAAAGCGGAAGGAGAGTTGATTCACAAGGTTATCCAATGACAAGGACTGTCTTGTGTGACCGACCAGGCACAAAGCCAGTGCTTCCCTGTGAAGTGCGATAGCCTGATCCAAGTCTTTGCAATTGCCTCGGTGCTTAAAGCGGGAGGAGAGTCGATTCGCAAGGTTATTCAATGACATGGACCGACCTGTGTGACCGAACTGGGCACAAAGCCAGCGCTTCCCTGTGAAGTGCGATAGCCTGATCCAAGTCTTCGTCATTGCCTCGGTGCTCAAAGCGGGAGGAGAGTTGCATTGCAAGGTTATTTAATGACGAGGACCGATCTATGTGACTGACCGGGTGCAAAGCCAGTGCTTCCATCTGAAGTGCGATAGCCTGGTCCAAGTCTTCCTCATTGCCTCAACGATCGAAGCGGTAGGAGAGTTGAGTCGCAAGGCCATTTAATGAATTAGGCCAAAATGCATGACCGACCGGGTGCAAAGCCAGCGCTTCCCTGTAAAGTGCAATAGTCTGATCCAAGTCTTTGTCGTTGGCTCGGTGCTCAAAGCAGAAGGAGAGTTGATTCGCAAGGTTATGTAATGACAAGGACCGTTCTGTGTGACCAACCGGGCACAAAGCCAGCACTTCCCTCTGAAGTGCGATAGCCTGATCCAAGTCTTTGTCGTTGCCTCAGGTGCTCAAAGCGGGAGGAGAGTAGAAACGCAAGGTTATTTAATGACGAGGACCGATCTGTGTGACCGACCGGGTGCAAATCCAGCGCTTCCACCTGAAAGGCTATAGCCTGGTCCAAGTCTTCCTCATTGCCTCGACGATCGAAGCGAGTTCTCAGAATTACACTCAGATAATATAGCAATCGTCCTCGGAAAGCACGCCCAGTGTTGTAGTATCCCAGTAAATCATAATGAAGGGATATCACTTCATCTAAGGCATGGGGATCATCTTCCTGCAAACACTGCTCTACTCGATTAGGAAGTTGATCCCGTGATGGCGCAAGCATGAGTGCGGCGGGCCATTGCTGCCCAAGATCATTCACATCAATGCTTTCAGCAGGATACAGAGCGAATGTTTCGATTGCAATCAAAGCTGCTCTGTAAATGTGACTGTTGGCATGGCAGACATCGAGGACTTTACTCAGTAACTCTCTAGCTGCATCAGCATCCATTTGAAATCCCCGTTCGCGAAGTGAGATTGCAGAGCAATGGCAAGATGGAGCTGGGTGATGGTTCGGTCCGGGTGATCAGTGGAACGCAAATCAAGGGCATTTTGAAACAGATTGACAGGGATGTCAAGGTCAAGGTGTCTTCCGTCAGCTTGGCAACTGACAAACTTTGCGGCAGCTAGATTGAGCAGTGCTGCAGGGCGATGTCCTGCATGATTTGGGAATCATGCATGGACATGACTACTAGGTATCCCCCTAAAAGACAAAGTCTGTTAGCTTAGTCCTCAGACTAGTCAACCCATACCTTGGTATCAAACCTTGGTCCAATAGTTTCGGTTTTCCCTCAGTGATTCATGAATCCACCATGTTTGAAGAAAAGTCATATGTGAGATGGGAATCACATAATGACCTAGTTGATATGAGAAGCAAAATGAAGGTTAATGTATTGCCTTTCATTTGGCTTATTCACTTTGGCTAGAGAAACCCATAGAGAAAAGTTCAAAGCCTAACAAAAACCTATCTAAAAAGCCCGCGTATTGTGTACTATTATTTGTTCCATTATTTCTGAGTTGTTTTCTCTAGTGTTTCTTTACTTTACTTTTCTATTAGGATGCTCTGACTAATCAGATGCTTCATAAAATTGTACCTACAGGGTATGATGTCATAATGATGTCATAGGACTTCACCTACACTCCTGCAGGTATTTTGGTTGAAAGATATGATATCATAGTGATGTCATAATGATGTCATGTTCCATGGAATTTGCTAGAACATTCCAATGACTCATAATGACTCATAGTGACTCATAGTGACTCAGAATGATGTCATTATCCCACCATGAATATTCTGGAATGTTCTTTTGCACCTGCTAGAACATTCTGCTCCAGTTTTTGGAATATTCTTCTCACATTCTGAAGTCATTACATCACCTTTTTACTTACATAATATTCCCACACAAAATGTATATAAGGAGAGCCCATTCTCCCCCAAAAAAATAGATCTCCCACTTGTTGCATTCAAGAACCCCCACTTGAGCAAATTGAACTCTCACCTAAGAAGCTTCAGTCTGAACAAATTGCTGCTTACAAAGCCCATTTCCTTTGTAAGAACTGTCCAGGCAAGTGCAGGGAAAGTGTTTCCCTTGAGATTACGTAAGTTTCTCGCGATAGAAACCCAGTTTTGTGAGACCAGTGTTCTCACCACGTAGTGTTTACTGACCAACACGAGCTTTGGTCAACATTGTTATTTGTGAGACCAGCGTTCTCACCAGGTATTTGTATACTGACCAACACGAGCTTTGGTCATTGTTGTTATTTGTGAGACCAGCGTTCTCACCAGGTATTTGTATATTGACCAACACAAGCTTTGGTCCACGTAGTCACATTTGAGATCAGCTTCTCAACAGTTAACCGTATATTCAGGAAACCAGTTCAAGTGTCTAGACAGTATATCCTAGACAATCCCATAGTTTCAATCAGAAATAATAAAGCTCCGGCTAAGTTAATCTGACTGATTGGTTTAGCGAGCCTCCCAAGAACTCACACGTTATCTACCACGAAAGAAGAAAAGTCGTAGACCGTGTTAATCGAGGACTGGCAAGAAGTCTTATCCAGTGTAATTGTGGTGTCATTACATTCTTACATGTTTTCATATAAGACCCTCGGTTATTAAGACAGCGGTAGGGATGGTCCATGGGGCAGAGATCCGAGGCGTGTTCAAAGTGGTTTATGGATTGGTCGATATCCCTACTGTTCTGCGTCCTGCGGTATCGCACGAGAAGATGATGTCCGGCATCCGTCTTTAGTACTAACGCATCCATATCGCGGGATGTAAGCTACACATTACAAGCTCTCAGGATCAGAATACTAGACTGCATTGATCACGCACAGTAGTCATGGGGCAAAGAACTGCGGCATCGTTTTCATCAGAAAGTCGCTGCTCCAGTGTCATGAACAGTGAAGTACATGGGGATATGACTTCCCCCCGCTTGGGCTGAAAGAGTATGGCTATGATACTCGTTGACATCTGTCAGATGTTATTTACAAAAGGTGTTACTAACGATGTGACTTTCACTGCGATCCAGCAATTCTCGGATGGAGATCTCGAATGTGCAGAGGACTTCTCCGTGACTGAGCATCAGACCCAATTCAAATGAGGCATACACACTGACCCGGACTTTAGAAGATGGATCGCACGGCCTAGAGTCCTTCTCAATACGCAAAGATGAGATTGAGATTAGGGACAACATACAGAAGTATGGGCTCGGTCCATTCGACGACAGCCTGATCTACATGTACAGGTACAGTGGCTCAAAAAACTGTCCGCATGTTTTGACATTTTTTACTATCTATGATATTGTGTGAGAATGAACAAATTCCTCAAGGACATACTTATACCACATTGTAGTATGGCTTCAGGGCTTTTATTTGAGCCCTACACCGTGGGAATCGGCGGAGATATGGTGGAGATATAAGGCTTATAAAATGATGACTCATGTGGACAGTTTTTTGAGTGTATATTAAAACTATATAAATCATTATTTATGACACCATAAAAATCATGCCACTATTATATAAATTATAAAGTGGTGTCATTATGTTATTTGATGACTATATCTAACTATATAAACCAGAATATCTCATGTATCATAGTCATAATCACCATGAAAGCCATCTCCTCTGCTCAAAGAGATAATATCCTCTCTCTGTCTTATGCTGGCCTCTCTGCTCGCCAAATTTCCTCTAGAACTGGAATATGCAAGTCCACTGTGGCCAAGTTCATCAAAGAAAGCCACCCAGACAAGGAAAACTCTTGTGGAGGACGTCCATCCAAGCTTACCTCTACTGACAAAAGGGCTATTATCCAACATATCACTACAGGAAAGGCTGATAATGCTGTCCAAGCCACCCATTATATCAATTCCACCATCACTACCCCTGTCTCTTCACAAACTGTGAGGAATGTTCTCAAGGCAGCTCATCTCAAGGCAGTAACAAAGAAGAAAAAGCCTCTTCTCTCCATCAAACATAGGCAGAGAAGACTAGCCTTTGCCTTAGCTCATCAACACTGGACTGTAGAGGACTGGAAGCATGTTATATGGTCAGATGAGACCAAAATCAATAGGATTGGGTCAGATGGGAAGGTGTATGTATGGAAAAAGAAGGGAGATGGCCTAACAGACAGAGAGGTTAATGGGACTGTCAAGTTTGGAGGAGGTTCTTTAATGGTATGGGGCTGTATGGGATGGAATGGTGTGGGAATGCTTGCTGAGGTTGAGGGGAAGATGAATGCTGAGCAGTATGTGGACATTTTAAATGACCACTTGCTGCCTAGCTTGGCAGAATCAGGGATTGATGAAGAAGATATCATTTTCCAACAGGATAATGATCCCAAGCACACATCCAGAAGAGCTAGGGAATGGTTTGAAGAACATAACATCAATGTTCTTGACTGGCCAGCACAGTCTCCTGATGTCAATGTCATTGAACATCTCTGGGGAACACTCAAGAAAAAGCTTCAAGCCTATGAAAACCCCCCTAAAGGAGTATGGGAGCTTTGGGAGAGAGTAGCAGTGGAATGGGGGAAGATCACAGCTGAGGATTGCCAGAAATTAATTGAGAGTATGCCTAGAAGGATAGAGGCAGTAATTAAAGCCAAGGGAGGTCATACAAAATACTAGAATACCTGGTTATTACTGTAAAATACTTGAGTCAAAAAACTGTCCGCATGAGTCACCATTTTGTGAGCCTTGTATCTCCACCATATCTCCACCGATTCCCACGGTGTAGGGCTCAAATGAAAGCCCTGAATCCATACTACAATGTGGTATAAGCATGTTTTTGAGGCATTTGTTTGTTCTCACACAATATTATAGATAGTGAAAAATGCCAAAACATACGGACGGTTTTTTGAGCCACTGTATGTTGCTCGTCTGGCATTCAGCACTGTCGGTCTTTATCACCACATGGAAGCCAGCGGGGACACATCGGAGACCAAGAGTGAGATCAGTTGCATGAATGGCTTAAGGGATATCGTTAATACGAGCTAAGCAGAGATAAATATCACATACCGGTAATGACGACTTGTTGCACTGCATTGAGGTGTATCTCTTCCGGGTCTTGAGTGTGCTCTGGGTAACTTGGCTCCTCACTAAACAACACGCACATTGTCAGGCATTTAGATGATCAGTGCTTCATATACTTACTTGTCCTTTTTTTGCCTGAAAACGCAAGAAGATTAAGTCCATACATGTGCTATACAACACAACGACTTACGATCATAGACGTTTTGAACTCTTCGTCTTGTTGTCGTTATCGTTGCCTGATGACTCACGCTTACGTTTTCTGCATTTCAAGGGAGCAGATTTCTCTACTGGAGAAGTTTTACACGATGACGCTGAAGAAAAGTCTGAATCAGAGTCTGATTCTGATGAGCTTGAAGACTCAAAGGTGACACGTCGACACTGGGCCATAATGATGGCTGAGGGATGGATCGAAACTAATACTTGAGAGTAAGATGTGTACTGGAGGTCACGGAACACTGTAGTACCTGTAAAGTCCTGATGTATTATAAATGAGGGAATTACAGCATGCATGTGGTTATCCACACCGTACGGTACAGCGCTGAGCACTGATGAGTCAACAGGACAAAAGCGACTCGCAGGATATCGAGCCATCCATAGACTCCGAGTCATTTAGTAGCATCTGTACGGAAGGGGCACGTTGTGGGGTGATATTGGAGTCAAATTGCGAAGCACTGCCTGAATATCATAGTAGCTACTGTTGTCAAACAACAAGGACAATAATCTGTGAGCTTACTTTCGATAAGGTCAAAAATACCGAAGCGGCCAGATCAACTCGCTCTTTGTTGTTTTTTACGTCTCGATGCCTCATTGCCACAGCCACCAATCATTAATCAGAGCCCTGTCCAGTTGCTATAACGCCTTCAATTATCTCCCTATTGGTATTCTACCGCTGAAAGCTTCCGTCCTCCCTCCAACACGCAATTATCTTCCCGTCTAGTGAAAGTGCCAGTGCATAGACCCATCCCCCCTCACCTTTCCATGGTTCCCCAACAACAAGTCCCGTGTCGCAGTTCCACTTGCGCATAGTGCCATCCTCTGAACTACCCACGATGTGGACGTCGTCGTGCAAGAAAACAAAATCCTGAATCGCCCCCTCGCCGTGTCCTTCAAACTCGTGCTTCATAATTGGTTCTTCCCATTTTGCTGTGGTCGAAACTTCCTTGCGGGTCCACCTTGCAAAGAATCTAGCAGCCATGGCTTGTTACTACTAATCAAATTAAGGTGTTCCTCTGAGGAACATCTATGGGGACCATACACCAGACTTTGAGCTAAAATATTCCCCGGCGAGAATGAGTGAGAATTTGGAAATCCGACGTAATTCATGTTGGCGAAAATTTGTAGCGATATCGATCGATAATCCACTGTTGGTTACTCGTTTCGGACTTAACTGCGCAGCAATCAACGTTGTGAACGCATGTACATGTATAGCCGTCGTCGCCCACTGACTCAGCTTCCACATCCTCCTACCGGGTCTCCAGACTCATGCCCAAGTTGTCGTATAAGTGGTGCTCCTGTGAGAGCTACAGATGTAGGGATAATCCTGACGCAAGTGGTCAGAAACTACAGACCGTTCAGACAGCTGCAAGACACCATGCTGCTGATCAGCAGCTCCGCGATGCTCGTACCATTGAACCAGTCGCTTCTGGGCCTCACTCACCTGCACATGAGCCTTTTGGAGCCAACGAACCATTCGCGCATGGTGATGATGATGGGGAAGGGATCTTCGACCCTCCTGAGCCGCTAGACAACCTCTTCGAGATGTGGAATGAACCCCCAGATGTTCGAGGCCCAAATGACTTCAGCACTGACGAAGATGAAGAAATTTTTCAGCGACTTGGACGAGCCAACACACCAGAGGATGACACGGAAGATCCTGCAGTTCCCGATGATGATCCTGACATTGATGTCGAGGATGATGAGGCTGCTGCTGCTATTGATCTCTTTGTATCGCAGGGCACCCAGTTTGATTTCTCGGATGTCCTAGAAGGAGCGGATATTCACGCTGACCCTCCGTCATGCATGGACGACCATCCGGCAGTCCGCCACGCATACATACATGCATTTATATCTGCAGCATTCTATAATGCTACCCACGCAGCAGTGTATCACGATCTTGAAGGAAAGGAGCGCCTTCTGCGCACTGCTCAACAGGCCAACCCCTGATATTGAGTATCCAGGGCTCGATAACTTTGCCCGCACACTCCCCACCCTCCTCAGACGACTTGGTCTATCGACAGATCAATTTATTGTTTATTTTTTCGTTTGCAATGTCTGTTGGAAGCTACACCATCCATCAGAGCTTCCTGAGCTACATTCTCCTGATTGCACTAATCCTGATTGTGACGGATTGTTGTACACCTCGAAACGACTGGCTGACGGCACCCTCAAACGAACTCCAACAAAAATCGTCCCATATGTACCTCCTGAACGGGCTCTACAGCGATTTCTTCTACGACCAGGCAAATGGGACCAATTCCAGCACTGGCGCGGCCCTGAAGACCAGCCAGGTCATGTCCCGCCTATTCCTGGTCATGGATACAATTCATTTCCCGACCCGTCTAAGCCAATGACTCGGGTGCTCGACAGCATGTGAAAGGGATTGGTGCTGGTCAGACGTGTAGACAAGGCATCAAATGGACTCTTGATGATCGCAGCACTCGCTAATTTGGATGGGATCGTTTGATTTGTAGCAGGAGGAGGCATTCTCGTGGTGTCAGGGTCATAGCCTTGATTTGGTGATGGCACGTCAAGCTCGCGTGTTGCCTCAAGTGCAGGATCGATGGGTACGTCTGCAGGTCCAGCTGAAGGATTGTTTCGTTCTGACAGCTTTGCCTCTATCCCATCAGGACGCATATATGCGTCATAACGTTGGCTTTGTGGCAACATTGCATCGAACGACTGCGGTGGATGAGGTGGAATGGACTCCAGAGGAACTAGGTGAGCTACTGGTGCCATATTATGAACAACCGGAGGTGCTGACGTGGAACCGAGTGCTGGGAACGGGTTTTTGAACCCACCTGTGGTCCGTGGCTGAACCAGAGTCTTCCTACCACGTTTGGAGGTTATGGACACATCCCCTCCGTCATTCAGCTTCCTCTTGGCCACAGCCTTGCCCCCAGCCTCCTGACCGCCTTCTGGACTCGTTTCCTGGCCCAGTTCCACGCTGTGTGAGGCAACCTGAGGCTTCCGAGGAGGCATAGTAGTATTGGAGATGGTTGTTTTGATGTCCCAAGGGTCGAACTACGCGTCAAAGCGGCTTCAGTGGGCTTGTCTGAAAGCTCAGGAGCTGGCTCAGCAGTACAGGCTTGCCATGGAGGGCTCTGATCGTTGCAGGAGGAAGGAGACGCGCAATTGCAGGGGAATATGCTGTATTAGGCTACATACGGACTACTTTTTGACAGGTGAATAATTAGGGAGAATCACAACTTTTTTGCTGTCGAAAAACGTCAGATAAGGGCTCATTCCGACGATTTTCAGCTTGTCGGAATATTGGTAACTATTTGCCTGATTATCGTTGGATATTTGTTCTTTCCGACGATAACCCACCGTCGGAAAATTTGTGTCAAAGTCTGGTGATAGCTGCTCAACTCGAATAGATAGTTAGTACCACAAATAATTTCGGCCGAGCCAAACTCACTACTTGTTAGCCGAACTCCTACCCGGGCCACCCGACGTCAAAATCTGTTGGGTTCAAGCCCACGGAGGTATGAATAGGTATCAGAGCCTATCAAAAGTTTATATTATGTAATACCTCTAAGTTGTTGATGTTTATGTAAAACTCGATGTGCATATACAGTGACCAGTCCGATTCGGATGTACAAAATCTAGATCTAGTATCTTCGCTGTCTTCCCATACCTCGTCGAAGCGTTTTATTTCACCATCGGGTACATCATCGGCACCCGGGTCACCAGCTACACATCCACCGCATCGTAAACGACCAGCGTCCCCGATATCGATTCCTGTTCTGCCAGTGGTGGCGCCCGGCGGGTCCACTCATGACACACCTACCCTACTTGCGATGCGTTCAATCCCCACGGTTTTGACCATTTGATCAGACTGATAATGAAATATTCATGCAATATGCTCAAGAAAGCTGGTTTCTTGGCGGCCCTAGCTGGTCTTTACGCCTTTCATCTCTCCTGGATATTCTCCTCATGCCGCCTGGTTTTTGGATCCAAGAATATCCACTACGAAACGTTCAAACCCTCGAGCCATTTTCCCGTACACGTTCAACCCGAGCAACTTAGTTTGCAATTGAAGGAATTGAGTCACTCATGCTTGGTATGAACAATGCTTATAACCCATACTCCCATCATTCGGCTTGCAGTTCGAACAGTCCAACTTCTACACTATCATCATGATGTTCAAATTGGACGTCAGATGCTCATCTTAGCAGGGAGCTGTCCAATGTTAGCGCATATGGCCAGGTTCGTACCTCTTTGATATTGAAATTGCCAGCACGGCGACTATCGTGATATTGACCCTGAATCTCTGGTCATTGAGCAAACGAGTAAAAGACGGTGAAAAAGTAAGCTTTAATTTGGTTGAACTGCGGTCATTGTAGCTAACACGCATCTGATTTATGGCTGGCTGGCCATGACCCACGGTGCTCTGTTTACCCCAGACTAAACAGTACGCAGATACCTCATACACTTTATTCCACCCAATATCGCCTTTACCCATTTCTCAATCGGCAACGTCCTACGTATTGTTCAATCAACAACAGCACCAATGCGAAAGGAAACACTCACGAGTGTGTCGCTACGTGTCGGCTTGTTCTCAGGCTGGGATAACCTAAACGATGCATATATTGGCAGCGCAGAGAGCGTATTTATCGCAGCAATCACTATCCTTTTCGCAACTATCGTCACGTGCGCTGCAGATTGGCCCCCTTGCTGCGACAGACATTATAGATGCTGTCAACGCAACGATAAAGGTGAGGAAGAAGAAACGCATTGTTTGTTTAGAGTGGTATGGACTGCCGAGGGCTTGAATGATTTCTTTGAGGTGGGTGGTGGTGACGGTAGAAAGATGACTTACTTTTATATTTGCCTCACTCAATTTCATTTTGTTTTTCCTGATTTTTTTGTTGTATATTGCGACGGGGGATAAGCAAGTGAGAGCAAATAAAATGATACACCACATGCGATTGCGCGTGCCACCTCAGGTTACCCCATATACTATGGTAGACTTTATTACCCCGAATATCGTATATCATCCGTCATACTGCGAATCTCCTGAGAATTTCTGTTCTTGGCTTTCGCGATCTTTCGTTGAGCAACATGACCGCTGTTGCTCGTGCACTGTGCAGTTCACAGGTTGTGTGATGTTTGACGGCGAGTTGATTATTACGACTCACAACAGGGTGTCTGTGACAATATCTCTTCTCGTGTTTCAGATATCCAATTATACGCACTGTGCTGTGAGGCATCGACTGTCTTCTGGCCGATATTCTGACGTGGCGGCATCTGTTATTGCATCTGTGGATCGTTTCCTGTCTTGTTCCCGGCACAGCCTTGCCATGATCGCCAGTCATTTGAGCAGTTTGGTGGCCCCTCCTCTAACTCTCTGCGCTGCCGCTCTATCTGGCACTACTAGCCGCACTACTTAGTGTTCGTCGCACGAAAGCCGCTAATGTTGATGTCACCTTGCGGCGTTTTGGAAATCGGGATCGGAATGAAATATTGCACAGCACGAAGATTGTGTGATACAGTATGTGTACAAGTCAAATAGCAACGTTGGCCAATTCGGGAGGACTGGGACAAAGGCTTGAAGAAAGACATTAATCGGAACATGCTGGCGGAGTCGGGAACTGGCGCGTACGCGGCGCTACGATCCTGTATCATGACATGGTAGCCTCCGATGTTAGAGATGGAACTTTCACGGAAGGAATAAGAGATGGTGATCCTGACATTAATTCCAGTGACTCATTGACGACGAAAACAAAACGACGTAGATACTAGTAGTCTGGTTGGACAACCCTGTGGTCAGAATCATAGAAGTGATGGTTATCTAGAGGAACGACATACGGCCACATGAGTCAATCGAAGGATTAAAGTCTCGGTTGGAAGTCTTGTTGGGTTATGCGACTCGGAAGAGCTGGGCAGCTCAATAGTCAAGCTGTGGAATAATTGAGATTGCAAGGTATAAGACTGGATGAACGTTTCAATGACTCGGTCCCCGTGCTAAGTATGCGAAGGTGTCTAGTAGGTTGTGATGGTGTTTGCCTGATGCGCTGAAGGACGAGTGCTCGTGCGTCTAAGTTGCTGTACATTGTTGACATCGGTGCCAAACAGTCAGACAAGTGCATAGGACTCGGAATTCGCATGAGAATGAAGGTTGTCATGCTTTGGACGCCAGGTCTGAATTCAGAGGACATGGAAACATAACTCATCTAGAATGGTGAAATTTGAGACTTCAAGAGATACAAATTCAGTGCCATGAACGGGAATAAGATGGGCAGTCTGGATTATGGAGTTAACAGTGTTTGTTACACCTGCACCTGATGATGGTGGATGGATGTGTCCCTTTGGCATACATCTTCTGACTGTTTGGAGTGTTCGCCAATAATAGAGGCCCATTGACATAATGTATATTACTTCATGAATGAAGCAGCGTGAGGAATCTAGCCAAGTAGTGTGCATGTAGGAACCAGAGAAAGAGAGCTATAAGAAAATGCCAACTGGGGAGAGAACGAGATATCGCAGGCGTTTACGTGAAGTACCGAGAATGACAAGAACTTGGAAGGTGTTGGAGGTCGAAGTGAGCAGTGGGAGACTGCAGTAGGTCGTGGCGGCAGCGCAAGGTTAGCGGTGGCACGTGATCGGGCGCGCAACACCAGGTTCATCCAAGGGCGAGGAAGGGTCTGTGTTGGCGTGTAAGGATGGTGAGACGTTGCGGGACGTTGCCCTTGGGGTTGTAGAGGTGCAGGAGGTTGAGGGAGCAGGTGACCACGCAAGAGCGACAGGAAGGTGCAGGATGGTCGTGGCAGTAGCACCGGGTTAGCGCGAGCACAAGGAAGGTCCTGGTTGGATGTGTGGGGCAATGGAGGGCAATAGAAGGATGGGGAAGAGTCTTGGTTGAGTGTGTGGTGTGTGGCAGGAGGTTTCCCTAGGGTGCAGGTGGTTACGTCGATGGCAGCGCCGCATCGTAGCTGCAGGATGTTGCTGCAGGGGGTAGCACTTGGATGTGAGGAGCCGCGAGCGATGGTTGACAGAGGGATATGGTTAGAGTGTACGTCACGTTTACATACGCGGTGAAAAGGAGGCTGTCATCCTACGTGGTTGATGACGAGAAAAAAAGAGCATACCAGTACGGTAGCCGGCGGCGGCCAACGTTAACCTTGGGGTAGGTACGGAGCAACCCAGGAGTTATAACTTATAAAGGGTGCTCCATGGATCCATGTTCCGCCATCAATGCAAGCTACACTCAGTGGCTTTATCAAGCTTTCTACTAGCAGATCTTTGCGTTCGAACACATTCTTCAGTGCTCCGGGCCCAGCCTGAACCAATGTTAATGAACTTCCAGAATTCTGTCAAAGTGCAGAACGTTACGTAACTTACTAAAATAAAAATATTACGGTTTAAATCAGTCTGAACTCAATTGCAGCTTTTAAGTTCTCAGCGTCCCGCACTACTGATGCGTTTCTAGGTTCTGTAGTAAAATCCTGCAGGCCATTCAAAGGTCATTGCAAGACTTCCACTGCAGCTACTTACCAACTGATACTAATTTATTGCATAGATGAATTTCATGGGACTTGAATGTATCTCCACGCGATCATGAGTCTCGTGCCCAGTCGCATTTCAAGCTAACGTTGTCGCTTCAAGTTCGAAGCTTTGCCATTGTTCGCCTTCGGTGGTGTTGCCAGAGTAACGTCATGATGTTTAATACCGACTGCCATATAAAAAGGCCCAGCTATAGATCTAGGGTGGCTCAGGAAGATGATTCCCTCTACATCGTTTCCAGCTCTTCTTGCCCTGCCGGCGCTTGCCTTCCTTTCGCTGTCAGCGAGTGCTTTGCCTCATGCTCGGACGGCATCAAGTACAGCTACTCTAAAGCTCGCTGTTAGAATAAACTCATACGGGATCGAGAACATCGCGGCTGCAGATCGAGCTCGGATCCAAGCCTTACGAGCTGGCGGCAGCTCTTCTGTCGATGCAACCAATGCTGTGACGGGATACACTGCTGTCATTGGCGTGGGGAGTCCAGCAACGAACTGTAAGCTGCTCGTGCTCCTACGATTTCTTTATCTGACGCATTGTCAAATTCATACAGACACACTCCTGGTAGACACAGGAAGCTCAAATACCTGGATCGGGGCCAATAAGCCTTACCAACAGACTACCACGAGCCAAGACACAGGCGGTACAGTCGTGAGTAATTGTTTCTACGTGGCATATACATTTTGTCAAATCGTTTTCAGTATGTTACATACGGCGATAACAGTTACGTTTCTGGAGAGGAATACACAGACACGGTAACGCTCAACTCTGATCTGGTCATCGACCACCAATCTATTGGCGTCGCATCTGAAGACTCAGGGATGGATGGTCTGAATGGAATTCTTGGCCTTGGACCAGTTGATTTAACGCAGGGCACCGTCAGTAATGCATATGAAGTTGCAACTGTGACGGACAACCTCTACGCGCAGAAAAAAATCAGTTCGGAAGTACTCGGAGTGTTCTTCGCACCTGCTTCCTCTGACGATAGCAGCGGCGAGCTCACATTCGGCGGTTATGACGCATCTAAAATTACTGGAGACATCAGCTATGTATCGCTCACATCAGCATATCCAGCGAGTACATATTGGGGTATTGATCAATCCATCAGCTATGGGTCTACGACCATTTTGAGCGAGACAGCTGGTATCGTTGATACTGGTACCACCCTCATTCTCATTGCCTCTGGTAGGTGTCCTGCACGACGTCAAAACCATTCTAATCCCTTTCCAGATGCCTTCGACAAATACCAGCTTGCTACGGGTGCAACCCTCGATCAGAGCACTGGCTTGTTACAGATCTCATCCGACCAGTACAACCAGCTCTCATCCTTGTATTTCACTATTAGTGGGGTTACTTATGAGCTCACCCCGAATGGGCAAATTTGGCCTCGATCGTTGAACAGCGCCATTGGCGGTACCAGTGGCGGCATATACCTGGTCATCAGTTCCACTGGGAGCCCCTCTGGTTCTGGCATGGATTTTACGAACGGCTACTGTTTCCTGTACGCAGAGCTACATTTTTTCCGGGAAAATAAATTACTGAATTGTTCTTCCACAGCGAGCGGTTTTACTCTACGTACGACACGACGAACTCCCGAATCGGGTTCGCCACTACTGAGTACACCTATGCCACGACAAATTAGCTACAGTCTTTGGAGAACGTCACACCCGGAGCCGCATCAACATACCCACAAGAACATTCGTTACTTGAGAATTCGTTACGTACACATTTCATTGCATTCATTTTAACCCTGTTGATATCATATACGAGTCATACTCGTGAACAATACACTACTGATCTCAGTTTAAATGTTCTTGCTCCGCTTCCAATAAACACAAGACCTCTCCTCCAGACGATGCAAACCAACTACCCGTGTTGGACAACCAGGGACATCGATTCTTCCTCCATCTTCCACAGCACCCGCTAGGAATGAACCGATATTCGTCCCCCTTCTTCAAAGTGAAAACTGCGCTCAGCACAGAAGACAGTAGTAAATGGCTATCTGCCAATCCCATGGTCTGCACGACCCTTACCGTAGTATGGCCTTAACCGTTTCAAAATTTCCGACAGTGTCGACATAGCCTTCAACTAGGCAAACAAATGCAAGTAATGCGGTCAGGTGTGAGACGTGTGAATGAGTCTCGAGTCTCGATGAGATGTCAGAGCAAAGCACAACTAATCAATACCTGTGTAATTCCAGGGATGAGCACGAGACCAGGACACCCCGACACATTCACTTAAGGAATATATATACTGACAGACATCTATGTCGCCTAGATGTGGCATGCGTCGCCATCTATACTAATACTTCCTCCTGCTTAACCATAAATTTACGCCTATTCATCGGTGAAGAATGCATGTGTCGTTCGGGTGGTGCTTGTGAACCGAGCAAACACTCAATTCCAGTCAATGCTCGAGTTAACACATTAATGTCATTATATTCAAAAGAAAATCTAACCATGTGATATGCAATAAAATAGATCAGATGTATATAGGTATGGGCAGTGTGAAGGGAACGAGATGGAGAGCGCAGAACCAGAATGCCAGCCGGTGAAAGAACGAGATATCACAGGTAGCTACGTGAGCTGCCAAGAATGACAAAGTGTGGGAGGTCGAAACGAGCAGCGGGAGACTGCGGTAAGTCGCGGTTGTAGGTTAGCGGTAGCACGGTCGGGTGTCTAAGACTAGGTTCATGGAAGGGCGAGAAGGGTCTGTGTTGGCGTGCCAGGGCAGTGAGAGGTTGCAGGACGTTGCCCTTGGAGCATGGGGGCTGTGGAAGTCCAGGAGGTTGAGGGAGCAGGTGACAGAAAAATGCAGGAGGTCGAAGTGGGAAACGGGAGACTGTGGTAAGTCGTGGCGGCAGTACCGGGTCAACGCGAGCGCAAGGTCCTGGTTGGATGTGTGGGGAAGTGTGTTAGTGTGTAGCGGGAGGTGGCAGGAGGATGTCCTAGGGCGTAGATGGTTACGTCGATGGCAGCGCCGCATCATAGCTGCAGGATGTTGCTGAGGGTGGCACATTGACACTTGGATGTAGGAGCCGCGAGCGACGGGAGGTCGTAGTTGACAGCCACCGGGATATGATTTGAGTGTACGTGCACGTTTACACATGCGTACGGCCAAGGGTGAAATTTAAATTCGGAGGCGGTTGATGATGAGAAAAAAAGAGCATAGAGTATTCAACTTACGTAGCCGCCAACGTCCTTGGGGAGCTTCATCGGAGTTACTTAGTAACCGATGCCAAGTCGTAACCTATCTAACTTCTTTGACACCTTGAGCGCGAGTTGAAGTTAGCCGATCGGCGCCGTGGCACGCTGAGGGTTTTTGCTGTAATGCAGGTCATTACTAGACTTCCACTGCAGCTACTTCAAGTACTTGCTGACACTCATTTATTGCATAGATGAATTTTATAGGACTTGCGATCATGATGAGCCCCCGGCCCAGTCACATCTCAAGTTAACGTAGTCGCTTCGAAGCCCTGCTATTATTCGCCACCGATGACTCGTCGGATGTTGTCAGAATAACGTTTAGATGTTTTGATACCGACCATATAAAACGGCCCAGCTATAGATCTAGAACTCGGATCGCTCAGGAGGATGATTCCCTCTACATCGTTTTCATCTTTTCTTGCTTTGCCTGCGCTTGCCCTCCTCTCCCTGTCAGTGAGCGCTTTGTCTCATCCTCGGGCGGCTTCAGGCACGGCTGCTCTCAAGCTCGCCGTTAGCATAAACTCGTACGGGATCAAGAACATCGCGGCTGCAGACCGAGCTCGAATCCAAGCATTACAAGCTGGCGGCAGCTCTTCCGTCAATGCAAACAATACTATCATGATATACACTGCAGACATTGGCGTGGGGAGTCCAGAAACGTACTGTAAGCTGCTCGTGCTTCGGCAATTTCTTTATCTGACGTATTATCAATTTCATACAGACACACTCCTGGTAGACACCGGAAGTTCACTTACCTGGATCGGGGCCAACAAGGCTTACATGCAGACCAACACGAGCCATGACACACACAATCAATTCGTGAGTATTTGTTTCTACGTGACACATACATTTTGTCAAACCGTTTCCAGTATATTGCATATGCCGGTGGGAGTTCCATTGATGGGGAGGAATACACAGACACGGTAACGCTCAACTCTGATCTGGTCATCGTCAACCAATCTATTGGCGTCGCATCTGCATCTGCCGCCTCAAACCTGCGTGGTCTGGATGGAATGCTTGGCCTTGGACCAGTTGGTTTAACGCAGGGCATCATCAGCAATACAGATGAAGTTGCAACTGTGATGGACAACCTCTATGCGCAGAAAACAATCAGTTCGGAAGTACTCGGAGTGTTCTTCGCACCTGCTTCCTCTGACGATAGCAGCGGCGAGCTCACATTCGGCGGTTATGACACATCCAAAATTACTGGAGACATCAGCTATGTATCGATCACATCAACATCTCCAGCAAATTCGTATTGGGGTATTGATCAATCCATCAGTTATGGGTCTACGTCCATTTTGGATGAGACAGCTGGTATTGTCGATACCGGAACCACCCTCATTCTCATTGCAACTGGTAGGTGTCCTGTGCGACATCAAAGCCCTTCTAATTCATTTTTTAGATGCCTTTGATAAATATAAGTCTGCTACGGGAGCAACCCTCGATAATAGCACTGAATTGTTAAAGATCTCATCTGACCAGTACGACCAGCTCTCATCCTTGTATTTTACTACTGGTGGGGTTACTTATGAGCTCACCCCGAATGGGCAAATTTGGCCTCGATCGTTGAACAGCGCCATTGGCGGCACGGCCAAGGGCATATACCTGATCGTTGCTGACAGCGGGAGCAACTCCGGTTCTGGCTTGGATTTTACGAACGGGTATTGTTTCCTGTATGCTGAGCTACATTTTTTGCTGGGAAAATTAATTACTGAATTGTTTTTCTACAGCGAGCGCTTTTACTCGGTGTATGACACGACAAACTCCCGAGTCGGGTTCGCCACCACTGAGTACACCTATGCCACGACAAATTAACTACAGTCCGTCAAGAAGATCACACACCCGGGACCACATCAACACACCCACAAAAACATTCGTTACTTACATATCTCGTTTAACCCTGTTGATATCACGTACGAATCGTACTCGTGAACAACATGGCGCTTCCAGAATCTGCTGGAAGCTGTGCCAGCGTTCACCGCTCTACAAGCATGAACGTTAACCTTATATAATACAAGAGATGCGTTGTTTTCCTGATGCGGTTCCGATCTTTAGGGCAAACAAAATTTCGTTCAAGCTTTCACTGACAGAATTCAGGGGAGGTTACCGTGGACTTCCCTGCGATCACGTAAAGTATAAACGCCTCGCAGGCTGGGCCTTAGCATCGCTCACGTTTTGAACACAGCTGTCATTAAGCATCTACGTGCTCGTATTGTTCACTTTTTTGGACATCACGAGTACATATTTATGAGCAGTGAGTTTTCCCTGATCTGATTCCCCTGCGTACCCTTTTTTCTTTAGGATCAGCGGCACTATTCGCTCTTCTGTTCATAGCGCAACTAGTATTCGGTCTAAGAGTCACTCTGACGATGTCGGTCCCACTGAATGCCGAAATCATCAGTGAGGTGCTGGAAGCGTAAGTGCCATGCCCGTGCTGTGTCCCTCGGTTTCCTAACCCCTCCTACCAGTTATCAAGCTGTTGTGGGTTATCAAGTATATATCCAATGGTGCAGGCTGAGGAGACATCTGAAGGCTATTGGCATCCTTGGCTTCACAATTCTGGTATGGGATCATGCGATCACTTTTGCAGATGAGGTCCCGTCTTTACTATTTTGCTGGCCCATTGGCTAACCCACTGCAGGTAGAGATCATATGGGGTCGTCCAAAGAAACTCTGTAAGCTCGTCCATAGATTGTTTTATTGGTAGTGACTTCAACTTTCAGTGACGTTTTTATTCTTGCTCGTACGTTGGTGGCCAGAAAATGACATTTCCTGCCTGACTGTCGTGTAGAATCGGTACCTCACACCTGTTGGTTTCATCGTGAACCTTGTTGGTAAGTTCTGAATGCCTGTCGTGCCGACCAGTGACGCTTCAATTATCATGAAGCACATAGCCTGCCTTCTTGGTCGTTCATAGTCAGTACTTTCTGTTTCTCTCTGTTGAAGATAATCTAACGAGAAATGTAGAAGTAAGACATCCAATTCTAAACTTCAATGCGTTGTAACAGGTGCATAGGTGCGAGCATTTCGTTCGGTACGAGGGGGCTATGACGGCAGTTGGGATTCAAGTTGCGGGACTGATGATGTTCCTGCGGTGAGCTCTCAATTGAAATGTACCAGTCATCACCATGCACAATTCCTGAATCCTATCCGTCAGCGTTCGAGCCATGTACCGCGACAACAGATATGTTGTGATCCTTCTTGCATCGTTATTGTTTCTTTGGGTAGCAGTTGGCGCTTGGCTGTTGTCTCATGGCGTGGGTGAGTGCCAAAGTCGTCTGACGTGCGGTTCAGGTCTAGCTAATCTGTCGATCAGCTGTCCCTCAGTCTTCTTTTATACATCGTGAACCCATCTATCTGGACGCTTCTTATCTCATCTACTTACGGTTTTCATACAGCTTGTCGCATGGAGTTCTCTGATCGCGTGTATGTTATCCCTGCTATTTAGTGAGTGGAATGCTGAAAGCGAACACAGAGGGAGTCTCGCATCCTGCATGGGCATGGGTTCCTCTCTGCTATGATACGGTTGTCTTTGCTTTGACTTTGAACCGAACATTGCCCTCGATACGAAATAAGGAGGCAGGGCATGTCATCTACACGCTATTCACAAATGGTGTTTTATTCTACAGGTACGCTCATGGATCGAACAATTACAGACGTTTGTATGATTTAATTTAATAGTGTGATATGTGCCATAAACCTTATCTTTACCGTCATGATTGTGAGGGCTCCACAGGGCTTGAAGAACATTACTGGACAGTACGTCTTCTATGTGTCATGTGGCATACTTGACTGGCATCTCTGAAACCGAAATTCTTTTCAGACTTGAACTTATGTGAGTGTGGTCGATTGGTAGATCTAGGAGCTGATTTCCAAATGTCAATGGATAAATTTTGCAGATTAACGGTGAGTCCGATTTACGCAGATCATAAATTTCTTGCTTCATCTTATCCTCGGCCACTTTCCTTTACAAGGTCGCAATGATGTCACGCATCACTCTCAGCTTAAAGAAGGAGGGCACACGTGGCCCTGCTTGTCAAAGGCCTGTCCAAGATGTCATGAAGCCACAGCCAACTCCCAACTCCCAGACTTCTCCAACGAGAACAGAATTGTTGGACACGCAAGGTCACACAGGATCTCTCAATGGTGTTGTATCCTCTGAAGGACAGCGAGACAACGAAGTTTGCACCTGCTCCACCTGCTCTGCAGTGACTGATGCATTTGACCCTGCGGACGATAAACGCAGTCGGTACCGGGAGGCAATAGTTTGAATAAAAATTGTTGTACAAACTCCTGTATGACATAGACCTGCAAAGTACGTCATTCAAGTGGTCGATAATACATTCATTAAACCTCAGATGTTCAAACAGACTCTTAGCTTTTGCTCCACCTTCCCCCTAAGTTTCAGCTCAAAATATCTTAGGGTCTTTGCCCGGTCACAAACTAGTGTAGGAAAATAGGAATGTTCCTTTCCTCGAAAGGGTCCAAGAATGACAATATGATGATCGATAGCAGATTTACGCAGATTTTTGTAAATATGTGCTATATTGTTATATGTTCTTCTTAGAGATCCATCCGTTCACTGATGCTCATTGTTTATGGGTGTGGATGCGAAAGTCACAATGGTGTTCCCAGCGAGAGACGTAAGACATTATGAGGACGATATCTATCATGACTAACATGCCATATGCTGCAGCACATAACATGTGCGTGCTGAGAATGATCCCTCCCTTGCATTTTATGGTGGGAACGGCGGACTGGTGGGGGTAAGCCCCAGGGCAGACTCTGAGGTGCAGCAGGGGTATGGGCCCCCTTAGATTAGATGGTAATGTGTCCCACATAGAGAAGTCTACCGACACTGCTCTTTAGAAACCTGGACAAAAATGACACAGACCGGTCCAGTAGGTTTTCCCAACCAACATAACGACGTCGTGGATCAAGTTGTCGTCAGGAGTCGGGTGGGTTTAAAATTTGAGCTACTATGTAACAACCCCCAGGACCAGTGACCAATTGATCACACTTCATACTACTCGTGTCTTGGACGACCTTGGAGCAAACTATGAGAAAAAGCGCACAATCAAACATACATCGACATATCTAACTCCTCTAAACCTCCCCGACTGTCTTGATAACGTTACCTCGAACCACAATGCGTTCATTGCGCCTCCAGAAATCTGCCAGAATCTCCGCCAGTTTCGTCGGATTGTCCTAGTTTCACGTCAGCATAAACGAGTAAGCGTCTATCGCAAGCAACTGACGAACCTCGTGCACGAGATGCCCCACACCCGAACCAGCCATGACTTCGAGCCAGAATTTGCCCTGCATTTGACCAACCATAAGTGTCGTATCAAGGCGCTCTGCACCTGCTAATACTAAGAGCCGTGCGGAGCGGAGCCCGAGGAATAAAGACGAAAGCGACGGGAACCAGCCTGAAGAAAATCAGTATGCAAGTCAAAGGGGCAAGCATAGGCTTACTATCCCAGTATGGCGCCGTCGACCGGAGTGGTGTACGCCACTTGTATTTGAATCCAATATTTGCGCGCGTGCTGGGCGTAAGAGGAGAATCTGCAGGGACAATGATAGATGGGATCGAAACACGGGCAGACACGGGGTTGTGGATAAGGCCCGTATTGACGCTGTATGAGCAAGTATGAATATAGCATTTATCAAAGGTGACATGAAATACGAACTGCCACTCGATTGCTTCCTCGACGCTATCGAAACCCTCGGGTCGAGAGTTGAGAATCGCGTGCATGTGAGGCAGCGCCTCTACTGCTGTGCCTATTGGTTATTGGTTATTGGTGATGGGTCAAACTCGTGCAAATTACAGAATTTGATGTAGTAATAGGTACCTTCTACTACATCCAAAACGGCCACTCCTGCAATCTTAAATTTGCGTTGTTGAAGTATGGGACAAGCGCGAACGCAGACAGATCCTCCCATGCTGTGTCCAACAAGCTACTCAGGGTGTCATCAATCCGATATGCGTGAAAGGGAGAATAAAGTTCACCATTAAATTTGGAGCTGCTGCCACATCAGGGTAAATCGTCTGTAGCAGAGCACAGAAATCCTCAACAAGGACATTGATAGATAAGTCTTCATCAGATTGAGATGATGTTGTCTTTCCTGGAACACGATGAGTATTTCACATTCCCCTGAAGTGAATGCCTACCATGTCTCCTGGCATCAAAGGCCAGGACACCAACGTTGTCTCTCATGACCTCACTTATCTCTTTAGCGAGACATGCAAAGCTTGTACCTGCATATCCTGCACCGTGGTGGAATACAATAACACCCCCGCCGTCGTACTTCGGAGGAGTGTAATATACCCGAACGTCGAGGGCTCGGGTAGGGAGCGATATCTGCAATGCCTGAGAAAAGTATGAAGCAGGACTTAATGGCTTGAATTCAGGATTTGGTGACTTTGGCTTTCGGGTAGACGTGCTTGGCCGTGGTCTATACAACAATAAGTAAGAAAGGATTGGATTCTGGATGGAAGGTGGCATACAGTGGAGGTGGCCCCATGCCAGTCGAGAGTTCGCCGATTCCATCAGTAATCTCAGATTGTTCATCATCATCCTCATCGTTTTGTGGTAGCTGCGGTAACTTCGCTATTCGGGCACTGATTGCAGAACGATATAGCGAGCTCATCTCGACAATCGTGAATCAGGAGTTCGAACGCTTCCAAATTCGGACCATTCAACACGGGTTGATTAGTAAGCGAACATTGTCCAGCAAAATTGACCTTTGCCGCATCGACCGTTTGCAAGGATTATGGCGTCGCTGTTCCGCATAACGTCGAACAACATATTCAAACCCTCGTCACGGTCATTCGCGACAGCGTCACAAAAACAAGTAGCGTCCAAATCAGAACCAAATACCCACTTCAAAATCACTCTCCGCCGCTCCGCCATTGCACTAGGCGAACGGAAGAAGGAAACCTTGGTAGCACTCGGTCTGCATAGACGTATGCAAACTGTGTATCATGTCCACAGCCCAGAGGCTGCAGGAAAAATTCTTAAAGTGAAGGAATTAGTCGAGGTTGAGAATGTACCAGCAAAGGCTGTACGCTCTCAGTCAGAGCAGAGGATGGAGAGGAAGGCATCGAGAGGATACCAGGTGCAGGGCACAAAGCTGGGAGGACTTGCATGGGAAACTTCATGACCAGGTCCGTTTATCTCGTGCTCTTTCGTTTCTGCACTCACTCGCTTTCCAAATCAAAGACCCCATATCATTACTTTGGCTGGAGTTCTTTCTCATTATCTTGTCTATTACTGGCTTTCCCTCTTGCCCTATATTGTTATTTGAAGACTCGATACCCTTTTCAGGTGGTGTCTGCTTTCGCTCTCTACCATCATATTGTCTTTGATCCACTACCATCGGAACAATGAAATTCATGGTGCGGCTTTTATCTTTCGAAGAAGATGCCTCGTGGCTGCGTTATAAGTTCCGATCATTTCTGTTACTTGGTGTCTATGCCTTATCCACACCGCTTTGACTAGATAAACGTGTTTGTGACTACCTGATTGATCATTGACATACAGCTCAAACATTGCAAGCTATAATTGCCGTTCCTGCTGTACCATGAGTTGCCCCTCGATCCGATACCGCAGTCCCACAGCACCAGGAATGCATCGCAGATTTTTCGCCACCCCGATCACTCCTCACAGAAGTCAATTGCTCATACCACACGCAGATACTCATGGAGCTATCCATACCCCCTGAATCTCGTCATCACACTCACGTTAGAATGATGGACGTCCTCAAGTAGCAAGCCGTGCTGTCGTTGCTACATGGGTATATTGTGGGGACTTGAGTTCCACTGCGGTCTCTTTGAGATCGATTTAACATGTCTCATTGTCCAATATTCTAACTTGTACTTGGGCATAACGCTATAACACAGGCAGTAAGCTATTTATCAGGGAATGGTAGAGTTCTTTTATTTCGTTTGATGTCCAATTGGCTCGGCGAGCCCGTGCACGTTCATGTTCTCTGCTTTAATCTTCCTCACTCTATTGAGTGATTTGTTAGCAAAAATGTATCTCCGTGAGCATCCGCGGGCGGATTGGCCTTGGATCATCGGCTGAGTGCATCAACGATATAATGTTTAGAATTTAGATTCCCGCCTCTAAGCTTCAAGATCTTCAAATGCGTTTAATTTTATTTCTAAGCTTATACAAACTCCAGCCTTCTGATAACGACGGTCATTGCAATAATATAGAACGTGTATGAATATAATAGATGTATAAGTTTGGTACAAGCGGATAGTAGCATCATGGTACTATATAGCTAACCTATTGGGACATTAGCGCTAGCAAGTGAAGGGCCAGTATCATGAATTAGTGATTCAATCGTTGTGGCTGTCCAGGGCTGTGGCACTATCGTATCTTCTGATGGAGTCTCACGATCGTGGCTGCGCTCCGAGTCGCAGCTGAGCGCTGAACATTCTCACTGAGCTAAAATCTCACCGGTGCATTGTCCATGGGGTTGGTAGGGGTTATTCCTATCGAGAAATGTGGAGGGACTTGTTATAGCATTATAACGGTACCGAAGGCGTCTGCACCGGTATAGGCAGAAGAGGCCGGACGGTCATTCCTTACCGAGTCAAGAAACGTCGTAGCCAGGCTAACCTGCACGAACCATCTGATTCCTGTGCAGTCGGCCTCGTGCTATCCTGCGGGAACAACAATTACAAAATATAACTCGCTCAATTTCGAACAGCTTGTGGTTCTGCCTATCTCCACCCTCGTCCAACCCTACCGTACGGGTCCGTAAGTCTTCCGAGTAAAGTTCTCGAAAGCGTCATCTTGCTTACGAGGACTTAGCTTTTCCATGCAGGGAGGATTTCTGACTGAAGATGACCTGGAGAAGTACTTCGCATCCGGGGAGCATCCATGGACAAGTCTCGTAGTACCGCCTTCCTTCAGTTACGATTGGCAGCAGCCCCACTCTACCACATTCGATGTGGGAGGGCCATCTCTCACAAACCGATGCTCCAGTGGATCTCCCTCGCATGACCAATGGGTCTACCGGATACCCGAGGCATGTACTCACGAAGCATGATTTAGCATTCGAGGAGCTCATACCGGCTGTGCCTGATCGTACCGCTAGATTCAGCAACTACCATCAGAATCTCCTTCATGTTGCACCGCAATTCTTGGCCCAGATTCGATGTCAGAAGCAAACTTATGGACGCGGATGGTGACACGCCCATCATTGAAGCGCTCTCGGCGGCTCGTGAACTACAAGATGCAGCAAGACGTTCTTAACGTCGTGCGGATTGATGTGAGCGTTAGACTCGTGTTCTGTCCTCACTGGCAAGTTGCCTCATACATCACACTGTAGGATTCACTGAGTGCAGAGAGCGTGACGGTGGTGGAGATGCCGAGTTCTGTGTTGAAGCCAGTATCATACTCTGGAAATAAACCGCCAGAGATAACAATGGACGCTTGTGATGAAAAATCGATCAAGTCCGTCCAATCTGACGTGAGTGCTATCCCTTCTCGAACTGTCGATGAGTTTTATGATATCTCTACATATTAGTCTGCACATTCCATAGGATGGGCTACCGAAGCAAAATGCGAGGGGAAGGATAAAGGGATCAAGAAGCAAGCATCCTCCAATACCTGCTGCCTATCAAAGCTGCGCCTGAACGAAGCATGGAATCGGCTGCGCCGTTGGACGACTACTGCTCTCAGGGACATGAAGAGTCGAAGTGCGCGTTTGTCATTAGCTACTCGACCGATAAGGTGAGTGAACCAACACGCTGCGCTACAGTGGATTAAATCTTATGCTCTCAGTCTGGCCGGTTGCCCGGATCAACATGACATCTGGAGATACCCTCAAGGAACCGACGATAGAGGACAAACGAATTGACCGATGTAACTAAATCACGACATAACGAACGCTCCTCATATCAGCCCCCGTGGACATTCTACATCTTTGGAGGAATGGACTCTTACTCTCATGTTAATCACAAACCAATGTACGATTATGGATTTAGTAGCGACATAAGACTGTACCTATCTCGTGGGCGTTAGACTAGAGCAACGTATGACATCATCTCAGTATACGACGAAACAGGCCCTATAGCAGCTGGAATGGCAGTAACGGCCCACTCTGCGGAGACGATATAGCACACAGAGTTATGGTAGTTTTCCTTTATACAATTCTGAAGAGTTCCGTGTCTATTTTGAGCAGCACTAGAACGCATTGCCGTGCTCAGTGGCAGATTCTCAACTAACTTGAAGTTGTCTCTGTTCGTGAGTTTCAGTTCATTCCAAATTAATTGGGACATTTTATACTCCAGGAAAAGTGCAAGTAATCCAGGCTAGGTCTCCTAAAAAACCGCTAGCACTATTACATGAGGGAACATCATAGATTCCACTCTTGCTGTGCATGTGTCTTTCAAAGACCTGCCAAAGACACATGCAAGCAAGTAAAAGTCAGAATTTTTCCGGAACGACCTGAGCCTAACGTTTTCCATTAGTAGTGTCGCAGCATCCTATTTCTATCTATGGAGCGTGCTGCGGTGTGCTGCGCAGCTGCGGTAATTTGTCAACGACATAAATGAGGGAAAAGATACAGCAAATGTTGTCCACTCTTCGTTATGGGTACGGGGGGATGGTAAACAAAGTGCGACATGTAATCAGGCTTATTAGTCATCACGCACCTCAGCGTACTGGGAATCGTTGCTACTAGTACTACTACTGGGAACAATATCGCAACTTCTCCGTCCGCAGCTGCAGGTGAACGGATTTCTTCAAGGTACTAGTAAGCTGAAACCACCACCGCCACAAAGCGCGCATCATACTTAACACTTGTACAATGTGCAAGTGCGGGCCACTGTAAAAGAAGGAATGTCTGCCTTCCTTATGTGTCGTGGGCTGTTTGGGGGCTGGATCTGATCAAACATCAACACTGGCGGGCGCTTGGAACCCGTACGTGAACTTTCTTACAGATGGCTCCACAGATGCTGACAATGCCCTCTGCCGGATGTGGACTAGTATGCATCAAAGATCAATACCAGCGCCATATCAGTGTTCATGAACATACTGATGCACCCTAATCAAACTCAGATGCTGACTCGGTGCTTAAGCGCTTACGAATGATGCTCAGCCTTTAAAGAGTTTCAAGGTTGGCTGCAGCACTTCCAACCCCACGTCTCAGTACTCTATGATGCTACCACTTGTCCTGTATGACACCCTCTCTGAGCTACCAGGCAAGAACTGGTCACCCAGCACTGCAAAGCCGAGGTCAGTAATTCGTGTTCTGTATGCCACACTTTGGTATCTGACCAAAGTCTGCTGTACCCCAGGTTTGTTTTGAGCTACAAGGATCTTCCATTCGTAACCCTCTGGGTCGAATACTCAGACATCCCCATCGCTATGAAGGCCATCGGTGCAAAGCCAAACAAACGCCGAGACGGCTCGGATATGTATACCGTCCCCGTCCTCAGCGACCCCAACACCGGTGCCCTCATTACTGACTCCCTCGAAATTGCCTCCTACCTCGAAAAGACATATCCTGAGAAGCCCATCTTGCTCGACAACTCAGAACCCCTGATACGCGCGTTCGGCTCGGCCATTGCAGGCTTCATTCGACCTGCTATGAAGTCTATCTTCGCACGAACCACAGAAATATTAAGTCCCGCCAGTGCCAAGTTCTTCATTGGATCTCATTCGGCAGACGCCCCGTTGCCTTGGGATGCGAGTTACGATGAAGACTGGGACCTACTAGAGAAGGGGTACAATATTGCGTACGAATGGTACCAGAAGACTGAGGGGAAGTGGGTCATGGGCGATACTTTTTCGTATGCGGACATCTTTGTTGCTTGTAGTTTGCTGTGGTACAAACGAGTCCTGAAGGAGGATGAGTGGGTCAGGATCAGTTCTTGGAATGGGGGGAAATGGGCCCAAGTCCTTGCAGATGTTGAGAAGGAGTGCAAATTGGCGTAGAAGACTGCATATACTGTAGCATTTGATTTGAAACAATGATAAATTCTTTGAAAAGGTCAACCCGAACTACCATCAGAGTCACCAAGTGCGTATCACACAACAATGCCTGGCTTGGGTCAACGTTGTGTGGGCATGAAGCCCCCTCTAGGCTGAGCCTAAACTGGCGTACCGGACTCGTTTGGCGAAATCGACACTCAGAAACGGAATAACATGAATAACTTGGCCCAGGGCTCGTGTATATGTATTTCCATCATACTTCGTGTTTCTTGTACTCTGTGTTTCTTTGTACCCAAACCGATATCAGATATCGAACTCATGCGTCTTTTATTCCTGCTATAAATTATTCCTCCTCTTTGCTCACCCGCCCTCGTTTCTCTGCGGTGGTCTGCCTTGCAAAGTGACAGTGCAGGTGACATAATCCCTGTTGAACGTAAACCGTGAAGTAGCAGGAGTGGATGACTGGCACCGGTGAAATCTTTGCCAAATGTTTCCGGAATTGGAAACCAAGGGTGATGAAGTGGGGCAGGGTTGCCAGTGGAAACAGCGGCGGGTGCCTTGACCACAGGGAGCCTGCAGTGAGAAAATCAGAGTGGCCGATGACGATCGCAGTTAAAACGAGTAGGGATTGTTTAAGGTCAGACTACGAGAGGGGAATAGTACATCGCTCGCCAGCAGAGGAAAGGGCAGAGTCAGGTGAGGCAATGCTGGGAGTATGGAGTAGAGAGCAGGTAGCAAGTGTTTCTTGCTTCGTCTTGGACCCAGAAGCTTAAGTCGACATGGAGGTCAGAAGGATAGGAGAGTGACGGAGAACGTTGTAGGAGAATATGTAAACCAAAGAGAACACGCAAGGACGCAAGGAAGCTGTTGATATCGGCCCGCCTCGGCAATAGATACCGAAGACCGCATGGGTCACAGATCGCGCTCGTTCCTCACACCTAGAACTGGAATGATGTCTCAACATACAGTGCGCAGGGCGTCCAGCTAGCAGAACTCACTTTCTGTTTTATCCACATCCTTCGTCACGGTGTACAATTTCTTGTGTCAAGTCACCATATTTGTATGCTTGTAAGTTGCAGAAGTTACGATACTGAGTCCTGAGTCTCAGAGGAGCAGAATATACACACCCCTCACATTTGACCACCAAGCCGTCACAACACTCAGTGTACAAGGGTGGGCTGGCGCCGTCAAGTGCCAGGGGTCCTGGCTCGTAGTTAGTATGTTGCAGTCAGTCATCGATAGAAAGAGCAGCCGCCTCCCGCCTCAGATATTTGGCCTTTGGTTTTCCCTTGCAGTCCGTTTCTGGTCCACCAGATAAGACCCTCCATAACAACAAGCATAAGAATATCAGGGACATCAAAGATACGCAAAGTCCTCTGAGATTCGAAGCCGCGGAAGCAATTATAGTTGACTTTCCCTTGAAGAACCGTTCAAGTCTGGCGTTTCTTCGAGAAGGTACTAGGTTCGGGATCGTGCATTCGGTATGAGCGTCTCAGCAAGGAACATCACAGCAGAGATGAAGTCCATCATCGTGCGCTACGATGATCCTGGCAAAACACATGTGTCATATCCAGCTCGATGATTGTGAGTATGCCAATATCGTCTGCGCTTATTAGATCCAGACTAGCGTTGTCTTGACACGGCGAACTTGAGGCCTGAGGGATGGTGAGCTGAATACTAATGTTCCCATGCTTAACATGCATGTCTAAGGTGTTCGATACATCTGCGTCAAACGCAATAACAACATCCGGAACACCAGGGAACACCTTGGTTCTTGGCCATCTGAACACCTATCTTTTCCCACGAAGACCGAAATGCTTAGTCGGATGATCCGACTCCCGCAACTCGAAGTGCCTCACTGTTGGTGTGAGAGAGGGATATTTTAGGGTACCGGTCCAGTGCAGATATATGTTGGGTAGGGCAGTGTTGCAGGGAACAGCACTCATAGACTATTTTGGCCCGGCCCGCAGATAGAACTTGATACAATTATCTAAACCACTTTAGTATCTACTCAAAGGGAGAAAAGCAAGAGCTTACGCACCAATTGTAACCAGTAGATGAAGAACGCTAGAAAAATTGACGTGCGCAACTCAAACATTACGTCGCCAATTTCAGGGATACCATATCAAATTTTCAAATCCTTTGCAGAATCAAATACCCCTGCATCATGATAATCCACAATGACGTGTTCCATGCTTAGCGTAAATGTCCGGTTCCTGCCTAGTGATTAAGGGTTGCGCAAAAGTACAATGTCATGGTGAACGATTGACTTACGTTTCTCATTTCCGAGTAACAATAACATCGCATCAAGACAAAACCCCATCATTTGCTTAGTCGGCAATATAACATTAGTCCCGTCCTCTAATAGCTTCAATCAGATGATGAACTGGCATCTCTCGCCGACATTATCGGCCAGGGAGTTGAGAACGTTGAAAAACATCAGTCCAGCGGAAAGTACGCACTCTGTAATGCGGTGACTAAGATGATCAGATCCGTGCACCTCGCCAAATGTTCGATAGATAATTTTGCCTAGGCAGCCTAGCTGAGGCTAGCGCACCGTGACCATCAACGAGTCTTTTCCGCCCACCGGGTAAAATTGTTCACCAATCATACAAGGGTATTGAAAGTGCTGAAATCACTGTCGACCGAAAGAGTGGCAGTCAAGCTCGAATGATATCTTGTCCTGGGCATTGGACGGGTTACAGATCTGGGAATTTGAACAATAAACACACCAGTGAATACATATTGGCGTGCGCGCTAGCCTATCTGCCGAGAAGCCGCCGGAGGCAAAAGCGGAGAGCTTGACCAAAAGCACCGAGTTAGTAAGGATCGTCCGGGAGCAAACCAGTGGATAATCACTGCTGCAAGAATCATTCATGATAAACTCGGGAACTGCTAGGTGGGCTCTCCTGCCAGGTGGTCAAATGACATAAAGTGTTACATACATAGCAGTGACCGGTTGACCCTTCGTCTTCTCATGGGAGCCCAATGGGAACCCGTCACGACGGTTTACACCATTCATTAATATTCAATAAATAGAGTCCTTGGTGCTGCCAACGACTGAAACTCTATCCATCTACTGGTCCTCGCGATTGTCGCCTAAGCCGCGGCCCCCAAATTCGAAAGAGTTCGATGAGGAAAGATCTCCAGCACTCTCCAGCACGACGAAATGTGCGCTGGCAACACATATCGAATTCGATACCAAGGACAAGCTTTATTTTGTAACATACTATGCTGGTGGCAGCGTATGTTATAATCAGTACTACTTACGTTCGTGTATGGGTGCCGTACACCGTAGTATACATGAGAATAAGGTATCCACATCGCAACACATAGAAGCCAAAGAAAAGTAAGCGACAGCACCCGAAGAAGAAAAATGTCCGACGAATAGCCTTAGGTATTGGTAGAAGAGCGTACGGTATTTTGCACTACACAGAAGAAAGAAAACGACGGAAATGAAGGAGGATGGATGCTTTATTGACGTGGCGCGTTTAAGCCATTGCGAGACGAATGTTTATCGCTCGTTTGACAACCACGTCCAGGAAGCGCAGCGATGTGACGCGAACCGCCATTGGGAACGCCTAGCAGAGTACGGTCACCGTTCACAATGATAGATCCCTTCTCAGCAACTCCGTTCTTTTCGAATTGAGCACGTTTGGCATTGGCGGGACCCAGAGTCTGTGAAGGGAGACGCTTGAAAGCAGGCCGGAATATTTCACCTTCCGAGCTTCCCGTGCAGTCAGAGGCGACAGATGACTCTCTTGACCCATCTCTTGACCTGCTTTGAGTGCTCGAACTTCCCATGCTGCTCACACGGGGCACAGGCAACGAAATGGACATCCCATTCATAGGCGGCGCAGCTCCCTTCATGGGAGGCAGATGAGGTGACATGAATGCCTGCGAAAGCGACGACGCCGACGAAGAGCTCGAGGGACGGCTGACGTTCAAATCAAAATCGACATTCGACTGCGAATGTGTGATATCTGTGCGACGATTAGTGCCACGTGCACCTGAAGAAACAGATGCAGGTGGGCTTGCCCGCGTACCTCGCCGTTTGGGGAGGTTGAGGTTGAGCGATGCATTGCGAGCATTGACAGCAGCTTCATAGCTCCGAAGATCTTCAGGGTTGCCATGGAGCGTCATACGTACTCCCTCTCCGTTGCCGTTTGCAATACCAGGAAGGGCTCGTTCTACGGTGGGCGTTTTGGAACTTGGAAGAGAGGACACACGAACTCTTCGGCGTGAAGAGGGTGATTGTGGCATGGCGCCCGGCGCTTCTAAGCCGGCGGGGTGAGGTCCACTCATAGGCGTGCGCATGAATGCTCTCCACAAAATATCGCTGTCGCGACCTAAACTAGGTGTGGGCAACGCAGAGAGCGACATGCCACGATCTCTGAGCTGCTGCTGTGATAGCGCCTTGGGAGGCATCGGAGTAGCATTCGGCGAATGAGGTCGCATGTTCATTGCAGCATTTGAGAAGAAAGGTACACCATCTGTTGAGAGCCCAGCAAGGACATTTGGGTCGTCAATAGACATGAGTCCAAATGCGGAGGAGAACCCGCCTTCACCGACTCGAGAATGTTGATCGGACTGCTGGTCGTGAGATTCAGGGGGAGAGGTAGAGGACATAGAATCTCTTCGGCGTTGAGGGTCAAGCAGCATTCGCTGTTGAAAGTCCTCTGAGGCATCCTGATACATATCCCCTGTAGAGAGAGGGAGATGGGCATTGGACGAAGTAGCGCTAGAAGGGATGGATTGCGAAGCGCTACTACCGTCACTGTAATCAACGGAGCTTCGGCGAGGCCGGTAGGCTAATCCAATGAAGGGCCCAGTGAACATTTCTGAGCTGAAATTATCTGAACCGTCCGCACCATATTGATTTTGTGAGAAAGCTTCATCCAAAGATGCGAACTGGGGTTGACTAGCTTGCGCAGCAGTTAAGCCCGGATTTGTGCTCTCGCCCCATCCAATCCAATGGTTGGAAGGATGATTATGGTCCGTGTAAAGCTCAGGTAAAAGTGCCGATGAACCTTGAGGGTTTGCAAGCATGGGAGCTCCGGCATGACGCAAAAGATCAGCGTGTACCCGATTTCTTCCAGTGATGTCAGAGTCGGAAGAGAGCGACATGGGAAGATGTACAGGGTTTGCTGACGAAGCATACACATGATTGAAGGAAAACGGGGTTGTGTAAAGCGGATCACCCGAAGAAGTATCCATACTGGGTACGCTCACAGGAGGAGGACCAAGGATGAAGTCGTCCATTGATAGCCGTCCATTGCCGAGAGAAGAGGAAAGGGAAGCGGGGCGAGGAACATGATGACCAGGGCCACTTGGAGCGGTTTGACGGTGGAATTTCACATAAGTACAGCGACTCTTGCGTTGTACGCATTTTGCTATGTAGAATAAATGTGAGAATAGAATCGTGAGTTCTGGGGCGCGGACGTACAACAAGGGTTGCAACCGTCACACGGTAAGCTTGATTGGACACATTGGTCACATGCTTGCTTTGAAGTAGTCGCTCGAGAGGTTGAAGTAGAGCCTTTGCGACGACCATTAGCGGCGGTTTGTGGCGGTTTTTCGTTTGCATGACATTTGTTAACGTGACGCGATAAAAGATCGCTGAAGGAGATTGAGTTAAGCGAGATCGAAAAAACCAAATAGTGGAAGACTTACCTCCGCGCAAATTGGTCTCCACAATACTGACACTTGTAGGGGCGATCACCTGTATCTGTTGAGGAGCGAGCCGATGGGTTAGCACTATGAATTGATCACGAAGGAGGACAGGGGGTAAGTCGTGGCAAAGTGGAGCGAAATGGTGCTAGAATGGAAAAAAAGTACATACGTGATCGCATGTGACGAGCAACATGCTGTGGACGGGTGAAAGTGGCCTGGCAGACAGGACATTGATGGTCACCACCCATTGCTTTAGAATCTAAAGAGTAGTAGGTGTAAGATGAAAGTAGAAGAAGTTCAGAGTACCAGTCGTAGACGAGTGGATACTATCCGATGTGACACAATCCTTGTACACATATTTATCCTTACCAAAACACCTGGATCTATAACCTTCGGCGTCGGCCGTCTATGATGTCATATATACCTTATCGGCAGACACTGCTTTCTTACTTAATATCAAATTATCTTTACATACGATGATATCTCCCCTAACTGTCATACACATTCACCGAAAGTCAGTTCATCCTAATCATCTCTACCTTCTTCCTCATCCCCTTTATCCCTCATCCTCTCTCCACATCTTCAAAATACAATATCCAAAACTTGAACAAATTCCTCTTCCCGTCGTCAAGACAATGCTGGCAATTTAGCGTGTGACGCCATTTGTTGTCACCTATTTGCGCGAGATCGTGGCGGAGATCAACCCGCTACAAACACGCACACTGACGTCAGTTCATCAAAACACTCCTACGAAACGTGTCTTTCACCTTGGTGCGGAGACGGGCACGAACACTTCAGCGTTCGCCCTATCACCGTAAATTTAATCAGTAATCTCCCTCCAATTCAATCGTCATAGGGCTATAAACGTGAATGGAAGATCGCCGCCAGTCCTCTGGTAATAGGCTCCGGAGAAGGCAGGCGTCATGAAAAGGCATTGCATCGAGCGTGATCGCCACCCTCGTTGTCCTGGCCCTGTTCTACAAAGCACCCGGATCTCCGTGACAGGAACAGTGCGAACAGCTTCACACTCATGATGATAGATAGCAATCCCACGCTGGATTGCTTCCTCGTCACTGTGTGCCGGCATCCTTAAGAAGCCAGGGGAGCTGATGCCAAGTTAGTTGGCCCTCCCCTTAATTAGAAACACTCGTATCGCGTCATCGAATCCGAGGTAGCAACAAGATTAAACAATGGGATCGCGGTTGCGATCACTCGTCCCATCCTCAGGTAAAGCCGGTGTCTCCCAAGCGATGTCAAGAAAAAGAAAAAAAGAAAAGCAATGGACGCTGAAGGAAAAAATCGAATGATACTCAACGGTGTAGTATTATCCAACCCGATATACTTCATATCAACTGGGATATAGTGCTTGTTTGGCAGCTTGTACGTGACGGACTCAACGCCCGAGTTTTCCGCGATGACGCGTTGCCCCATCTTAAACAACGTTGCCTTTCATTAAATAGATTCATCAGCAACGTGCACAACACGGGGATAGAAGCCTATGACGCACTTGCACACTAGCGCTGGCGTCCAGGGCAAATATATCAAGCGTGGCATTTCTCGCCCGCGTCGCAACATTAACCGCGTCCCAAACGCCACCGAGTGCGAAGCCCTTTGGGACGGTGAAGTCCAGTTTCTTGTCATCAGTGGGAGAGCTGAGCGATAAGGGCGCAAAGGTATAGTTCAGGTCCACGGAGGTTGACAAAACACGATCGTCCACTTGCGGCAGCGTGGTGTACTCGTCATGAATGTATCCGTGAAACGCAGAACCACCCGACTTGAGCACTGGGATGCGCAGAAATGAGTGAATGCAGGCCCGGGAATGCATGGATATGCTCACCCAAGAGATCGGTAATCCCCGAAGTTACTTTAGCTGAGAGCTTGTCCTTGCCAGCAGAGGCATCGACCTGGGGGAAAGAAAAGAGCGTTCGATAAGCTCTATATATACGTTTCAGAGACAGAAGGGTGATAGAAGGGAAAGATATAAGCAGGAGGAGTGTCGCGCCCGAGGATTGCCGCAGCTCGGAAGCTGATGGCAAGGGAACGCTCCACCTCAGCGACCACATAGTTCAACTCCACCACCAAGTCGGAATCCGGGAAGCACGGACGGCATCAAATTAAAATTCTTACCTCGACCTCGACCGTCTGTCTGTCATTCCCGTCCCTAACGAACGAATGTGGGTGCGGATGGTCATTTTCACTTAAGGCGATGCGAGACCAACGCAACTTCTCCAAGGTCACGAATGCACGGTGTATGTGCGCATACTTGGAGACGATATGAGTTCCCACATGCAATGCAAACCGTTCCGGGCTGAGGATGTGGGGATGAAGTCTTGGCGAGATCTAGTAATCGCCGAGGTGTCCAGCTCGGTTAGCTGTTATCTGCTCCATCACCAGTTCACGTACAATATGTGATGTTCTTCACTATACGATACGTCATGCGGTGAGTTTCAGCTGGACCATCGTACAATGTACATACTAGAGTCGGTTGCGACAACAACGGAGTTGTCTGCAATTGTGTAGCTGCATATCCAGCTATTAGAGATGGTGGGATTCACGATATACTGTGCCAATCACTGACCTGGTCTCGATATCGCCTTCTACGTGTACTGTCACATTGTATTCCACAACTTGATGAAACTCGGCATCCCGAACAACACGAAAGACGCGAATGAGGTCTTTGCCGTATCGAGCGCTGGTTAGAACTGATTCAGACATAATCGACAACGGTGCTAAGCTCGCAGTTTCAGCTGGTCTTCCAACAGAAGTTCGACCTCGAATTCCGTTTATAGCTTAGTATTAAGGGAGACTGTTATAGCGGAATATCACACGCTATAATCAAACAGATAAGCGAATAGCAGCACTATCTGAGTCAGCGTGATGAGGTTATCGTCTTCCGCTGATCATGAAGCTGAAGCACATTGTCCTGGATATTCATTTTTAACCGACTACATTAAAGCCGCATGCTCCACATTTCAGCCTTTCAGTCCGTCCTCTGAAGCAATTTTCCTATCGTAGATGGTTTTGCTTGATCTTCCATACCAACAGTGATACTCTGCCATCTCTGTTCGACGTTGACGGAGCGAAACCACATGTACCTGCTCTCGTGACAACTGCTTATCTCGAGGCTGGGTCATTTGAACAACCCCTGCAGTGATGTTCCTTGCACGCGACTACCGTCGAAATTAAATCACCTCGGTTTCTTCCCAAGGAACGGCCCGCATTAGTAGTACGATGATCAGAGGTAGATGTTGTCAAAGAGAAACCATGGATCAGTGTGCGCAAAGTTGATCCAGACACGATGGTCAAAGTGCACTTGTATGCTCATGAAGTGATCGTGGAGGCGCTCAACTTGAGCATGCTTCGGACTGTGACAAACATCCCTGTTCCTGAGGTGCGACAAGTCGTCGTGAACTCCTCCAACACATACTTAGTCATGGAATACATTGACAGTGAGACACTGGCCAGCTGCTGGGGTTGTCTTGCCCTTATCGCGAAGCTTCGCACTGCTTGGACCCTCGGCGGTTATATCGGCCAGGTTTACGGAAGTCTACTCTCGATCGCGCCGTGGCGTGCATAGAACCATTCGTCACCGACTACGGTGCAGGTCCTTTTACTTCTTATAACGAAATGGCTCGATTACAAGTTGGAGGTGTAACGTGCGCCTTTCGATGCTCCTCGTTCCAAAACTCGTGGCCACTGGTCTTCTCGCGCCAGGACCTGTGACTTAGGAGTATTTTATTGGCGCTCGATGGTACCGTGTACATATTGGACTCGGAATGGTCGGGATTCACCCGTTATGGTTCGTGTACGTTGGTATGCGCTCTGATGAGCATTTCAAGTTGCGCTTGTGGGGTTTTTATGCTTGGATCTCGCGTTACGGTGAGTAGTTTTGGCCAGATAGCTATAATGTGATAAAATGGCCCCCTATTCCAGTTCTTACACGAAAGCGCATAGAGGAGTACCCGGGAAACATTATATGGGCAGTCAAAGTGGGTGTTTTGATGTAGTACTTTGTATCCCGCAGCTTGTAGGCACCAGTCAGCGGAAAGTCCCAAACGTCGAATCCACTGCGGTGTATTTTCTCCCAGCCTTGGCCCAGACTCGAATTCAATTGCGGTTCAGGTCATGTATTTGTTCCGCTCTTGATCGCGATGGAATCCAAGCTGAGACCAATGAAGCAAACCGGTAGGCGACAAATGAATTGCACTTCCCCGGTGGGACAGTGCCCATTTTTCGCAGGTGAGCGCCTTAGACTGAGACATCTAACAGACCGCATGCGACGAATTGCGAGAGGCGAGATTGGTAGCCATTACACCGGGCTCGGAATCTCGATTTCCTTTGATGAAATTTGACATCAAAAAATTAGACCAGGACCACATGACAGCATAAGCAGGCGCTGGCTCGTATCAGTCACCGATACATTCACAGAGTTTGATTGATCAAGAACCTTCAAAATGAGCGAATATGAAAGTCGGATATCAAACCCACGTGCGGAATCGTAGGGAATCGTTGCCTCAGGTTTTTCATATTCGAAGGATGCAGCCTGTGCTGCCGTTCGGGGAGTGACGTGGCGCCGCTGGGGTCGGATCGGAGTATATCGAAGCATGATGTACGATATCCATATCCACTCCGCACCTAGGCTAGACTCTAGAGGCTACTGTGTAGAGGTAGTTACCGCATCAAGAATGAACAGGATGATTTGCAAAGGATGTCCCTCAATGCTGTCCCTCGATGCCATAGCGAAGGCGCGCAGCGGAGGGCTTCGCAGACAAGACTTGTGGGCGGACCAACCAAACTCGCCATGCCATTCTGGAAATTGTGCATATTGCATCGTAGAAGCCGAATTCCGAAGATGTGCATGGCTAAGCTTAAGAATGGCAAGACGTCAATGACACCTAAGGACACCCGGCGGCACAACTTCGGCACATCTCAACAAAAATACTTACGGAAATCAGACAGGCGTCACCTGCCAGTGCTGCACTGACCGTATGCATCAGTTTAGCGACCGATGATAGGCACAACCGCACCGTGGACATTCGAACACAAGCAAGCTATCGCTTCAACTTATCATTCATTTGTTTGTTTCACCGGGAAATAATCGGTCACCGGAACCGATGGTAATAGACCAGTCGTCCCATATATAATTAATAATTAGTCGCAGCCAGCAACGATAAAGAGCGATAGGTCGGATGACGAGGAACAAAGCAGAACGGCTCTTCCGGCAGTTGCCGAGGCTCTGCTGATCCGGGCCTTACACGTGCACAACACTTACAAGCGCTTATCATTGGTGTCACCTTAGCCGATAACATCCTGGATAATCCCTTGGAATTTGCCCTTGTCGACAAGGCTCAAGCCCTTATGACCATTTTGGAAAATGTGGGTCATTGTCGGGAGCTGTCGTGTGATAAGTTTACATAGTTCCCGCTACCGTCAGGGAGCGGGTCTTGTACACTAAGCATGTCTGGTCCGGAGGTGAGATTTATTGGCACCTGTTGAATGATTCACTCCAAACCTGAGGTTTTAATTCTCACAGATACATTTCACATGGACCCGGAGTGAGAAACTCTCGTGTGACGTTAGAGCGCTATAGCGACAAGAGAGCGAAGTGGTGGCTTGAGGCGATAGGTGCTGAGGACTTGGGAGGAGAAAGCGACACTTCGAAACAGGTGACCTTATAATTCAACTTCTTCTATTTTCATTTGACTTTGTTGTGACCTTGTAGGATTGCAATGGGCTCAGTTGGAATCATTATGCAGACGGCCGCATCGCACATATGCCGGGTATATGTTGGGTCGACAAACTCCGTGGAATTTTTGATAGAATACCTGGATCGAGGCAATCATGGCAAGAACACTCCAAGCATTGCATTGAAACGGAACTATGAACAGCTTTTGAGGTGGTCGGTTTTCACATGTATGACCGCTTTGCAGGTTCGCAACCTCGGTCAATCAAGCCATAATTCTCATGTCGATGGTGTTTATATCAGCGATAAAAGTACTGGATGGAAGTAAGCTGATGGAGGTATCCGACATGAATTTGTAAAACGTCCGTTATGTTCACCGGTCGTTCACACCCATCCTTCAAAAATGACCAGAGTCTCAGGCTAGTGTGTGGCCGCTAGTCAAATCATATCGTGTTTTATAGGTTCGTGGACAGTTAGTCGAATGTTGGCAGTCTACCATAACACGGTGGTATACGATTGCGGTGAGCAAGCGTTATTTCCAGCACTCGCATTAATTGGATGAGAGGCAAGTAGGCCTAACTGATGACTCGACGAAATGTCATGCATCTCATCATGATCACTCGATTACATGCCATGTATCAGCGATTGAGAAAGTCGTTCATCTTTTCCCCTGTAATCTTCCTGATCGTGTGCACAGTCGTTTACATAATGACAAGCAGAAACATTACAGGGGATAAGCTCTAATGAATAGATGCTTAGGTACACCAGGTTCATCAGACGAATACCAGTCTCTCGTGCTTTGTGACACCCATCAATGCATTTATCGATGGGATAGACACCGTGCCTTGGATACTCTACGCTGCATTGGATATTCTTGCGCTGTGGATTGCTGTAAAGCACTTCTGTGAACTGCAACGAACAAACATAGGAGACTATTTCACGGTGTGATTTTTTTAAAACTCACTTCGCCTACCTTACAGGTGAGCTCGGATTTTCAATGTATAGCATCATTTGGAACGTCTCGCAACCCACCAAGTTCCCTTGAGGTTCCATGGCATGGGTAGGAATTATTCATGGTCGACTACGCGACATCGGCTACGGGGTTCTGATTGGATTATGTCCGAATATGTGGAGCAGGGAATGAGATATCGAAATGGCTCAACGAGGATTCATTCAACGACATCGCAATAGGTGAACACAAGTGAGACCTGGGCAAAGTTAATAAACCCTGGCATCATCTCTTCCGTGGCCAATGACGTGATCAATAACCCACACGCCTCTCAATATATCCTCATACGGAGATCACAGAATTAGACGTCGTTAGCATGAAGCCGGAGAACTGACAGAAGATCATATCTCGCACGCTCTTGAGAGGAAGAAGCAACATACATGTACCGCGTTCGGCTGAAGCCTCATTATTTCGAGGCGGTATGGAATCAATGGAAGATACCGCGAAGAACTTGGACTGAAAGGGGTACAATACCACACAGATGAGTGATCAAAGAAGGTGGTCCCGTGCGGGTAAGTAGAAATGCACTAACCTCAACGGTCCATTCCTAGTGATCGTGAGCTACGCTATGACGCAATACGCCGCACGTTAGAAAATAGTCCAGAAACTGATTGGCAACGCATTCAGGGTTGCTCTGTGATCCGCATAAAACAGGTAGAGCAGATTCCCAATCTTGGTCTACGCTTGTGGGCATCTCGAATATGATAGAAATTCACAAAGCCAGCCAATACGGTAGATGGTTATTCCAAGCGTGAATATCACAATAACGCTTCGCACTGTGACCTTTTGAAAAGGGGTTCAGGGTTCTCCGTCATGATTGCTAGAGAATCACGGGGCGCACCAGCTGAAACATTTGACCAGGAGTTGTGAGCGGCGTCGCTTCGATCATTGTGCGCTTAAACATGCGGAGTGAGGCACCCAATGGTTTTGCACGGCAGAGGATAACGGCAGGGTAGGACACACGAGAGCAAATGCATTGCGCAAATGGACAAGACGTGCTTCCTTGAATTGTTTTCTTTTTCCTGTTTGACCCGACAGTTGTCAGACTGCAAATGAACACAATTCGAGGAATCAGGATGATTCAAGAATTCTGAATAGAAGTCATAGTGCAGAATAGCCCTGGGCACATGAAGGTCTGTACAATGAGCACAGAACGTCATGTAGAGCGTGACGCCCTCTACACACCTGTTCAAGTTGTGTTCGAGTCTAACATTCAGTCGAAGGCGCGTCGGACATATCCGGGTAAGGATAGTTCTGCCAAATTTCCCACCCTCTTTATTTCCTCATCGTGGGTCTCCGCGTCGTTACATTCCTTTCAGTAGTTTACCTCAACCTGCTCGGAGACGCCTAAAATGCGGTCTGCAGTGTCCACATCTACCTTCAGACAGGCGGCTCGTCCTCGCCGTCTACCAACCCAGTGTTCACGCTTTGCCAGCTCAAACGCGGAGACAGCGCAGAAGAAAAGCCAAGACGCGCTCGGGTCCGCCCAAAAGACAGCGGAAAAGCTTTGGGAGAGCTCAAAAAAGTTCCTTGGTCCCCTCGGCGAGCGCGCTGGAAGCATGCTTGGATGTATGTTTTCTCGTGAGCTTTTACCCTTTGCCGATATTGATGCAGCTCTGTTTGTGTTCAGCATACCGTCAGCCTGTGATGTACAACTTGTCTATTGCACGCGAATTGTTGAAGCAGGTTTACGTGGCGGAGCGTTTGCAACCTCCCACCGACCTTGCAGTGGTGAGAAGCGCATACTCGACATTATGGAGTCGTGCTAGCAGCCAGGCATATTGGCGAGGGATACTCAGTTCCGGGGAGTGGGCCAAGGTTGCCATATACGCCGTGGAAGCATACGGCATCTTCAAGGTTTGTTTGACAATGCTTTGTGATGTTACAATTGTTAACTGTCGACAGATTGGAGAGATTGTCGGACGGAGAAGCGTTGTCGGATACAACCTTCATTAGACACCACATTATTTATCAGCGAAAGCATGTAGTTATGCTCTACACTGATTCTACTGCATAGACATCTCATTTCTGCTGATGCTATTTCTCGTCTTTCAAATTTCCAATGACAGACGGTGAGTATGTTTGCACCAGATTGAGAAGTCATGGATGATGAAATAGATATCCAAGTCATGTGTGGCAACAGAATATAAAGTATAGACGCTCTAATCCTCCTTCTTTGCACCAATCTTCTTTTCTGCTTCTGTAATCGATGCTGCGTCTGTTTGAGGACCGGCAGCAGCTGAGAACAATGGTTAATTGAGTGTCATGACAAATGCATAGGAGATCAACGTGCCTCCGAACATTGATGCAGCCTTGAACGGTCTCTTCAGATCGCCCTCTGCGGGCTTCCCAAGGACGTGAATGGCAACAGGCTTTGCGTCGTATAGATTCTTCAAACCCATAAGGGCTTGAATAAAGAGAGGCTGGGTGTACTTCATGTACAAATGGAAGAAGGCCATCATGGCGACACCAAAGTACGCAGCACGAAGCTAAAAATTGCGGAGTAAATCCAAACTCCTTTTTGTCCATAAAAAGTGACGCACCAGTTTCGACGTTTCGGACAGGTCATAGTCGCGGACCGTGGTAGTCACGAGTCCTCCAGAGTCGGACGACTAATACATGTAAGCCCAACGAGTGCTGCTTGCTATATGAATGGAATATTACCATGGGGTTTGGTGAATCGACTGGTACAAGCACTCAGATACGCAACGAAAAAAAAATTAAGACAGAGACTAACCATATTTCAAGACGGTCTGGTCATTCTTCTGCCTGACCTATATTATCGCACGTATTCAGATGCCACGTATGTGTTCTAAAATCTCCTGCTGACCTTGTAGGAAACATAGAAGTATGCACCCATGATGATGACTTGACTTGTAACATAACCTATCCGCACATAGTTGAGAACTTCCGGGTCATCGAATGGAATTCGACGGGCAACTGAGAACACGTCACACGAGTTTCATAAAAATTAGTAGCCTTCGGAATAAGACAGTATATGCTAACCTTGCATCGCGCCAAGGGAAATAACGATGTTCTGTATGCCGGAGTTCATTTTGATGTTGACCACGTAGTCCTTCAAAAATGTTACTTGAAGAGTTTGAGAGTGAGTAAGGATTGGAAAACGGCGTGACAATATTGTGTGACATACCTGTGCGTGTGACAAGGTATCGCACTTCCAAAAAGGTGCTGTGTATGACGTCGACCGCATGATAGACATAATAAAGCAGACTAAAATTCGAAACTCTATTAAATCTTTCTTCTCGAGCTCCGATGTATAACAACGAGGCTGCAACCATATCCCGCGCGACCTCTGTTTCGCGTGCCAGTAAACATGGCTCGACAGCCTCGCGCAACCAATCTCTGATCAAGAAAAATGTTGCTCCGCAGGATCTCCGCCCATCCGATATTCTTATCGAGCGATTTGTTTCGTGGAAGGCTATTGTGAAACAACTCATCAGTTACTTTGAAGGCGTCGCCGATATTGAGAACAACATCGCCAAGGAATACACAAAGCTTGGCGCAGTAATTCAAGTACCTTTCCGCTCAGGAAATCAATTTCTAGGTGAAGGAGGTCTGCAGGTATGGAGATCCTTGCTAGCTCCACTTTATTTCTCAAACAATGCATGATCAGGACGTGTATTACGGCATTCGCGACAAAACACGCGTCATCGCCGACCAACATGCAAACCTAGGGCGGACCATCGATAGCTCCATCGTGCAACATCTACAGAAACTGCACGTAGAAATTAAAGCGCACATAAAGGTGCGTACTCTGCTTAAATATTGTACGTATCGCACCTGAGTTTATCCAGAATGTTCAAAACGACACCGGTAAACTGGCCACCAGTGTTGCCAAAGAACGCGAGCTATCCGGAAAAATGATCAGTGAACTAGCAACGAGTGTCAGCATTTTCAAGAATACCCCGATGAGCGTGACTAATAAAAGTGACCCGTGAGCACTTTAAGGCTTCCTGCGATGAGATGCACCTTTGACGTGTCGCAGTTATGTTGCCAACATAGCAGTCATGAGACAATTGCAAAAACAGGTTCACGAAGAAAATGCTCTTCAGAAATCCATTATTATCATGCAACAGAATTCTGCCCACTTCGAGGAAGGAATTGTACGGGCCATTCAGTCGGCGTGGCAAACTTATGATGAGTGGCGATCTCGAATGACCAATTCAGTGCAAGATACCTGGCATACCATGGGTCGAAACATGGTCTCACTTGCGCCCGACCGGGAGTGGATATCATTTTCAGCCAGGTCTGACCATCTTCTTGATCCCGAGACCCCTCTGCGAAATCCAGAAACTATTCAGTACCCCTCGAAAGAAGACACCTCGGTCATAGCCGTGCATACCGGACATCTTGAACGCAAGAAGAGGTTTACAAGGACCTATCGCGAGGCCTACTATGTCCTCACTCCGGCAGGATTCTTGCACGAGTTTGCGACGTCTGACCCATCTCAATCAGGCAGTCAAACACCAATATTTTCATTATTCCTTCCGGCCTGCACGCTTGGCCCTCCGTCAACGCCGTCTTCAAAGTCTCACAAGTTCCATATTGAGGGTCGCAAAGACGGCACGGGTACCACCAAACACGGCTCTTTTAAATTGCCCATGACGGGTGGCCAGCATGCTTGGTCATTCCGTTCTCGTAGTCATGAGGATATGATGGAATGGTGGAATGATGTCAGGATGCTATGTGCCCGTTATCTCGTCGCTAGCGAGCAGATGGACCGCGGGGGTCCGGTCGAGGCGGCAGTCCGTTCCGCTGGATATATCAGTGACGAAGAGGACGAGGAGGAGGATGGGTCTAGCGTTGAAGAGAATCAAGAAGACGAAGATGAAGACGATCTGTATGAGGATGCTGACGCCGTTGTTGATGACGAGGAGGATCATAAGGATCCGCCTTCTTACTCAAACCCTGCCAGGAATTCTTTTAATGAGACCCATCAGAATGGCTACGCGGTAAGTATCTTAATTTTAGTTGAAGTGTCCGCTAATGATTTTTCTGCTCAGCCAGACAAACGAGCGTCGTCGATAAGCTATGATGATGGCACAGCTTCGTCACGCCCAAGCAAGCGTCAGCAGGAGAAGGCACCCGAAGGACGACCTCCACATGATCAACATGTATCTGATACTGTGGGTCAAGCTCCTAGTGAGCACGAAGAACGCAGTTCTATGCCAAATAGCGGTGAAGCTGGTCCTGCGCCAATGGAAAGCAAATTTACTGAAGACCTGGAGTGATTGAGCGGCGGCACTATGGTTATCCTCCACAACGTAACTTAATCAGCAATCAATCATAGCTCATCGGACCTGTTCCTATACTTTATTGTTTTTTGTGTCTGCATTGTCGCATAATTCTTACACGAGATTGTTTGATCTATTTAACACGCCTAAATCGATGAGAAACCCCGTCGGGAGCCGGTGAAGTAAGTCCAAATATTGATGTTATCATGAACTTTCATTAATGCCCATGGATTCAGAACAGCTGCATGTAAGATCAGCACTGAACGTGTAATGACAACCACCAGAGAATTTCTTAGGAGCAAAATATGTTGAGTTGGCGCATTCCAAATCTACGATTGACCACTCCTTGTCATAGGGTTGAAGGCACCATCATGATAACCCACGAATGCAAAAGTCTCCGACCGTCCAAGACGTGAAGGGGGAAAAATGCGTAGGTTCATCCAAGTCGGGATGATGACATGTTGCTTTTCGTGCGTCTTATTGTATTTTCCAAGGAACTTGCTATCAAAACCTTGCGGACAATTTAGATCCCACTCGGTACCCGTCTCTGAACTATTAAGTTCAGAGTGATCCGATGACAGGCAAGACGAAACTGTCATTTCAGCATGGAGAAGTCACTCGTTACTGCTACAATTATTCCAGCGTGTGCTAGAAGTTAATATGCCGGGCCGATAAGTATTCATTCAAGTCTTTCGATATATGTACTAGTATGCATACCCCGTTCCCTCGACCGCGATGCTATGCTCCTCAACATCGGGATAGTAATCGCAGCTAGAACTCTCAGATTATTCAACATCGTGGTATAAGTGCTAAATTCCTGGACGTAGCGTTCGCGCGCAGAAGTGGTGCCTGGCGGCCGCGAACTGCTTTTTGTTTCTGGCGGTGTTCCACTTCCTTATTTGGACCACTCTCACCATCGATACCACCTTATTGTCAATTCATAGACTTCATCATCAATCCTTCCATTTTCAGGTCACGGTCCCCTTCAGGTGATTCTTATTGTTTTTGTGCTGTTAGGCTCACAGAACTGCTTCGATCGCCTAAGCTGTTTTATCGCGTCAGAGGCTTGAAATGTACTGCAGACGGCAGTCAAGACAATTAGACCGGAACTTCACCACACGCTTCCGATAAACTTTGTACCTACACGCAAACTTTGCTCTTCCCTGGCCATGGACCGTTGAGAACGTATAAAATGTCGTGATTATTCTGTCTTTTTCTCTAGGTTCATTCGCCTGTCTTCGACCTTCAGAGCAATTGCGCCTTACTTTGTTTAACTCTATTCAAAAAAGCCATCCTCCGCTCAAAACAAATGGACGCCTTCACTACTCTCATTGCATTCTTCACCACCTCTCAGTTTGAGGAATCATCACCTATCATCTCGGTGCCTACGGATGAGGAGTCCAGTAGCAGCAGCGGAGGCTCATACTGCGTGGTAGCTTAAGCGCCTCCCTGTGATCATAGCACTAGGTAAACATATTATTGAGTTCTGGTATGTCTTCCTAAAATTATCGCGCTGGTCACGATCCTTAATCTACATTGACAGACTCTGCGAATGATCGAAGGTTATGAACAACATCATTTTCATCGTCAATATGACCACAAGCACTCTCGCCAGTAACATTATGCCTCGAAATTTTTGTTTCGTGGATGTACATATATTATTACATTTGTACTCTGCATGCGACCCCACATAGCATCTCTTCGTTCATACAATTATTTTTCATTTCGTTCATATTTTGTCGCACACTTTCGTTCGTTCAAATTTCCAGCCACTTTTTTCGGGGAGAGAACACACATTTTTATTGGAGTATATACACAACGCGGAATATTTTGTTATAAATTATTGTAATGGCGTCGAATCGATGGCAGTAGCCATTCCTGTCAATCTTGGCACGGCGAGCGGATTCTTCTGTCACTGGCACGACCAAACTGGTGGTAAGCCGCTGCAGCCAACGCGGCATTGCAAGGATGGAAACCTGCAGGCTCACCTCCGTCTGTTCGAAGCAGCTTGTCAAAGTTATCGTGGATATTATATTCGAGCATCATGTCATCGAACGGGTTGTCCACTAGCCTTTTTATGTTTTGAATAGTTTGTTCGGACATTCCTGAGTAATGCTGAACAATATTCCACATTGCAGCCCCGGAATGTACCTGCATAATCCAACTTGCAGGCCAGAATTAATGCGAACCGCAGAGAGATCCTTACTACCCGGTTCATGGTGAAAATACTGACGGCCCGTTTCAGGATGTGCGCTCCATTGAAGGTTATCGAACTGGCGGGTATGTGTACTCCATCCCAGAGATCTGAAATAACGCATCCATAACCGTCTTGTTGATTGACCTGTTGGAAGTTAACGCCAAAAGCCACTTTTATACCACATACTACTAGGACGTACATTGCTCCTAAATCCGCTACGTCGTTCGGGATTGGCATTTGCAAGGCTGTCATACAAGGTGGTGTCGTCAATAGTCAGCGTGGATTGACCAGAAACCAGGTCTGATAGCTGGTGAGATCCGGTTGCGACTACTAAGGGGGAAATCGCATTGATATCCGACCTGGCAGATATTAGCCTAATGATAAGTTTTAACTTACATAGCCATAAGAGATACATGAACCAAGTCTTCGCGAGGTTGACTTGTTCGCAGTTCTCTGGACACACGCAGATAGCCCAATCGCCACCGTTTTCGTGAGCATTTCTCAGCATCGAGTCTAGAACCCTGGATGGATCCACGTCGTGCACGCTTGGTGGAGGTTTGATCCACTTGTCTTATTTCGCCGCTGGCCGCTCTATTATCTGTCAAGTCTGCTCCGCATAAGTTACAGTGGATATCCCAGCGTTTTTCATAGTCATATACGTGTTCCCAGTGAAGCCGATGACAGAGTCAGGTTCGCTGGTGGTCTCGCTCAAGTCGCTTGTATTGCTCGCGTTTCGTGAATGAGGCATGTTAAAACAACGGTGGTAAGATCTCGTATACAAGGGCAAATTCAGAAGGGTCTGCCCTACAAAGTACTAAGCCCGCATGAGCCTGAAGGAACACCCCGGCAACAGCCGGACGGCTCCTGCTCACTAACCTCATCTTGTGCGTCTGAAGCTCAAAAACACCGTTATCTCTGCAGCTCCGGCCGAAAGGCATCGTTCAACCTTCTAATGCCTATCCGCCACGTGTTTGATGGTGGCGGCCAACCTTCGGAACTTGAGAAGCAGAGACACTGTTCAATGCTTTCAATGCGTTTGTTCACATAAAATCAACTTTTGCACCACATTATTCCGAACACAACCAGGTTGCGCTTCTGTAAAAGAATCAGGTCTGTCGTACATGCTTGAAGTCTAATCAGCAGCTGATTCATCACTAGAATTACGTGGCTGAATCACTGTATCAATATGCTGTGCGGCTGTTATCAACTGTCGGTGGCTTTCCAATGAACTTTGTCGGTCTGTTTGAATGATTGATATCCGTTAAAATAGTCAAGAGTCGATGACTCCCTCGAAATCACAATGACTAATATCTGTAAGAACCACTGGCACAAATGTTGTGGCGGCTTTGTGCCAGCCATCACTGCTAAATTTTGACTTGACCATGGATTTGGAACGGTCAAACCGAATATCATGGCGGATGACATCGTCGCTCCGAGTTGGCGGCAATCTGGAGACCTGGGCCATTCATTACATTTCACGTGAATTTAATGCCTTTGAATGCGGCTGTAAATTTGTAAGTGACACTGAAGCCACTTTTTCATTATCTGGACAGATAGATATTAATCCATAAACAGCCAGCTCGGGTGGATGCGGAATACGACGTTGGTATGAACACTGCCCTCTTGTAGCTCATACGCAGTACTCTCCGTAACTTTCCTTCCACCCTGACCTATAAGAGCACGCCGTGGAGTTAATGAAGTATTATCAGTTGTATTAGTCTTGAGAAGTACTTCTGTCAAAATGACCAGCACAAAACCCACCGACGCCACCGCTTTCTTTGGTATGCCGTTCTCGCTGATGACTCAACGCCCTCACTAACTTGACCAATCAGTCGATTTCATGATGGGAGGTACCGCAGCTGCTATATCGAAGACTGCAGCCGCTCCCATTGAACGCATCAAACTCCTTATACAGAATCAGGGAGCTATGATTGCTTCTGGAAGGCTCGACCATCCCTACAAGGGCATCGCTGACTGCTTCAAGCGGACCGTCTCGGAAGAAGGGGCCATCAGCTGTGCGCTGTAAACTTCTTAGTACAGCCGTTCATGATATTCATCCTCAAATGGGAATAGTGTGGAGGGGTAATGGGACGAATGTGCTCAGATACTTCCCTACGCAGGCCCTAAATTTTGCATTCAAGGATAGCTTTAAACAAATGTTTGGTTTCAAAAAATCAGAACAATTCGGTTTATGGGTTCTTGGTGTGTAAAATGTTCCTTTGTATTTTTGAATAAATGGCCGAAACGAGTTGTCAGGAAACATCGCCAGTGGAGCAGCCGCTGGAGCATCTTCCTCTGTCTTCGTGTATTCACTTGATTAGTACGTCCATGACGTTGTGGAATGCAAATAGGCATTGACACCATAATGATGCAGCGCCCGCACACGATTATCTGCTGACGGCAGGAGTTCCGCTAAAGGAGGCGAACGCCAATTTTCCGGTTTGATCGACGTATACAGGCAGACCATCCGTTCCGACGGGATTCTTGGCTTGTACAGAGGATTCGTGCCCAGTGTGGTTGGCATCTGCGTGTATCGAGGTCTCTAGTGCGTTCACAATTCTTACTCCGGCATAAATATTTAATGATGCTTTGAACAGCTTTGGAGGGTATGACACAATTAGAGACACGTTCCTAGTAGGAAATTTGCGCGGTAATTTTGTTGCATCTTTTGCTGTGGGTTGGGTGTGCACGACGGTGAGTCGACAGGTGTATGGCTACAATGACCTTGAACATAAGTCTCCAGGGAGCGGCATTGGCTGCATACCCACTTGACACCATCAGGAGACGGATGATGATGACAACCGGGGAAAAGGTAGACCATCTTGCTTGTATGCTGAGCACGCCTCGACCGACTAATGGGTGTAGGTACAATACAGATCCTTTATTGAGGCTGGAAGGCATATCATGGCCAAAGAGGGTGTAAGGTCGTTGTTCGGTAGGTCAAGTGCGCTGAAGGGATGCAATTAACGGCCTGACACGCACGATGAAAGCTGGGGCAGGTGCAAATATCCTTCGTGGTGTGGCCGGGGCGGGTGTGCTATCTTTGTACGACAAGTATGGTTGTCCTAGTACATTCACTTGCTATCTCTAACTCCAAATGCTTCTGTAGATTCCAGGAACTCGCTTGGGGAAAGGTATACCGAGCTGGATCTGGTTGACATTATATCAGAGGACGTGCGATGCAGTAGGAATGCGGCGAAACAGTTATCGTAGTTGAGAAGACGCTTATCAGGCACCAATGTCTTCGACCCTAGAGTAATTTATAACTCAATTGTTTCCTTTGCCTTGAACTTCCGGCCTGCACGATCTGCAGATCGAAAACAGAATTGATTGCCATACAGATCGAAAGCGATATGCGGAGCATCCAAGACAGTTCTGGATCGTTGAGCACTAAGCGCAGAACTGACAGCTTCAGCTGGCTCGAATTGCGTTTGGAGCAACGTAGAGTATAAGGGAACTGCCAGCGTGAAGATTGAGTTCCGTTTTGGTATCACTGAATTTTAGCGTTACAACTACATTGAAAGGGGAGAAATGGGAGTACTTATTCACGTTTGAGTTGATCTTTGCGAGTGATTACTTTGAAAGCGTTCTCAGTTTCGTGGATCACGATACCAGACAGGCCGACTAAACAAGGATTCTTGCTCTGACGAACTGGAAAGTGAATAGAACATGTGAGTATATGAGCAAATAACGACTGGACTTGAATACCTGTTAATAGAGAACCGTGGATGTCGGCCTTCACTAGCTTCGGGTGCATTGATGATGCATTAGGCATTGCTTCTGCGACTGGAACGGAAGATGGAAGCGAGAGCCCAAAGAGTTCAGACATGTATCCCATCCATAACTGATGGAGTGGGAGGAATAGATCAAATCTGCAGATGGATGGTCAGCAGACAAGCACAGCGCTCAAATTCTCAATGATCACTTTTCTGCCCCATTCTCAAGCTTCCAGAGGCCTTTTGCGTCTGTGGGTCTCCGTCCCAGCGCAGCAGTTTTTCTCTTCTTCCTTTCCGATTCCCTTCTTGCTTTCTTTGCGTCGTGTGCTTTCTGTGCGTTACTGGCGCGAGTAGGATTTTCTAGGACGATGTGCCTATTCTTAACACGGTTTGTGTATATTCCCTGTGGGTCTCCTGATTGGGTGAGTGAAGCCTGGATATATGTGGGCGTGAAAGGTGTGTCGGTGCTGAGCTTCACTCGCTGATTCTGAGACTAAGCACTTTAGGTCAATCCAACACAGCCTTGGATTGAGAGATGAAAACACCGTTTGGAGAGCCAGCGGCTTGTATGGATCAACTTGGTTTAACAAGGACATGATAATGGACTCGAACGCCTGGTAATGAAAACTTATCGAGGAGTCACTACGTGGAAGGTGGTTAGCTGGAGGTTAAATTGTGAACTATAGCAAGCTGCTAGCGCGACAACTCGTAGTACGTATACGCAGCTGAGTTCAAATCCTACTCACCGCTGTGGTGGCTGTCACTGGTCGACGATCGAGGGCAAGTGGTTATCCGATACTCACGTGACATCTAGTTATCATAAACTTTTCTAAGTAACAAGGTAATATCGGTACCAAATATATGACTAACATGCCCACTACAGGGTCACCATCCAAACCATCGTATCAGCCAAAACAGGAACCAATATCCAACGGAGTAAAGCTTCAAGTTATTGTGAGTAATCAGTTCTCCTCGTTTAAGTACAACGAGGCGTGGACCAGAGAAAAACTCACATCACAAATACCATGATGGCCAGAAAGGAACGAATTGGAAGGAAGTTCTCAGCGATCACCCTCGCAAATGCGCGTCACCGGTCGCTGAACAAGTGCGGCACATCCGACATACACAGCAGGTTGACCCCAGCTTCCTCCAACTCCGCCTCTATTTCCAACTCCACATCATGGGCGATTGTAACCATGCCTCCATTCCACACTTCAATGCGATCGTAGGTTGCGTGTGCTTCATTGATCAATATGACAGTGTTTCCTCTAGCCAAGGCTGCGCTACAAGTAGCACGGACACAGTAATCGCTTTGCATGCCGACAACTATGAGTTCAGCGTCGCGTGGAATAAGTTCTGGGAGTTTTGTTCCAGCAAATGCGTTGTTTTTCAACTTGTCGACAACGAACTCGTGCTCAAGTGGTGGAAAAACGAGCTGCCAGCCGGGGGAGTTCGGTGCGTCTGGATCACCTGACTCTCCGGAGTTGCGGATATGAATGATGCGAGGTGGAAGCTTTGCAGCGCGAGCACGGTCAAGAATGTGTTCAATGTTCCGATAAACAGTCTCAGAAGAGGGGACGCCGCCTTTAGTTGGGCTGCTGAGCATACAAACTTGCAGGTCCAGGAGTAAGAGGACACGGCAAGTAAGGGCTGGAGGGCTTTGAGGACTCGGATGCGGGCTGTGATGACTGTCAATGGGGTGACGGGTCATGACATGTAATGAGAACGAGAAAGCCACGGACAATCCCAAGGCAATCCGATCCTTTATATATACACCGACCGCAAGCCGGGTGAAAGCCTTAGGCCTTGAGGCGACAGGGCTGGGATGAATTCGCACATGAGTAACTATCGCATAATAATATTTGCCTCTATTTATCAATCAAGAATTATTGACCGCGTGACGTCACGCGACCGTCTCAATTACATACACAAATTATTCGCATCCTAATTCACCTTAGCTGGACCCAGGTGCTTTCAGAAAAATTATACGACATTTTCTATGTGTATCACTAATTTTTCTATACGACTGGTTCCACAGCTATCATCAGGTAACCAGGGTCCGAAGCCTCTTCGATGACGAACGTGCCTCGAGGAAGAAGGATGCTTAATTATGATAACAGTGCTCCACTTGTTGACCTTGACCATCTTGGTAGGTTATCATTACCACACCGATTGGAAAGGGACTGAGTGAGTGCCGTAATCAAATGCTCTCACATGCTGAGGAGCCCCACACTCGGCGTAGACCGGCGATTCTAACGGAGGATGACTGAAGTATCGATCCTTTCGTTTCTCTGTTCGGTGATCTATCTTGTCCCCACAAAAAATTGCGATCACTTTTCATTTTTTACAGGCCGGGACAATTCTGCAGAGCTAATGATATAAAACACGTGGCCATATAGACTGACGGATGACATGGCTTCGCTAAGGTCCCAGTGACGAATTGTCCATCGCATGCTTGCGGTACCAAATGATCTTAAACGGTGAATTGTTTGAGGGACCCGTCCAGGAACCAAAATTATTTCGGGCAAGGCATAAGCACATTGATTAGACCGAGGAGATTGAGCGCAACGGGCGGCGATGTGCGGGCGAGGAGACATGTTTCATAATAGCTTGTGCTCATACTCTCCGACGTGCAGGGATCGTTTACCGAACTGTTCACTAGATAAGCGATCTTCTCCCGGCAGCTCCACCCCTGTTGTGAGAACAATCATCCAAGTATGAGAAGCTCACTCACATGTCTGATGAGTCTTTGGTGATTCGAATTCAATGCATGTGTAGATTGTAAACTCTCTTCAAATCAAATTATTACCATTTCTGTCGCATGAGTATCGATAATCATCTGCTCAAGAGTTAGATTTTTATCAACAGTACACATCGGTGGCAGAATCAAGTAGAGAAAACCTCTTCGAACTCCCCCGACTCCTTCATTTCCTTCACTACATCCAATCCTCCCACGAATTCGCCTTTTACCATGAACTGTGGGAAGGTGGGCCAATCGTTCACTTTCTTCAGACCTGACCGGGAATCAAAGATCAATTGAATGATATCCCTCAAAACCTGCGTAAACTCACCTTGTCGCACACTCTCGTCACTGAGAATGTCAAAGTGGGTGAATGCAACTTTTTTCTCCCTCAACAACGCCACGGCAGTCCTGGAAAATCCACACCGAGGCGTGTCTGGCTCCCCTTTCATGAATAGGACCACTGCGCTTTGATTCATGATATTGCGCATACGAGCTTCTAACTGTTCTTCCGTCTCGGAAGATAGAGGAGGGGCAGGAGGTTGAGATGTCGTTGACTGGGGAGCTGCAGACTTGTTTCCCAAGTGCTTTGTGATCGTTTCTTTAAGCTGGGTCGCATCTCCGCCTTCGATTCGGGCAAGTAAAGCATGACCCTTTGACGTTCGCTTAGTCACATTCAGGGAAGAAGAGATTTGTGGAATACTCACCTGGATAACTAAGCATGTCGGAACGGAGTTGATGTCAAAGGAGTCTGTTATATCTGCTTGCTCTTCTGCCTCTACCTGGTATTATGTTGTCAATCATATGGTGCCTGATCAGGTCCCCGGTACTTGCCCTGAGTGCGAGCAGTTTTGGATACGCCTTCGCTAGCCCTTCCACAACCTGGTTCATTTGTACACATGGCTCAGCCCAGGACGTCCAGAAGTAGATTAGTGATATACGTTTGAGATCCTTCGAGAGCAGCTCTTGAAATTGTGGTGTATTCGGGATGTCAACGAGATTCTCGAGTGTGGACATAGTGTTATCCAATTAATGCGATGGTAGTGGTTCAGTGAACAAATAAGAGCGTTACGCGTGAAAAGCGAGGATGAGCTGGCTATCGATTGAGTCGACCACTACGTTGTCGTCCTGTGAGATAATAAAATTGTTAATTATTGAGAGTGCTGACTGATTAGTTTGTCTAAGATGGCGTTATCGGTGCTAACTCGGGCCGTGGCATTCAACGCTATTCAAGGGCCCTCTTGAGGGCACACTCATCGAAGAGACAAACAGCAAGTCGCAATCAAGTCGCGTCATGTATGCATACGAGGATATTACGTAGCTGAGTACAAGTACAAGTACGGGAATATAGGCATTTAACAGTAATTTTCTAGAAAGCTTGATTCAATCATAACACAGATGCACAACTGCAAATAACAAAGAAAGGCGACTTCCTTACGTGATCGCTCAGTACTCAGTGAGCATCCAGCCAATCATCAACGCGTTCAATTAGCTCAGCCTTTTTTCCCGACACTGGTTGGCTCTTGCTCTTGAGAAAGTCCTAGGAGGAAATGAGTGGGATGAAGCTTGATCGCGGACAGCCAAATAATACCTTAAGCTGATCCACACGGAGCTGCAGCAATGTTGAGATCAGGCACTGCATCGGATCCTTATTCGAAGTACCCACCTTGGCCAAGGCACCAGCCTCGTGTTTACTGCGGATTTCCGCCTCGTCAACTGACACGTCCTGCGTAGTCTGATCAGCAGACAGTCTCATCACACCAACAGGTGCACGTACAGCCTTCCTTTTGGATCCTGTGGTCACAGGCACGATATTCGCGGATTCGTCGGTCAAAAGAGCCCTTTTCCACTGCTTCATAAGATTCCCAGCGCGCTGATGCAAAATTAGATTGGAGAACGCATACCTGTGAATGGAATCCACGCACCTTGTGAATCATATCATATTTGGGACGCGTAAGATCCTCGAAGGCTTCCGGATCAAACTCTTCACGGAAGGCACTTGCTTGCAGCTGGGCATTGTGATATGCAAGGGCTGTAAGCACAGGTCAAGTTTATTATAGCCAATGTCTCGGAAGGAACTTTGACTGACCGGGGTTAGGATTGGAATCCGGTGGATATGCTCCGTCCTTAACACAGAGCTTGTCAATCCAAACCCTTGCGGCGTCCTTTAGCTCATCCGGCGCTATGCGGCAGTTTAGCTGTAGGTTAGAATCCGATACATCTTGGCACACCTCGGAACGCTGTCTCCAACGGTGCTGCCCTAATATCATCGGCAAATGGCAAAGGGATGAGATGAAACCCTGCAGGTTCGTTCCACCCCCCCTCTTCGCAACTTTCCGCCTAGTCAGGGAGAGGCACAATTGGCGCACGATAAATAATAAAATATGAAGCTTACTTGCGGAAGCATTGCGCAGAAAACGGGAGCAGCGTTACGTCTTGTGAGTGCCAGGACGAGACCAATCTTCTTCTTCTCTATCATTTTCTTCAGGAGAGCGGCGAATGTGCGTTTGCTTCCCGAGTATTTCTGCATTGCACAGTCATTTCGAGACAAGCTAAAACAATAAGCAAACGCACTAGTTCGTCGGGATAGATAAATACAGAGTGTTTGACATTGTCCTCGAAAGCCAGTTCTGTACGTTTCTTGAAACCAAGTAGCTTGATGCCTATTGGTTTTTATGTGAGAAACAACTCTGAGACTGATATCCACAACGCACTTGGTTCAAGGTCCAGGGTGCGGAAAGACCTGACCTCATCTGCAGTATAAAAGGGCTACGCAAGGTTAGCACTAAAGCAAGAGAACCAAGGACACATACTCTTTTCCCCAATGGAACAGCTCGGCAAACAGTATCAGCTCCTTCGCCTTCGTCATCGCTGACACCTTCAGCAGGGGCGGCACCGAGAGCCATCCCATAGACCATTTCGGCTTTGTCCACTTCCGCTTGTTGGTCCTGTCATCAGAATGATTAACGCTAGCACACGATACCAAATTAATGCAGCACCTCGTCCACGTACACCGTACGACTGTTGGCTACTTCCATGCGATCGCCGAGGTCGACGAAGTACTTGTAAGTCCCTTTCCTCTGTTCTGTGACCAGCCCGTAACTGCAGCAAGTATGTTAAAGTCCAGTAAACTGACAGGAGAATCACTGACCCTTTGATACTAATCACAAATCCGTCCGCTAGTTGGAAAGGAATGCTGAAGATGGCGCGTTTCGGCGACTCATGAAAACGCATTTGAGACAGAAGATCATCGATACGCGTGATAGATATGGATTCAGGAAGAATGCCAGTGTCTTCGTCTTCCTCATTCAATACGTTTGGCAACAAAACGGACTTCGGAAACCATTAGCCAACCATGAGAACTAGTGCAGATGCTTCTCACCGAGTAAAATTTGGACGGCTCGAATGGCTTCTCAGGAGTGGCGATGAAGAATGGTTCAATTTGAACCCCTGATTCTGTCAAATCCTTATAACTCGAATTAGCCATCCGTGCACTTTCATGGAGATAGACGTACTAGAAGGGTGGTTCGAGCAGAGGTGACGAGTTGCTTGCTTCCTGGGTGTGGATTGTCATCATCTGTGATCAAAAAAATGCGTTTTGAAGCTGTCTTCGGTGCTCTGAATGAACAGGATAAGTGACGATACTTGTTCGCTAGACTGCGTCATGTTCACCCGTCACGCAAAACCCAGTTGCAGCTCGTGAATACATCACCCATGGGCATTTTCTTTCCTGTCAGTGGAGGAAACGTGGATTTGAGTAGATCCGGATCTTCTCGAGCAGCTTGGAGCACAACGTTGAGTTTCAAGCGTTACACGACGTTCAACATGACAAACCATCCAGCAGTTGAATAAGTTCTTGAATGGCTGGGGCACTTATGAGCGTAATAGGCTGATAAACGAAGGAGTTCTTCTTGATTTCTGTAGCGTGATTTTTTGCCTCAGAAGTGCGAGTCTTCCATGACCAATTGTGAACAAAGGCTCGATGTAGTACAGCGCAAACCTCACTGTATTGAATAGCACGATGCCAACAGAATCATTTGGGCCTACTATAACTTTCTTTTTCTGAATCTGCATGGCTGCCTCGAGGGCAGTGAACAGGTGAGATGTTTTGACATCCTCGTAATTAGGGTCATCTCGAAGTTCATGCATGGACTCTGAGCAATCAATGCAAAAGAGGATAACATCACGCTTCCCCTCGAAAAACTAGGATATATTTGCGTGAGCCTTCTGGATGATGGTCCCAACTTGGCAGGAAGCACTCACTGCGGCGTCCTGTAGCTCCTGTTCTTCTTCTTCGTCAATGATGTTCCAGTCGTCGAATGGAGGCATTTTAAGGTGGATAGAGTTGGCTTCTGTAGAAAGCGCTTTTGTGCAGGTCGCAGTTCCGAGTCAATGTGGTTGGGGTCAACCGTTAGGAGCTTGGAGCGTCGCGTTAAGGGTGATGAGAACGTGGCAAAATGTCAGGTGAGGAACGCGTATTACGTAAGAGATGCGTGATTGCGGCAGCGCATTGTGTACGATGGCAAGAACGACGTACACTGCCGAGTCTACCGTACACTATCGATATGCCACTGAACTCACAAACTAGGCTTTTGCCATTGAGACAGATTGAGCTGCCCATTTTGCAAGTCCTTCCGGAACTGAAAATCCGAACTGATCAAGATCTGGATGTCTGGAAATCCACCAAGGGATATGCAGATTATTTGTTGTTCCTCCACCGGCTGAGTGAAGCAGTGGTTGACTACACGCTTCCACTTGTGAACCCCCCGAAACAGAGCCAGGTCCGCAATTATGATTGCGCCATCACAATTTGATTTATCGAGTTCACAGGAGATCGACCGAATACTTGTTCTCCTGGATACCTTGAGCAACTGGATTGATGAAATCCCGCCCCTTCAGACTCCTCAGCGCTTTGGTAATCTTGCGTTTCGTACATGGGGTGCTCGCTTAGAGGAGGCGAGTCGCATCGGATATGCGTGACAACAGTGTCTCACTGCAATGACGATATTCCAGCGTTCTGATGAACTTCTATCAAAATTGCTTGGCGAAAAATTCGCCTCCGCTTCTCCGTATCTGAAGCCTTACTTGCTCACGTCGTTTGGATCGTTCCTGAGGATGGACTACGGGACCGGTCATGAATCATCATTCGCTATCTTCCTTCTTTGCCTGACCCTCGTACGATTTTTACAACCTGACCCAGATGAAGAACGACATTTGGTCCTCAGCGTTTTCGTACGCTATCTCCAACTGTGCTGGAAGCTCCAGGATGTCTACAGGTTGGAGCCTGCAGGGAGCCATGGCGTTTGGGGACTCGACGATTATACCTTCCTTGGATATATCTTTGGAAGCGGACAGTTACGAAGTATGATAATCCACTTTCTTATTTAGTCCATTTGTCTAATTTTGTTTTCATGTGACTTCTTACCACACAGATCAGACGGATATTACTGTAGCTTCCGTCTTAAACCCCCCGCTTCCTCAAAGCAACCTATACTTCATGTCCATTATGCGGATTCATCAGGTCAAACATGGACCGTTTTACGAACACTCGTCTCAGCTTCACTCAATCGCCGTTGGAGTTCCAAATTGGGGGAAAGTTCACAATGGATTGTTTAAGATGTATGAGGTGATGACCCTTCATTCTCCACGTCGGACCTTCTCATTAAATTATACTCAGGCAGAAGTTCTGGGCAAGAGGGTAGTAGTCCAGCATCTACCCCTGGGCGGTCTGATGGAATGGGATACCCACGTCGATCTACGTCACGCGCCGTCAATGTCGCACAACGCACCTGCCACTGCGGATGCCCGTGCTCCTTGGGCGCATCCTCGCTAGTGATTAAGAATTTTATCCGACAGGTTATACAAAGTATTTTTCTGCAATCTCTCCTCACCAATGTCAAGTAGATGCGGGATATATGGCGGTCCGCGTCCCTATCACCTTTACGGAATATCCTGAGAGAGAGACTCAATTGTTTCGTTGATTTCGCTTGGCCCTGGCGTCATGGAATGTTCCGGTCTGTCTGTCACACTTTCCGGCCAAAGGAGTGTTCGAGTCGCGAATATATGACGGAGATCTTACGGCGTCCAAAGGGTCAGCATTTCAATCTATCGGATGTTTTAGCTCAACCGCGTATGAATACTAAGCAGCGCAAATCTCTATCGCGGGACTCCTGCGTAGATAGTAGTCGCCCCCTTTGATTTCATTTGCAGACTGTCACAGATAAACTCGTGCCATGGGCATAAATCGCTATGGCTATACCGTTCCGTTCAATGACCTCGACCCGGGCCTGTGTCGGCTGTGTACCCCGGTGATAATACACTACGCTAGCCGAAGCATTTCCTCTCCCTCGCTGCACAAGGTTGAGCATTGCCCAAAACGACGTTAATTGTTTGTCCGGACGATTCCTACGAAGTTCACATCTTAACGGCGCCTTTGAACCTAAAAAGCATATGGGTCGACCTCGGTCCGCTGCAGTCCGTTGCTTGCGCTAAGATCACTTTGGAAAATAACGCTGAATGGGGATTTTGGGGCAATGAAACCACGTTTCTTCCCGCCAACAACTCGAGGCTCGAAGCCTCAGGAAGCGGAAACCGACGCAGCTTCTGAATCCACTTCTGAGGACAAGCTCCATTTGTTGTTGTGCATGCACACAGCATGACGCCCCAGACGGAGGAAACAGGACCCGGGAGAAAGAACTACTTGATATGGACATGTCAGAATCAAGGTTCAGTCTCAAATGGGGACAAGGATTCTGACAATGGAACGTATAAGTACCATGTTGCACGAGAACCAGTGGGGGGGTCATGGGAATGGTCTCAAATAGAAGACCGTGAATTCAAACTATACCTGTCAGCATTTCAGGAGGGATGTCATCGCCTACCGATCGGAGAAATGCTGCTAAACATGGAGTACACGAGAGCTCACGCTGCCCTGCAATGGCAGCTCGCCGAGGAGGGCGTAGCTTTATAATCGTGGGGAGAAATTTATCTTTGGTTACCTCGCGTTCCGTCAATAGAGGGAAGTGGAAGCGAGATCTATACTGATCTCAGCTATAACGGACGAAAGCGACGAGAACACGCGGCGAAGAAGCGTCTTCGACGGAAAGCAAGGAACACACCTGTTTATATCCTTCTCTGGGATTCTGACTGGTTTGAGGTACTGGGAATCTAGGTTTCATTCTGTTGTTTAGTGAATCTGACACGTCTAGGCACTACAATAACCAGAAGCTCCGAGTCAGTCTACTCGCGATGGGAGGCATGCAGTGCTTTAGAATGTATCTCGGTTTCAGATCGTGGGCGTGATGCTAGTCCGAAGAACGTTAACCAATTGCCAGCGTCAATGGAGGATACCCTATGTAAGTTTTCCATCGAGGAATGGTTCTTGAGGCGCAAATCTATACAATCTTGACATAGAAGAGTCCTCGAAGAAGGGGGAGGAATGAAAGCGCAGCGGCGGTGTTATGACAGAATGAACTACGTCACGCGAATGCTGTGTTGGTGTTACACCACTATACATTACGTAATTCGGAACTTCCAATGGATCATCAAAATTTCTCTCAATTCAGTTTGAACGAGTCATTTGGCAATTGTGTAGGCCAACCGCAAATCAGCCTTTGCCAACAGCAAATCGCGTTTCTTCGCTGTAGTCGTTGTGACGGCGACTCCAGAGACTCTCGGTATCATCATTACTGATCAGGAAAGGAACAGTGATCTCCGCCTGTTGACCCTCGAGTACGTCCTTCATTTCTCCTAATATATCAACCAATACTAACTTTCCACCGCACTGCCAGGTGGTCTTCTGTTCGTGGTAAGCTAAAAGCTCCATGCTGTGATGGCGTTTGATTTTAAACCTCGGTTCAGGCGAACCTCCTTGACAGCACTCTCTTCCTTCCTTCGCCTACCTCATTTTTTCCACTCTCGTCTCAGTTTCCTTTTCCATTGTTTTTATTATTATCACCTTACCCTTCAAGCCTTTTCCTCGCTGGACAGGGAGCGAGGAACCCACCACTTACTGAAGAGACCCTTTACTGCCGTACTAGCCCGTGGTTCCTCAGAGACAGCGGTTCTGGTTCGGTAATTCGAGGTTTTGAAAAGAGCTCCAGCCATCCACACCGGCTGCGGTCAAAACTCCGTTATAGACAAGTCCGATCACATAGTTCTATCTCCCGCGGACCATCTTCCGATGTCTCCGGTTGAAATCCTTTCTGCTTTGAACCCACTCGACCACTTCGTTTCAAGCAACTTCCAAAAATTACCAGGAAATTTAGACGCCTCTTTCGACCCCGTGGTCCAGGACCTGTCGGCATTGATTGACGTAGCAACCAATGACACCGCAGGAGAGAACCGGCTAGATGATGACAAAATATTTTCTTGTCTTCCCCCACTGTTTAGGGGACACCCCGAGATCCATCTTCGCAAGGGCATCATAGATGCCGCGATGCGGGCTGGGGCGAACGAGGTTGATGCAGAAAGAGCCTTTTTTGTGGCTGATCTAAGCCAGGTCTATCGCCAACATGAGCGATGGATGAAGAACCTTCCAGAGATTGTCCCACATTACGGTCTGTACCGGCCCCTTGGATATCTCTTGTAACTTCTGACCAAGTCCCTAGCGGTCAAGTGCAACCCGGATCCATACGTTATAAGGCTTCTCGCTGCTTTGGGGGCTGGCTTTGACTGCGCATCCAATGGGGAAATTTCCCAGGTCCTCAGCATTGGCGGTGTCGATCCATCGAGGATCATTTTCGCCAACCCTTGTAAAGCAACTTCTTTCGTGCGGAGCGCTGCAAGAGCCGGTGTTAACACTATGACGTTCGACAATGCCGATGAATTGTACAAAATTGCACGTGCACACCCGGGTGCAAAACTTATCGTTCGTATCCTCGCGGATGATTCCAAAAGTATCTGTCGGTTCGGTATCAAATTTGGAGCACCCCTTGAGGTTGTTCCCAGCCTCTTGTCAAAGGCTAAGGAGCTCGGGCTAGACGTGATTGGAGTCAGTTTCCACGTGGGAAGTGGGTGCTATGACCCAACCATCTACGGGGATGCCATCAGGCGCGCCCGTGACGTCTTCATCATGGGGTCTCAAGTTGGTTATAAATTCAGCCTTCTAGATGTCGGCGGCGGTTTTGAAGATGCACGATTTGAAGCCGCCGCATCTGTTTTGGTCGACGCTATTAATCAATACTTCCCTGACCGAAAAGGTATCAGGCTAATTGCGGAGCCTGGCCGTTTTTATGTGGCCAGAGCATTCAGTCTTGCTGCAAACATCATCGCACGCAGGGCGCCGATGATCGAAAATTCTTTGGAGTCCTTGGATCCGAAGCCAAGTTCGGATGAACCAAGCGTCATGTGTATGTGGATAACCTTCTCATACTGTCACTAAACTTACTCTGGTGGCGCAGACTATATCAACGATGGCGTGTACGGCGCGTTCAACTGCATCATGTTTGATCACCAGACCGTGAACCCCTACGTCCTTTCCCTTGACGGATCGTTCCACATCTCTCCCTCGGAGCCTTTGTCACTGTGCAGCGTATGGGGGCCGACGTGTGACTCTATTGACTGCGTGAGCAAGGCAGTTGAATTGCCCGATGCCCTTCAAATCGGAGACTGGCTTGGGTTTGACAACATGGGTGCATACACTATATGCGCTGCGAGCCAGTTCAACGGCTTCAAGTTTAGTAACGTGGTTTATACTACAAGCAAAGGTGGCGGAGACGAGACTAGGCGCGCACTGTGCAACTTTGCCGCGAAAGGATATGGACAGGGCGGTGGACATTACTAGATTGGACTCATCTATAAGGATGAGGTAGAAATATCAATAGATTGGTGTTTGTCGTGATGTTTTAAAACTATTAATTTATTTGGGCGAGTGACGAGGTGGTCGGTAGTCGACGAGAAAAAGAGTCCGTATTTGGAGTAGTGTCGTGCGATCGTGCCTCATAATGTCACGCTTATTTTTTGCGTGTATTTTCGGTACCGAAGGCATTCTCCAGGATGCCGGGTCGTTGTTCCGGGGTTTCAGCTGGTTTCGCTGGATCCAAAATACGAATGAGGGTGAATCCGGAACGTTTCGAGGTAAACGAGGTCTAACCAATTTGTGATCGACGCTTCGCCCTTCTGAGGCACCCATGAGCTGATCGAAGCTCGCTTCCAAATAAAGGCATATTGCTCTCATAACAAGGTGAGGAGTAACCTCGAGCGTTCATTGATTCAGGTCCTGATTTAAATCATTTGTCAGCACAGTATATTGAAATAGGAATAGTCGGGGATTATGTAGTACGTTTCCGAGGGTGGGCTCATTTATGTAAATAAATAGAAAAGGGCGTCTCGAGGACGGAGCGAGTACTATGTGGGATTCTGATGGCCTGTTTCAAGTTCAGAGCGGGTGAAGTAATCCCGTGGGCGGCGTCACTAGATGTCGCGATAGGGCCATGTGAGTCAGTGGTCAAATTTGACGCGCGTGTCGCATGGAACTTAAAGAAAGGCCGGGAGTGGCATATAGATTTTGATAGCTATTGATACCCGCGACCTCGACACTCATTGCATCCAAAAGTAGTGTTATTGTCCGCAGTGTCTCCATGAAAATCATGGCTGAACGCTTCTGCCGGGAGAGTGTACAAACCTTGTTCGGTTGTCTTTTTGGTTGAACGTCAAATGTGCCTCAGGCTTCCCTCTGATGCGGCCGTTTAGTTGACAAGAGTGTGACAAACTGGCATGTTAGTGCCGTCAGAGAGGTATCCTCGTGATGGGTAGGCGACGGCTGAGTATGTCAGACGGAAAGCACGGAAGCGTGAGGAAATGTCATTGCCAGCGCTCTCTAGAAAGGTTGACAAGGTTTATTAGAAAAATGTGACAAGAATTCTTTCTCGAGAACACTGGCAGGGCAATAGAAGAATGGAAGGTTCAAATTTGGTTATGATCGTTTTGAACTTGCCGGTGCCGAGGCTTGCCGTCGGGGAAGCGTGCCTCGCGCGATTGCTTGGGCCGGTCTACGCATGTAACAGGTCTATATACGGCATTCATGTAATGCTATCTAGGTATATATGTCAACTACTAGCGTCGATGCCATTTACTTAGATACTAGTATCATCCAAAACGACAACGACGTGGCCGGAAACCCCAATATTATCATCACTTCCATCAATTCAATTCTGACTCATCATCCGCAGACATAACTTATATCAAGTTCCTGGTCTCCACCTTCTCCTCAAAATTATTTTATATTCCTCCTTGCCACTTGCTCTCTTCCCGGAATACTTTCTATTCCACACCTCTCTCGATAATGGCTTCCAATGTCCTACCCGTGAGCCACACTTCCTATTTACTTCTTCCTCGTTTCATTCATATTATGCACAAAGGACTTCTATGGCATCTTCACCTTCAATGCCTCAACAAGGTCCCCGATTTCGTCCGTACGCAAGTCCTAACCACCAGGTCACCAAAGGCCGCTATATCACAAGTAATGACCCAAGAGGTTACATGTAAGCACCACCCCTTCTATCCTCCCTCACACAGTCACCCTCAACTCCTTCTTAGTCCCGTTTTTGAATACCCGCTAAATGGTCAATGGATTATGATGGACATTGACGATGGGTACATTCTCTGGACGGGCATTTGGAAAGGTGAGAGATTCGCACTCACATGGTAATTCATTTGCTTACCCCCTCTGCGATCTCAGCTCTCGGCAATTCAAAGGGTGAGTATACCATGATCCTCCGTCTCCAGCTTGTGTCTCATATGCATCCAAGCCGACATTGTAAAAATGATCGATTCACAGCCTGACTTGGCCCCCGTCATCCGCCGTGTACGGGGAGGATATTTAAAAATCCAAGGAACATGGATGCCTTACGAGGTGAGCATTCCCGCTTCCTATATACAGCAGTGCTCACCCCATATTAGGTTGCCCTCCGGCTTTCACGACGGTAAGTTTGCGAGCCCCATAGCTAGGAGCACCCCTTGATTTTGATTTCAGAGTCGCTTGGCCAATCCGTGAAGATCTAGTACCTCTTTTCGGGTACATTCTTTTGCACTGTCATCCTAGGATAGCTGACTCATTCATTTTTTATAGGCCCACATTCCCAAGCACATGCCTCTCCCCAGACCAACCAGGCTATGGTCAAGTGGTGTCCACTGCATCCGGGCGGAGGCGGTCGCGCCGGAACAACCAAGTAGTCGCGCCTGCGCCACCTGTTCCTCGCGATTCGCAAACGTCATGGGCTATTCCCGCCGCAGGGCCAAGTGCTCACACCGGTTCATCAGCGCATTATCTGCCCCAAGGACAGCCAGCTTCCCTTCCATCGATGATGTACAGAGACCCGTCATCTTACTCTCATCCGCAGCCCATAAGTTCGCCCTTGCACATCTCCTCTTCTGCATCTCCGATTATGCGTGAGCGCTCCGCGCGATCACGGTATTCCCCTTACCCCGCTCCACCGTCCCGCAAACCTTCGATTGCAACCAGTGACTCGGTTTCGCTAGATATTCCTTCAATTTCTCTACAGGATATGCATCATAATAGTCGAAATGGCAAGTTCCCCGGAGACCAAATTGTGTTGCCTCCGATCCAACCTTTGGCTCCTCCAAAGCACATCAGCACTACATCATATGCACTGCCTCCCATTTCAGCGCTCGAAGACTTGCGAGGGATTTCTACGTACGACTCTGCAGCGGTGCTGGAACGCTTGAAGATGGACGACGAGTGCACCGCCGATGCCAGACACGAGGCAACTCAGTGGCCAAGGCAAAGATCAGTGTCTACAACATCACATCAACGGTAATTATTTTTCGTACCTGTATCACTTACAAAAATGATGACCCTTCTTTATCAGAGCACCACAATCCTATCCGCCAAGCTCATGGCCGAAACACGGATCATCAGGCACACATCGCTCCTCCCTGGATGGGCCCTTCAGCGCAGACACTTCAAGATCATATCGAACGCCACATTCGCCGGAGCCCAGCATGAGTTATCATTCATCTCATGACGGAAGCTCCGTTGATGGCGCATCTCCTGTATCGCCTACAACACCACGTTCTGTGGAAGTCTCGTCGTATAAATCGAGACATATTGTCCAGATGTCACCCGGGAAACAGCGCGCGCACGCGGGCTATGACACATCGCGGCTACCATCGCCTCCTGATGCGCAGAAGTACAGCCGGAAGTCAGCTGCTGGGGTAGACCCCCGGCTATCCGCTTGTCGCCATTCTTGCGATGATGACGAGGCTGAATCTGATTCGTCGGTACGAGGGCCACATCGTCCGTGGTAGTGTGTTTGATATCGATTCATTCATGGTTTTTCATTCCCTCATGGTCGTCCATATTCACGTTCGTCCGCACTGTCGGCCTTAATCATCTTCCGTATTTGATTTTATACTGTCATGTTTGCTATCGTCGCATGGATTCAAGCTGCATTGATTTAGTTTGTAATATACCAGGGTCACGTATAATAATTTACTTTGATAGGATACGCGGTTTCGGCCTCCTCTTCAACTTCCTTCAGTCTGAGCGAACGAAGGTTCAACTACTAGGTTTGGATACCACGTCCAATTCCAACATAGGATCTCGTGGAGCTCAACATTTTGATGTCGGAACATGAACATCTGTGAAGATGTTGAGGAAACCCTATCGGGACAATGTCCGAACCGCTATGAAATAGACACGACAGAACCACGGGGTCGAGACGTCGACCTGGCTGACACATCTTAATCTATCTTAATCTTATTCTCCACGATCACCTACATGGGTATTTAAATCCAAAAGAAGGAGACTGGATGGTATCGAAGGAACGATATGAGATTCTTAAGTGACCGCATCGATGACAAAATGTAAGCGTGTAAGCGGCCGGGCTTTTCGCGGCTGTCAAATTTCTGCGCGTTGACATCGTCCGAGGCAGGGCCCGTAGCCTGAGGTGGGAGCCCGAGTCCGGCTGAGCTGATACCGGTTTGCTGGTTGCCCAGGCAAATGACACGGTTGCGGATTAGAATTCTAATGGACACATTGTCTGGCGGCCGATGCGGGAGAACAGGGGCCTTAGTGGGGCAACTGTCTTCACAGGAGAGGGGACATAGATGCCGGGATCATGCGCAAGGGCCATTTCAAAAGCATGAATTAGGAAGGTCGGGTTGACGTTGTGTCAGGGACCTGCTACTGCGGCGCGACAACAGTTAGGCAGTCCTGTGCCCTGAAGTGGATCGCCTGAGAAGACTGTTTAGAGCTTAGCAATATGCTCGATGCTAGTTGATAAAAATATGACAGGCCTAAGTTAGGAACGTTGAACATGCGTGAACCACGACTAAGATGTCTTGCTTCATTGGCTTCCCTCAGGGAGTCAGGGAGTCGGCATAAATTGGCTGCGTGAAAGCAGTTCCCTGATTGTAATATGGTCAGGAAGTGTGATCATATGCTTCGAGATGCACCACCTGCGCATGCGCACTCACGGACCATGGAAAGACGATTGTAGATCTGTGCCTCCGTATTAGTCGAGTCGGTTCTATTCTCGAACGTCTATAAATTCGATCATGCAGTGCAAAGAAAATGGATCAGACGAACTTCGAGATCAAATCCTAGATATGTAGTGGGTGTCAGCTCTGCTATGAGAGATATCAGTCAGGATACTGTGTAGAATATATTGATAGTACCTGTTTTGTGCTGGTCAGAAACATCCGCCAAACTAGGTCTGGGAAGAGAGAGATTGATAGGAGTTTTCACATAATTGCCTCACCCTTTAATTCATGTTTGAAGCTAAGTTGCAGTGCTACTGAATCACAGCAGCAGCGAGATTGTTAGCTGCAGCTTGGTTATAGCTGCTCAGTTAATATGCGGCCATGAAACATTTCTAACAGCTTTACCAACACACGCAATCGCTGGGCGGAAGTTGCCGGCATGACTTCCTGATGGCGCAAGATGCTAGTGTACGATATAGCAATTATTGCCCCCTTATCAATTGGTCACTGAGTGAACACTGTAAGTGGAGAGACATGTGGCCATCTGAAAGGAGATGGTCGACATTGGCAGAAAGGTATCGCGCAAGATAAGGACGAGGGCACTTAGATGAAGCAAGGCTGTGACAGACCGTGAAATCTATTGTCCGTATGTGTCAATTTGACTTCAGTCTCCCAGTACTTGCTTGCAGAAAAGAACGAGTCAAAGCGATATTCAAATGCGATGGTTTCACGAGCTCTCTCCTTAGCTCTCGAAACAACATTTGTAAGTCGGGTTTTCCAGGCCCGGCGACAAGTTTTTTGTCATCTTAGTACCGTCGCTCAAGGTAGCACGCACATATCATATAGATAGTCCGGGAACCTAGATAGTACCGAGGGAGGGCATCGGGGCAAGGTTCGATGTTTGACAGGCTCCAGGACTTCAGTAGTGTTTACTGCAAGGAATCTATATGCCCAAACGCGCTTACACTTGGTGAGATTAGAATTTGGCGCCATGCGCGTCTGGAGGATATAGGTACTGAGCCCGAAAATGTTAAATGTGTGGGCTTAGCATACATGCATGGAATGCACGATGCACGTTTGTACTTAAGCGTGATTGCGCCGTTAACTTGAACGAACATGCCGGGAATTTCCGTACACGCGACAACGTTACCATTTTTGGTGAGCGTCTGGATTTGTGCTAGTATACGTACTAGTTTGCAACTCATCGACCAAGGCCCATCAACAGCACTTAGCTTTAACTAGACTCCCTTTTAGCGGCTATCTAAGGTTTTCCCATAGTGTCTGGACACTGGGCTTTGGGCCAGCGTAGGAGTGGTCCATCTATATCAACGGAGTCAGAAGAAATTCCGCTTAGGTCACTCGTGCCCTCGACCTTGAGTGGCACGTCTCTTCAGGCATTTGCAATGAAATTCAGGTGTGCACCATTCTCAAATTAAAATCAACAGAGTTTGATGATGCTCTGCCAGCTCGGCATTAAAGTTTAATGCCGTCGCAGATTGGTGGGAGGAATATATCGCGTATGTTTGATCCCTCATATCCAAACACAAACGTTCACAGTGTATCTTGAAGCTATGATGTACTCAAGCGATACATTTATCAGCTGGAAAAGCGACAACAACGGACCGGTGGTATAGAACCGTCCTATCATGACTTGGAGGCCAATGAACAGACAACCCTTGTCGACCACAGTGATACGTCTGACGCGGACAGCCTCTTTAAGCCACTGCTCGACAGAGAGCTGCAGAAGATTGTGAGATTTTACGAAGCGCAGGAAAAGGAGCTTCTGGGCGAGCTCGCGGCGCTGGAGCAATCTATTACGCAGCAAGACGAGGCAGGACTTGAGGCAGAACTCAACTATATGGATGAAGATGAAGAAGACGAAGAAGATGATGAGGAAGATGAATACAACATGTTGACTCGATCTGAAGACTACGACAAAGGGTCCCGCCGCAGGCGCCGCAAATCGAGCTCCGTCGGATATAGAACGCGTTTTGCAGCAGGTCTGCCTTGCAATACCTTGTCATGCACAGCTAACGCTGATTGAACAGGTTCTATTCGCGAGGAGCCTCCGAATCGCCGCTTTAGCGTCTCTTCTAGCGAGGCGGGAGATCTAGATGCAAGTGTCTTATCTCTTGTCCCGCGCCCACGATCGGCCTCGCAGGTTGCATCTGGCTCGCGTGGTGCAAGCGCCAGTATGTCTCCGATGGGGAGAGCTCGTAGCTTGGCTAGCCGTTTAAGGAGTATGAAGGATAGCATAACCTCTGCTGGAGACACCATCTGGACTTCAAAGAGCAGCTATGCCTTGGATACCCGGTTACTTTACAAGCGAAAAATTACTAACCTTTACGTCTCTTTATGCTCGCTGAGGTCTTATGTGGAGGTCAATTACTCTGGCTTTCGCAAGATTCTAAAAAAGTGGGTTGGCTCTATCTCGTTCGTGTAATATTTGTTGAAGGGGTTTCTTCAGGTATGACAAAGTCGTGTATAGTGAAGTATCTAGCATTTCATCGTGCCTCATTTATTCATAGCTCATCATTGCCTTCAGCTTAAAGACCGTTATATGCACGAAGTTGTGGAGACCTCTGCACCATTTACAGAAGAGTCGAAGGCCAGAATGTCGGATGCCATCGCCCGACTCACCGATCTCTATGCCAAATGTGTAACAAGTGGAGACAAGTCGGCAGCACAGCAGCAGCTAAAGCTGTATCAGCGCGAAAACATCGCATGGGAGCGGAATACAGTCTGGCGTCAAATGATCGGGCAGCAGCGACACGGTACGATCAATGGATTGGATGCTCTTGCGGGCGCTACGCTGGTACAGCAGGAAGAGAGTAGCCTTATTGATGTCCCGACTCCTCTCGGAAGTCTGAAGTTGACAAAGAAAGGGGTGTCGTTTACTGTTGCTCTAGTTGTTTTCATCGCTTTATTGAAGATGGACATCGTCGCTGGTGAAGAGGCCAATAAGTGTTTTGCCGTACTTGTATTCAGCACCATACTGTGGGCGACAGAGGTACGCAATGTCCTATGGCTTCTACTTGTTACTTATCTTCGTATTTTAGGCGATACCCTTGTTCGTGACATCAATTTGCGTCCCCCTTCTGTTAGTATGCTTACAGGTCATACGTGATGACAATGACACTGCCTTGTCTGCGCCTGATGCAACGAAGTAAGTTGTTCGAAATCACCCTCCTCGGAAATACTGAGTACATGATCCAGGTATATATTCTCCGTTATGTTCTCGCCCACGATCATGCTTCTGATCGGAGGATTCACAATTTCTTCCGCTCTGAGTAAAACCAACATTGATCGGATTTTAATCACGAGGGTCCTGAGCTTCGCAGGTACAAGACCCAGTTCCGTGCTTCTTGCCTTCATGGGTGTCTCCTGTTTTGCGAGTATGTGGATCAGGTAGGTCACATCTATTCCCGTTACTCACGTGTTGCCAACGTGTTTCAGTAATGTTGCAGCTCCAACACTGTGCTTCACTCTCATCCGAGTAAATGATATGCGTTCCACGCCCGCAGCAACAATTATCTAATTTTTATTGTCTTCAGCCGATCCTGAGAACGTTGCCCCCTGGTTCGGCTTTTGCGCCAGCGCTAATAGTTTGTTATCTACCATGTGCGAGATCAACCACTCATGACCACTACAGCTCGCCATTGCCTTGGCCGCCAACATAGGTGGTCAGAGCTCCCCGATATCGTCTCCACAGAATCTCATTGCCCTCGCGGCAATGGATCCTAAACTCGATTGGGCGAGTTGGTTTGCTGTGGCACTTCCGGTGTCTATAATTTCCATTCTGCTTATCTGGTTGCTATTGCTTGTGATGTACCGTCCTGCTCGTTCGCCTGACGGGGAAGGAGAGATCGAGATACGGACTATCCGCCCAACAAGGGAATCCTTCACTCTCAAGCAGTGTTGGGTTACGTTCGTCTGCTTATTCACGATTACTCTCTGGTGTTTTGAGCACGAAATCGAGGGCCTTGTCGGAGACATGGGTATTATTGCTATCATTCCGATCATCGCATTTTTTGCCACTGGTGTGCTGAAAAAGGTGCGTGGAGAATATATTGGCAATATTCATACTAACCCACGTGTTCTCAAGGACGACTTTGAACAATTCGCTTGGACAATTGTTTTCCTCGCAATGGGCGGAATCGCTCTTGGCAAGGGTGTTACTTCTAGTGGCTTGATGGTGACTATGGATGGGATGATTCATCGTCCTGCTCAAGGATCTCTCCTTGTACACTGTCGTTCTTGTCCTGTCCCCAGTCGTTTTGGTTTGTAATCACCTACTGTGGTGTTCGTAATTTACTCAAACTTTTTCCAGATCGTATCGACATTTATCAGTCATACGATTGCAAGCGTGCTGCTGGTTCCCATTGCGAAAGAGGTTGGGCAAAGCCTACCCGGTGAACATGCAAATCTGCTCATTTTTATGACTGGTCTTCTCTGCTCTGTTGGAATGGGCATGCCTGTTTCTGGGTTTCCTAATCAAACTGCGTATGTCCATCACACGACCAATGCGAGTCGAACCTGACGCATTCTGAATGACCAGCGCGGCTCAAGAGGATGAGCTCGGACGTCTTTATCTCTCTAATACGGACTTCTTGAAGAATGGCGTGCCCGCTAGTATTATCGCCACCCTCGTACGTGGTATATCTTATAACTTAACACGCATGCTTACTCGGCAATGCACGTCTAGGTCGTTGCTACCGTTGGGTTCGTTCTCATGCTAGCCATAGGGTATGTTCTCGTTGTTGACAACTTGAGCGACTGTTAATCATGACTTGTTTAACTTCAGACTCTGATTAATCCTTGGACCCTCACAACGCACATGCACGAAGTTCGAGTAATAAACTGGGGTTCCCAAATGGGAGATACCCTGCGCGTGTATCATACCTTGCTATATAATTTACAGCTGCAGAACACTGATAGATTTTTCAATGTCATGTCTTGTAGACTTCACTTCCAGTTCAACCGACATTCTGACGAACAATACTGCATATCAGACGAATGACACATGCCGGTGTAGAGGTCGGGGATTTTTCTGAGATATACCGTCAACACAACAAACCACCTTCTCAAGGTACGACTGTGAAAGAATTGCGCGAATGGTATAGTTCATGAACAGATTCTGCTCTCCGACTGTCCGCATTGCATTTGATCCAACACATAGCCGCGGGATGCGTCCTGATGCGTCTGGAGTCTGAACAGTCAGGTACGGAACTCTGTAAGTGCGAGATGGGGTTGTTGTTATCACACCCTCGTCTTTGCGGTATTTGATTTCGATATGTGCTGCCGCGCCCCCTGCTGCGTTTCCTGCGTAGTTTTCCATCAGACAAAGGACCGACGCATTGGCATCGGTGAAAGTGAAATGGCGATCAAGACCAAGGCGAAAGTAATTAACACAAAACCAATCGCCAAAGCATAGCAACCAAACTCGCCGTCATGATCAAACGAACCGCGCATGCTGGCATATGGCCTAGATTGTGATGTTCCTGTATCTGTAAGTGCACATGGACTTCATACACTCCGTGCGGCGAAGAAGTTTGAAGTCCTCACGCCCGGTTGAAGCTTGTGGCAACAGGCGGGGATTGATGTCGGCGGGATTAGTCCACCATATTCTACAACACCTTCCACATGTTCTAGAGATAAAGTTTCGATATCATTCAAGTTGACTTGTTCGTATGCGCCTTCAACGGCATCAAGTCGCACGCCCTGTTATGCAGCTATTCCATGAAGAAAAAGGAAATCGGGAGCCGAGACTGCGAAGCTACGCGGAAGGGGAATGCGGGACGTGAAGCAGTTTTTATACAATTCACATGTCCAAGTTGTAGTCTCCAAAGTGTCGGAATTCGAAGTCTATCTTCTACTCAGACTCGGATGTTCTCCTTATGCTCGGAGTTTTGAAAGTCATGCGCTGATGGAGGATACCAAGACATGGGAAGTATGCCTGGCAGGGGCCCTGCATTATATTTACTTACTAGACGATGACCAATTGCGTTCAAAATAGCTGGCTCACAGCACACGAGAGGGAGAAGGGGTGAGATTGTGGGGCATAATGCCACAATAACCTTCATAGTAGGAACGACTCTAGCCCCAGGTAAGTTAGCTATATCATGGGATGGAAACATGAATGGTGCACTTCAGTTGTGATGAGTTCCGTGACATCCCAGAAGACGAATAGGACTGTGACCATGCTTGGTGGTTAGATGGTTTTACTTTTGAGCACACTGCTGTATGTAGCATATGTTCAATTCGACCTAGCCGGTGCTGAATATACGACTCATTCACTAGCAACTAGATCGAATTGAACAGCAAACTCAGTACTTCGTTCGCACTGAGTCTGGCAACTGGCATGATCATCTGCATTACTACTCGAAAATCACTTACCGTGTGCCAGTGTCTTTGTTGATAAATTGATTATCACGTCATATGTTTCCTCTCCCGCCCGGTTTGTGATTTCACCCACTGATGCAAGTTTTGTGAGGAATTTGATGTGTTGAGGGATTGCCGTATGCATGCCAGCCTTGCCTTGCCAGAACTCCTGGGTCGTCCGTGTCATCCACGACGTAGATCCAGTCCTGTTCAGACTAGTATCAATTCATCATTCAACTCGATCGGTCTGCCTATGTGCTCGAGCTCAGTGGTTGCAAAGTAGCTGAACTTTGAAGGAATAGTAGTGATTTTTACGGTACCGGGCTTTAGACTTTAGGAAGTCATCAATTGATGAATTTGAAGAAATCTCACGTTTATTTGTGGGGAATTTGCATGCAGTTTGTTCAGACACCCGTCGTCGTTGTCGTCCATGATGACGAACACGATTATGTCTTCTAGTCCGCCGACAGCGCCAATGCCGAGCAAGAAACACCCTACAATCCTGCCAAATGCACATCCGTATGCAATCAAGACGACGTCCTCTGCTGTTCTTTCACGTTCGAACTCGTCACCGCATTCATCACCCTCAGTCAAACACCATTATGTTCCTCCATCGCCAACTCGCCCAAGGCATCGTCACACGCCTTCCATTTCGTCTGTTGAAGGTGTAAGGGTCAATGAAATTCTTCGACCTTCTCCGTTGCCTGTTCCCCCTTCCTTTCATCCCATCCCTCCAACACGTGCATCTTCAAGTTTCTCTCTTGATGATGACACAACGCCTTCTCGCAGACTGAGGCGTGCAGATACTCTACCATCATCTGCAAGTTTACCTGCTCTTAATGACTTGGACAGTGCTGTTACGGAGGACAATAAGCTACCTCGCAACCCCAAGCACTGGTCCACTGACGACCTCCTTTCACATCTTGCCACTTCACTCCGGGCGGAAAGCGCGTTGAGTACCAAAGATCAAGGACATCTCCTTCGTGTGATCAAAGAACAAACTATTACCGGTAGGAGTTTCTTGAGATTAACCGACGCTGACCTCGCCAGGTAAGTTGTATGTTCACGCCATTGAGTGTTCTCACAATTCAAAGGATTATCTGACGACTATCGTGTGTTTCTAGCCTGTCTTTGACACCCGGTCAGCGACTTTATCTGCTTGAGGCTTCCCGCGCTTTGCGTGCAGATGTTCTCCGCGGTCGCATATGGGTGGACTCATACCACTCTAAAGACATATCTGCGCACTCAAAGAGTGTTTATACCCGACCCACACGCAGCTCGAATTCGCCTTTCAACTGCGATCTGTACAATTTCTCCACTTCATCGGTGGATTTAATCCTCCCGCCATCTGCCTCTATAGGAGCTGATGGAGACCTTCCGCCATCCCCAGCCGTAACCTTGAATCGCTCCAACTCTGTTTCAGACTCTTCCGCGCAGAGGTATAGAGACCTTGCACGTATGCGAGTTAGGAGACGTGGACAGGTTAAGGGTCTTGTTGACACTTGGGAGCGTGAAAGAGGTGCCGTCAGCGGGAGCGAAGGCTCTATGAGTGGCAGTGATATCGATAGTGACAGTGACATTCCGTCCACTGAGTCACCCCTCCTGCCTGGCCTCTCAAATTCGACGATCAGCCTAACCAACCAGCCACCTCCACCGTACACATCGTTCAAGGAGATTGAGGACGAGCCGACCATTGAGGAGCTCCTGACGTCCTCTGGCCCTATAAAAGGAGCACGCGCTTGGGAAGTGGACTACGGATTGGGAGAGACCGTAAAGAGGATCCCCACTAGTACTACGACTGCCCATTTGCCGTTGGCATCTACACTTCCGAGGGTGGCGGCAGCAGTCGAAATTAACGCCGACTCAAACGAATCTTCAGTAGAATGCAGCCTCAGCAAGTTCAGTGACCTTGGAAACGGCCGAGCTAATACTCAGAAGCGAATCGTGACCGCGATATTTACCGGAGGTTCTGATAAGATGGACAGTGCGTCGGACAGTATACCCGTGGACGACATACCTCAAGCCAACTTACATCCAGGGGAGGTTGTGAACATTCTTGATGCGGCAGAGCGTGAGGTTACTGCAGTCGGGTCAGCTGAAGGCGTCTCTCTTGCGCCTGACCAAGTCGCAGCACCTTCCGATGATGATAATGTCATTGAAGTACTTGAAGCATCCATCGTGTCCACTCGAGCGCAGCTTGAAGCATTTCGAGCACGCCTAGAAGTCGTCGAAGCACAAGTCGCAGCCCAGGAAGCTGTTACCCACGCTTACCTTCGTCCTGAAGAAGCTCAACAGCTGCTCAATGAACATCAGCCCATAGACCACTCTTGTATTCCTGATCCGTTCCCTGCTCCGGACGACGTCGTCTTCTCCGGTCATCATCTTGGTTTGAGATCATTTGCGCGCTCGATCGTTGCTCGCACAATGGGATGGTTGTATCCCTACTCTCATCCTGGTGCACACCCTCGTCCAGAAGTAAAGGCTACGCATTCTCAAGGACTGAGCGTTTCCCTAGTGCGACCGCGCATTTTACCCGAGTTTCGGCTATCCTACTTGATCATGTTCTCTTTCGTGCTTTGTGCAGCTGTTTTGCGCAAAGTAGGAAAAACAATGCGGAGACGCTAATCGTGGTACCTATCCAGTCGATCTTCCACAAACACCTCGATATATTCTTGACATGTTGACCCTTGCTCTACTCCAAACAGTTGTATTCGTATATCATTCCTCGTCATCGCAATACCGTATCTAACCTTCATCTTGCTTTTTGTTTGTGCTTGTTTTACTACCCTCTCGTGACTTGTCTCCAGCTACCAGCCTCCCATCGCACTCTACCTTTACGATCGATCATGACCATTCACGACCATTCACGGCTACGTTCTTTGCGCCAATACATATGCATGTACCAAAGCCCAAATAGCGCCCAGCAGTACTCAGGCTTACCTTCCGAACTGTTTCTTTGAAGTGCGAGGGTATACACAAGGCTCGCGGTGTCCAAGCTTCAAGCATTGGTTGGATGTCCTTTTTTCAAGTAGGTGAATATTTCATTTGCTAGTTCGGACAAGGTGAATGACATTCTCAACCATGAGGCGTGGACTAGGCATGCGCCGCATGGCAAGAGCCTCATCACCAACTTTTAAATTCAGTTCTCTTCCCGGTGTCACTTTCAACAAAGCACACCAGTGGCTGTTGAAAAAATCAGACCTTGTGTGTAAGAGGTTTGCGCGGTAAGTTATGCGTCGACTTATGCCGTTCGGATACTCTGACACTTCAGTGATAGATGACCAGAAGACAGGACATACCGAAATCTTTGGGCTACATCATCTCGTTGCACTTCGAGAACAGCCAGCACCACGGGGAACTCGATACGCGCACATTGCCCAATTACCAAATGAGATTCTTCTCGGTATCTTTCGACAAGGTGCTGGAGAAGCTCCTAGTACAAGTGGCTCCCTTCCATTCGAGTTCGGCCGTTTCTGGAGTCTGCAGAGCTTGGCGTTACCTTGCGCTCTCCTCACCGAAATTTTGGACCAACGTATTCGTCACCTTCAAGACGCCACCGAAACATATCTCCAGATACCTTAGACGCTCATCAGATCACCCCATTGCCGTCACATTTTGTCATCGGCCATCTATTAAACGTCGCCGAATCCATCTGTTGAGGAGGCGTTTCTCCCTAGCATTCTTGATATCTTCCATGCCAAGGGCTTGGCGACTACGCAGCCTAAGGCCTGGAATGTCTCTGACTCGGCTCTTTTGACAATCTTGTCAAGGCTCGCTGATGCATTTGCTTCTGCCCTCACAGAAATCTCAATCAAAGGAAATCCGACGCTCAGGCTCGAGCGGGCGTTCTATTGGACCAATAGTATACTTAAGGTTCCATTCCTAATCAACGACTGCGCACCATCTTTGTCCTCATTGGAAATAGATTACTTCAACATACAAACCAACACTATGCCTTCGGACTGGTTCTTCAGCTTGCGCTCCCTGAGGTCCTTGATACTATAACAAGACGACTCGTATCGCTTGAGACCGGCGGGCGCGGCGGTGCCGGTTTCGCTAAGTGGCGAGGACCTGTGACTCCTTTTGCTATCGGCTAGTGCACTAGAACACCTCGTGTTTCATGGTCCAGTTGTTGGCTGTGGCGATGAAGATAACGACAATATCAGTGCACCCTTTTCACGGACGTTAATAATCCATTGCAAAACGCCCTATTTCCGATATCGTTTTAATCTCTTCTCCGCCTTACATGCACCACTTCTCGAACATCTCGAGATTCCATCACATGACAATGTGGATGAGGAGATCGGAGTAGAGGATCTAACACAATGGTTCTTCCGGTGTCAAGGGGAGCTAAAATTTCCACTCGTAAAACGACTCCGGCTGCAGCTGAAGGATGGCTACCTGCTGCATCATTCATCAGGGCATTCCCAAATGTGGAGGAGCTCGTACTAGGCGGAGCGGATGAGGTGCATATCTCATCTGCGTTGCTGAGTCTGGTGATACCTGACACTAACACCAAACGCGGGACTCTTGCACCTGGTGCTTGGCCTCGTGTCAAGACTATCTTGTTGGACGGCTTGACACTGGAGTCGTGGAAACGATGCGTTAGACCTCTTAGACGGTGGATGCGTGCCTGTGGACATGAAGGTCCGCTCGTCACGATACTGAACGTTTGTCCAGGCGAGATTGTCGATATGGCACCTATCGGCTGTAAAACTGCCGATGTCAATGCCCATGTGCTCAAAATTCTACAGATGGGGTCTCGTATAGGTAACGCTTACGAGTTAGCAGCGGAAAAAGGTATCTGGTACTTTTGCTAGCTAGATAGGCATCGTGCTCCCAATTCCAGATGGCAGTGTAAACACACATAGCCGCGAACGTGAGATGAACTTGCTTGTGGCAAGTTGTGGGTCATGTGGCTGTGTAACAACGAAATTTTCGATTAACTCTTGCCAGTGAGCGCTAGTGAGCGAGCGAGCGCCACTATCACTATTAAGTAACTATGGTATGCGCAGAAGTGCACTCACCGTGTGCGACGTGGCGTAACTCCTTGGTAGCGGAAGTGACGGTACCTTTCATGTAAGTGCCACGCATTCGACCTTCCGTTACGTTCATTGTGTCATCCCAGACTCTGTATCAATATGGTTTGTTGGGAGAATGATATAGGCTGATACAGTGCTCGTGGAAAGTGGACATGATGGTGAGTTGAAAGTTGACAATCGTGCAGTCCTTTCCTCTGACACTTACTCAAAACGCGAAGAGAAAACGCTCAGACTTCAAGTTAAGACTTGAAGCAGTGCGCCAAGGTAGAATGAGCAACTACGAGTCGACGCTTTGTTAACAGCGATACATCTCACGGCTCAGTCGCCCAGTGAAGGTGTCCAGGTTGCATGCATATCGTCTATGGATAGGTTATCGGTACTCTGACACATTTTGCAGCAACGCCACTGCCAATCCATTGCAACCCGTAAACAATGGCATGATATCATATACTTCTCTTGGGAAAATATGTATTGTACGAAATAAGGAGGATGAACCTGAAGATCCCAACCACTGTAACATTTTGAGGAGTTGATGAAGAAATGAGAATGCGACTTGACACAGTACTTGTCGGCCTCTTTTGGGCAAATTGAAAAATCAAATGTCCAGTGTTACCCCTAACCTCTCTTGCTCTCAGTGACGATACACATAACCATTGTCATCAGTTTGAGGAGAGGTAGGTCCATCGTTCCAGTGATGAATCCTCATCTTACTAAGATTTCGCAGTCACTAGTAATCAATGGCGCAAAATTTAAAAGGGAGAATGTCGCGGTGCTCCTTTTCATCGCTCCCTGCAGAGATGGTGTCTAGCATTCTCAAGGCTGGTCTGGAAGGCATCGTCCAAGATGATATGATGAGAACTCCTGAACCAGAGCACCAGATACTGGCAGGTGGCCTGCCGTTCCCTCATACCATGGCATTGGTCTGCAGACTTTGGCGAGATATCGTGTCTTCTACCCCTGAGCTGTGGACTCGGATCTTTTGGATGATAAGCGTACCCGAGGAAGAGGGCTGCCATCTTATAAACTCACAGCTGGAGAAGTCGGGCAACTACCCTATCCATTTGACCATAATCAACTCGTGGAGTCACCAACGTGGAATTCGTGTTATTTTGCACCACATTGCACCGCATCTTCAACGACTCAAGAGCCTTAGAATGGCTAACTTCTACGAGGCATACGACCAACCACACTTGGACACGCTAACAGGATATGCACCCCAGCTTGAGAGTTTACAATTGACAGATGGAAAACACATTCATCATTGCACCAACTTTAAATCACGTTTGAAACTCGACTGTCCCGCTCTCAGGATCTTTCACGCCGACATAATTGTAGCTTGCAACCTCGACCACCGGTGGTTGAAGAACAATTTGACACATGTCGAGTTCATGACCATTTCATGCGGATCTAATTGGATCCGTAACTCGCAAGCAGTGATGCTTTCTCGAGCGCTGGATGCAGTTCCACGCCGAATACCTTGCCTCACCTTTGACAACCTGCAATTGTCAGATTATAGTCTGGCCTCCATAAATCAAGCTGGCACCAAAATCGGGGCAGAGCAAGTGATCCTGCACATAAGCATCGACGCTTTGGCTGCCATCGATGACGATTGCCAGACCATCGTTATCAAGAAATGCAATTCTGTCCATGATCTTCAAAGCATATCGCTACCTTCTTCCTCAAGATCACTGGAGTTGGATGGGTGCGATAGCAAAGAACTGCGGCGAGTACCCGATACTCGTACGTGGGATGGCGATACAGTCACCATCACGAACAGCCACTCCTCCTGCATAGAGATCATCCTACACCTGCTCGGCGCACCTTTCAATGATCATAGTTGTTCGCTGTGGCGCCGTGTCACCACTCTCAAGCTCGTAGCCAACGGCGATTTCGTTCTGAACTTACCGTTGCCTTTACTGAAGGCGATGATCAGCAGCCGGCAGGGGGCTGCGGAGCAGAATAATTTGTCAGGGAAGAACGTCGAGGATAACGTGGAATTAAAAGGCGTGCGTCCGCTCATGGTGTTCCATGTGCATGGGGGACAGCCTCTGTCGTGCGAGGAGAGTGTGTGGTTCGAGAAACGGGTGAGGGACTTCGTGTGGGACTACAGGAGGTAGAGGAGTGGTTTGTATGCATGGACCATTCTAGGGAAACGTGTTGTTGATGTTCAACTTAGCTGATGACCGCTAGAGTAGCAATACTGAGTGTTTAATACTTATGTCCCGCTCCGGGTTCCCCACTGCGTGATCAAGCAGCAACGAAAATTGTCTGTAGAGACTATTCGGCCCACTGGCATCGTCTTCGTAGATTGATCCGCCGCCGGCCTTCAATGCATAAGTACTCAGGAAGCCTCACTTCTCGGCATCTGGTATGCATTCTTATCGCCATTCCCCTTCGTCTGAGAAATCTAGACTCGACTCTAGACTTGCAAATTTAATCTCTTCACATCTTCACCATTTCGCGCAGTCACCTCGTCGACACGAGGCCCTTTATCATAGCATAGCCCTTATGTGCCTTTCACTCGGTTATAGGTCTATATTGTCATACTTCCTCCCTTTGTTCCTCATTCGCTGTAAATAAGATGTCATGTATTAATTTTCTATCTCGGACTTTGACCCTGCAGTGGACCCACATTTTTCGAACGATAATCGTGTTCTCACTGCTCGTTGTACTTGTTACCAGCGCTACACCTACATTTGCAGAAAACACGCACTCAGAATCTTGTGAGATGCGTACTCAAAATGAAGGTCACATTTTGAGTATGTGTCCCACGGACGCAGGATGTGTTAGATGAGAACGTTCCTCAGTGCGAGTCATTACACGCATTTCGTATTAATGAAGGATTCGCCCAGCTATGTACTTCGTATGCGGGACCGGACTGCGATGGGATTCTCCTATACACGTGAGGCTTCCAACTTGCAATCAAGACGGGAAATCCACGTGTCGTCTATCATTAATCATTGGCCAACCATAGGGTCTAGAAGTGCTTCATCCTACCTATTTACGAGAATTTATATCGCAAGAAAGTCCTCTTCTTCCTCAACGAGGATGTCTAGGAGCTTGAAAAATGACGCCCCAGGAAAACCCATGACGTTGTAAAAGTCGCCGTCAATCTTGCGAATGAGCAAGTTGCCACGACCCTGTCGTCTGCGTGAATATCACGTTATAAACAAGTTCGAGAGAGACCAACTTGAGCTGCAAAGCCTCCTGCCCGATCTAGGCCTTCCTCACTGTCCACGTACGCCTTAAGTACATGGTCCGGATTGTCCCCGAAGAACACCAATGTCCGCTCATCTATAGATCTGTGTGCACGACGGCAATTCGGTCAATGGGGCACTCTCAAAGAAAACAATACCCTACTTGATCTCATATCCAGGAGCACTCAAGATCGGATATACTGAAACAAAGATTAGAACAGAAGAAGAATCCTAAAAATCATAATTTTCACATACCAATTGAAACGCCGGTTACGACCTCACAAACGCTCCCATTCAGGTCCATCAGCATGCGCATATTGTCCTGTTTCGAGGATGGTTTCTCGAGAAGCTCTTGCCGCACACCCGTCTCCATCTCAATCGTCGTCGATGGCAGGGCATGAGTGAAGACGACGGTATCCGCTGATAGAATATTAGTCCGCTTAGATGGCAACTTTCCAGAGGATACATACCACCGATGACGAGATCTGGTGGGTCGTCTAGGTCATCTGTCTTGTGCAAGTTGTGGAAATATGGGTAGAATTGAAAGCAACGAACGTACCAGTAATCTTTGATACACCTCCACTGCTTTCTGGGTCGCGGTGGAAACGGGATATTCATGAATATCCTCGAAGGAAGAGAAAGGGAGGTTCTCAGCAAACGTCGATGGGACAACCTCAGGTGCTAAGCCCTGTCTGTATGTCATTTAGAGGTCGACTTGAAGAAATGCTGGGTTCGTACCAGGGTTTGGAGTATCTCCTTCCTCCTTGGACTTGCAGAAGCGAGAATGACACGCTTGTTAGTTAGTTTCTGGATGGCAGGTGTTTTGAGAGCGGTTGGCAGAACGGCATTGTGTTGGGGTGTCATGGATCTTAGACGTAAATAATGTCCGACTTCAAGTTGTATATGTTGCTTATTCAAGGGTTCTGGGCAATTGTGCAATGTGGGCCTAATTCTTTGCCGACTCTCACTCTTCAGATATTGGTTATATGTAATTGGCAACTAACTCTCTAGGCGACCGAAATCTTTCAGCAGTAGTACATAGTATCGTACTAAGTATCCCGTCAATCATCCTTCTTAGCCGAGGGTGGTGGGCCTGGTGGCTCCACAGCCGGGGACATAAGCGGTGAGGGAACGGCGAAGGGCGAACTGAGCCCTCCGCTAACACTTCGTGAGATATTAACTGACTTCCCCTTCCTATGCCCTCTCCCACTCGGCGGCGGGCCAAACGCCGCCCCGCCAAAGCCAAGCCCGACACCTGTTCCTGGTGTTGGTGGAACGCTCGTGCTGCTAGTCAAGGTAGGCGGAGATAAATATGGTGAATAGGGATATGGACTTTGGCCGCTGAATCCGCCTGAGACGGGCGTGTTCGCGTATGATGCGTACGGCGAAGAGGAACCCTCGACGACCCAGCTTGGGCCTTGTCTGGCAACGTTCGTCGAGTTTTGTGCAGTGGAACGTACACGTAGCTGTCCGCCAGCCCATTTTCGCTTCACACCCGTAGCTTCGGCGGCTACAAGTCCTGGAGTGGTATCTGCCCCTGAGACGGCGTCCGCTGCGCGCATGGCGACACGAACGAAATACTGCGCGCAGGTGAAAACACCACCGATGACACCCACACAGCTACGACGATATTTCAACTTTTGAGTGATGAAGCAAGAAGATCACCCTACCGTATTATGAATTGTACCAACGAGGTTGTGCGCTGGTGGATAGTGATAACCATTGGGTCGAGGTCGAACTTGAAGAAAATACCGGGGACTCCTTCATTGTGCTGCATCTTACGGGTGTAGTGAGTCACGCTGTATTGGTTTGTCTCGAGAGGCCGTCTTCGGGGGGCAATGTATGTAGTTGGAACCACATGCAAGAAGTATTGGTACACCATGAACGCTATTGGTCGATGAGTCTAAGTACGAACAGAGAGGTAAAAAACGTACGTTCTTTTGCGATCTCGAATGAGTAGTCAAGGGGTTGAGAGATATCCGGGAAGTATGGACCGAACGAAAACTCGGTGATCACATGGGACAAGTTCATCTCTTGAAAATATCATAGAATCCATACTCATTGAACATTGAACATGGTTGCGACTACTCACTATTGTGGTCCACATGCATGTGACTATTATAGCCATGTCCGAGCATTGTAACATGTAAATTGGCTGGCTATATATCAGTATGAGAAGCGGGAACACAGAGGGTCAACATACCAGTCACTTTCTTAACTTGTAGAGAGCCATAAATACGACATGCGCTTCCATCCGTCTCGTAGTTGTATGTAGGGCGAAACTCGGGTTCAGCGCGGCGGAACCAAGAGAAGAATCCACGCGATTTTCTGGATTGCGAGATTGCCTGGCGAGCAGAAAGAGCCTTGGCATGTTCCCTGAGTCGCGATTGAAAGGTAAGGGGTGGAAACACTTGTAGTAATGATGACTTACTTGAGAGTTGTTGCTTGACCAATATCGAAACGAGTCTGTTAGGGCGAATTAAATGAATGCTCGCCTTGCAGAAGAAAAATCAAACGTACACCATCCAGACGGAACGCCTTGCTGAGGAGCAAGCGGTCGCCGACTACATCACGCAAGTCCACACTAAGATCTGCGACAAGTCTCTAGTTCAGAGGCAGAAACTCTGTGATAGAGGGACTGGAAGGACTTACATTGACAAGGCATATTAACTACCATGTCAACGTTCACATCTAAATGGGACTGGCCCTGGGAGTCTATGCTGAATTCATAATCTGGCCAACCCCAGATATACTCTCCAATATCATTTAATACAAGTAGGATTGCGATGAGAGCGACCAAAAGAGTGAAGAAACCACGGGATTCTGAGCGGGCTTTGTAGGTTGAAGGAAGTTTTGGAAATGCATCGAAATGTGCGAGGGGAACGGCAGCATCGAACTGGTCTAGTATGGAGGGCTTATCCTCCCCCGACATCGATGATGGTGAGCTCAGTAGGAGAGCGAGCTGAACTTGATAGTCGTAGTAAACAAGTGACAGTAGCATCAACTTAACCGACGTGTCATCTTAAGGACCCCGAATACTTCCACTCGTAATATTAATACATCTTACTAGGATCTTCATCGACTTCATCATCGACGATGGCGACAAAACGCAAAAATTCAGAAGCGATAGATCTGACGACGTCTTCTACATCGTCTATGTTGTTACCGGCGCCATCTACTAGTAGAAACCGTCTTCCGCGCTCTGCTACCAGTTCCAGGAGTAGCTCACAGGCTTCTCGTTCACAGAGTGGCGGACCAAGATCAAGCGAAGATACGACATTGCTACCAGATCATGCAGAAGAAAGACTCTCGCATCACAGGAGAAAGAGACGCAGAATTGATGTCAATAGCGAAGAGCAGAACGACGTGCACCAGCTCTATGAAGCACGTCCGAGTCTGCTCTCCAATCTCCCAGAGAACAATGTCTTAGAGGCAAGCACCTCGTCACAGGTCGCATCAAGCTCACTGCTGTCGAGTTGGAACATGGCTCCCGATGACATGCTAGGATCATCTTCAGTCGCTAGCCGAGGAACTAGAACTTGTTGACCAACCACCGCCCACCCAAGAGTCAGTAGCATCCCAGGATTACTCAGATGCTACAGATGCAGGAGCTGAAATTGACATCGTGGATCAAAGGGGAACATCTCCATTAGTCTCCGAAATTACCAGTGTCCCTGCAGACGACGTAGTCGTGGTTAGCCCTACGTTGTCACCGCATCGAACTCTGCCTTCGCTGCGCCCAATTGTCATCGATGATCCCATTTCCCTAGAGATGACGGGTGTATTCACACCCGAACCAACTACAAGTCAGAATCCTTATGTTTCTCCCCTGAACGCCACATCTTCCTCATCGTCCGCGCCGGAGCCACTATCCGCTTATACATGTCCCATTTGCTTCTCACCTCCAACTAACGCAACTCTGACACCTTGCGGTCACATTTGCTGTGGAGCATGCCTCTTTGCTGCTGTCAAATCCACAGTGAAGCGGAACATGGTGATCGCTATGGACAGAGCCCCTGTTCCAAGGTCAATTTTGTCTTTCACACCTTTTCCGCCTGTAATCTATAATTTGACTGATCATACTCAGATGTCCCGTTTGCCGCGCCGAAATACCTGGGTGGGATGGACGAGGGGGAGGGGTGGTTGGGTTAAAAGTGGAGGTGGTTTTTTCTCTTTGAATTTGAGCACGCCTCGTGTGATGTGATGTACACATGCATATGTTATATTGACCATGCTTGAGACACAAGAGCTTCTGGTCGAGGCAATATAATTCCAATAACGACCTTCTAGAAATCACGTAGCAGTGCAATCATAGCTATCCCTTTCCGAGTCATCGCGGTCGCCACGAAACCAAATACTTCTGTGACTGATTAGCGGGAAAGCGCCATGTCGTTTCAGCGTGGTTGGATTAATATTAGTGATCGATCATGGTCGACACCGAGTCCGTACCTGAATATACAGCCTCTTCATAACAGGTAACTACTCCTTCGAAGTTAACTTCACTACGACATGGCAAAATCATTAAATATTCCAACCGGCGAATTAAATGCATAGTAGCCTACAAGGCGACGCGTGCGGTCATCGGTCATAACTTACGTTGATTTCTTCTCGGCATTTTTTGCGTAAGTGCAGTTTGTTTGGCAAAAGCTTTTGATCCAAACAACCCAAAACCTCAGATAATCACAACTTAATCAGATACCATATCAAAGATATCGATCTCTCATTTTTGACGTTAAAATTCTTTTCTAATTCGCAACAAACAGCGATAGTCATGAGCGCCCGCCAATCTTTTGTTCCTCGTTCAGCATCTCGTGCTTCTACCCATGCAGACACTGAACACCCGTATGATATGCCGCTCCGTAACCAGAATTCCCTAGGCCAGCCCCAACGTATTGGCGGTATCCAGAATGAACTTGAATCAATGCAACCAAAAACAGACTCCGAGAAGAAGGCTCGCTTTGCAGGGATGTTCGGGAAGCACAAACTCGCTGGCAAACCCAGCTCCGGAGATCATCAAGCGGCTATGGACGTGTCGTTCTCCAGCGCTTCTGGGCGTTTCAGCGGAATATATCGCCCTGATATGCAATCACCAGCCCCCCCACGCAGGTCTAGCTCTCCATTCCGTGGAAAAGGGTCGCCTTTCGTTCCATCATCCAATCCTGGCATATCCTTTGCTCGCCCCACGTCACCTATCGCAAAGTCTGCATCCCACAGAGGAGATTTGACTATTTCCGGTCTCAAAGACGCGCATATATCCACTGCAGGTGTCGTCTCAGGGTTGATTTCTACTTCTCGTGTCATTGCAGCGCCCATCCCAAGCTATGGGTCTATTCACGATGGCGAGCACGATGACGAACACACATTCAGCTCCAACAAATCTTCTCTAGTCAAGTTGCAGCCTGCGCAACTCCTTGAGAGAATCCACGAAGACGTCGAGCCAGAGACAGCAAATGAGGACGAAGCGCTACTTGACGCTCGCAGGACAAACGTTGCCGCTCATCCCATGTTACGCAGGGTGAAGCGCACTATCCAAGGCGCCCAGGAGGACGAGGCCGATTTCTCACCCCATGACGAGGTTGAATATATGCGTACAGTCAAACGGGTCAGGATCGACGAGTTTTCCCGTGAATTGTCAGATAGCCGTCCTGACGCCAGTAGCCACTCCGGTGTCGACCATACTCAACTGCAACCTGACCTTGATGACGATGCGGCTCGTCAATCTTCACCTCCCACGGGCCAACCTGGCACGGGTGCCGCGGAGGAAATCTCTCTTGATGGCTTGTTTGCAAACATGAATACGTTCCTGAATGTGGAGACTTTCATGGGCCTTGTTCAGAAGTGGTCTACCTGCTCGAGGGAAGAGTGGCTTCAAGGTTCTGGAGGTGCGCGGTTGCTTCCCTGTCCCCTTGCATTGTCTTGCTTCTGCCCCTTTCTGCCCATCAAATTTCCGTCAAACTCTCATTCACACAACATCTGATTTGTTGTTCAAATGGGTGCTAACCGGACTCGTGTAGAAATTGTCGACCAGTTTAAAGATATCATTGACTCCGTCAAGGAGAACCTCACGTGCGTGCCTTTTCAAATATATCATATCCCTGTCTTGTGGTGGAGTTACTGATCATGATCACGCCTCCTGATCATTATACAGAGCCAATGTTACTCTTTACTCCCGTCTGGACGACCAAGTGCGCGATCGCCGTGAGGAACAGGCTCAGCTCACCGAACATTTGAGGCGAGGATTGGGATCGGCCAGGACAGATCTGATCGCTATTTGCCGGGGGAAGTAAATCGAAGCGGTGTGGTTAATGCTGCGGTGAGATGCTTGTACGACGTGCCTTTTCACCTCCTATGCTGAAAATAATGGACTTCATATGAGATTGTGGATGTGCTTCGTGAAACTCAGCGATTATAGTTTTCAAATGTCAATTTGCAAAATCGCAATCCTATTTTTTGATGAAGTGAAGTGAACGGTAAAGACGTCGAAGTCGGATATTAAGTTTTTTTTTCCAAGTCTAGAAGCACCAAGGCAGGTCTGAACAAAATCCAAATAATATTATGCGGATGGACTCCTAAGTGACATTTGTAGCAGAGATGTGGGCCCACATCCAAGAATATTTTCGATTCCTCGGCCCCAACGGAGACGATTTATGTAAACCGTCGCATTTTCCGCCTAATCGTACGCTTGATGAGGCGAACGCCATACAAGCTAGACGAGAGAGCGCTGATAGCGACAAAACTGACGCGACATAATATTGTTAAGTAATGAGCGGTAGTACCCGATTAGAATTGCGAATATATGTCGTCAGACGTGCACAAAATTAGCACTCTTGCCTCAAGTAAAGACGTCGTCTTTCCCTCATGCTAAGATAAGCCTTAGAAGGTCTTAGACTACTTTCGCCAGTGGCACCCGCAGTGCAGACGGCAATTGCAGAAATTCCCACACTACTAACAAATAAGGTGCGGCAATTTCTTAAGTCCCCACACTCACTATGTGCTTGCGGCAGCCTTGTGTTTATCCAGTAACTTTGTAACGCAAGGCTCAGGCGTCAATGCTTTAATGCGCCTTATCTCTCTGGTCACACTGATAGAAGGTCTTCCTTCCGATTCTAACGACTTCTATCTGCCAAAGCAAGGATACCTCGTGCACAAATCACCGTGGCGCGCTATCAGAAGTCTTTTTTTCAGCATAGAACAGGAGAAGCGTTCGTTGCGCGATGAAATCCAGGCGTTCAGTCATTGGTGCGAGTAATCACCGGTCCCTGTGAAGACTGCTAGGCCTAGGTCGCACCACAAGTCATGTACAGACAATATCATGATGTTGCTGTGCTCAGTTGTCATATATGCTCAGTGTGTTGTCATATGTGCTTCTCGGTGTCGCGACAAGTCGCGGCTACATAATGTTCATGACTCTATCTTAGCGAAGAGGCAAACGTTTACGCAACAAGAGAGTCCATTGGTCCAGGCCGTATACGAAGGTTGTGGCGCCTGATCAACATCATTACATGATTGAAAGGTTTACACTTCGAAGAGACGAGGCTTATCTGGGTAAGAATTTGAAATAAACATTGGCTACCTAGGTTGATTGCGATTTCATAAATCAACAACTCATTGGAAGTTCATATTAACGAGGAGAGGTACCTCCCGGTTGCTGTTGAAACGTTGATGGCCAAAATGATAGTGTGCCGCAGTCATATCTCTCCCGTGGGTCCTATCCTGAGGTACGAAAGCCTCGCTTTGCATATCTTGCAAAAGACTGAAGTCTTTGACCAAGGTCTCGGACTAGGAAATGTCATGTTTAATCGGGTGATAAAGTGGGGTGCTGATAGATCGTTTTCTACAACACCTCTCCTGAGTCCTTATCATATAGCATGATGCTCTTCCGTCGGCCGTATTGTCCCTGACGTTACTTCACACTTAATTTTTGCAAGAAGTAATACGGCATACCTCATGGCATCTGCCAGTTGTGGATCCAATGGCCAGAATTTGGGAAGATAGCTTCCGTTGTCCTTTGAAAACATTAACACCACTGCCTCACGTCAGGCTGTGTTATCCGGCCCCTTACGACAGTTCTTTTGGTCCTTCCGCGGTGCTGCATCCGGTCGTGGACCTTCGGGGAAACGTTGCTTTCCCGACATGATGGACATCCGCTGTGGGATAACTTTCTCGTTGCGGTCTCTTAATCGACCTCATGGCTGCGTGAAGTCTATTCCCGTATTCCATTTCAGGACATGCGGACCTTAAAGGTATCTGTGTTATAAAGACTACGTACTTCAAGTTTAATTCATCATTCTTCAACGAGAGACTCGACGTTCCAAAGATCCTTCCGGGTTCATTATGCCTCCTGGTACATTTAAAACACCATAGATCACGTTGTCTTGCTCACTGTCGCGCAACAGATCCTGAGCTTACCTTGGACTCGAAGCGCAAAGAAACGCTAAATGAGTTTCTCGAAGTGCTAAGAGAAATTGTCGCTCGCGACTCTGCGCCAGTAGAGGGAAAACCGCAAGAGAGCACAGGCAAGGAGAAACAATGTGAGAATATCTATTTCGAGGGCTTTCGGAGTCCATTGACCATTTTAAAGATCCGATTAGCTCGGAAGAAAAGCGGATTTTAGAAGGTATAGAGACCTTCGATAATTTTGAGAAGTGAGTGATCCATTCGACTTCTTTTTTGACCGACCATGGTTGACCCCTTCACACCTCGAAAGGCGCATTGAAAGATTGGACAAAGAGGTCAGTGGTTTTCTGCGAAATATCGTTATATTTACATGTCCTTCCAGCTCCGTAATTTTGATAACGGCGCCCGTCAATTAGGCAGCTCGGCCGCATTGCTACTGGCTGCATCTAGACTTCGTGAACGGCTCGTCCGACTATTGTTCATCTTCCGCGACAACACAGCCAATCTATTTCCTCGGAGGATCGCACGCCAGTCCAGAGAAATGCTTGTGAATCCAAATATCATGGATCGACGTGGCAAGGCTCACCACGAAGCTCTCGCATTTCAAGCGTTCATAGCAGAGGATGGACTTGCGACTGAAGCCATCCCCCAAGAATTTGAAGGGTTTGCGCGAGATCTCCGCATGCTATTGCATAGTTTGAACGATTTCCCTGAGTTCAGGGATGATGCGGTGAATAGTTCGATCCACGCCTTCATAGCAGAACTCGAAGTAAGTGCTCTTTTTTGCCGTGACACTGGGTTAACAAAAATTCAGTATCGGGCTTCCTGTCTGACAGAGTACAAAGGTACGATAAAATACGCAACGTCCAAAGTTACTGGGCTGAATCCTTCACATAGGCCATTTTCGGCTTGCTTCTGTGCAACAATACGTCCACGGACTTACAGCGGAAATTGGAAGTCATATAGACGTTGTAGCATCGAACTTGGCGATGTTCATAGATATCGGTAATTTCAATTTTAAAACAGGCGTTTACTGGCAACTGAAATGGCGGATGCAGGTGTCCCAACCATTCAGCTTTCACAACAGTATGCGGCCTCTAATCTTTCTAATCTGGCAACATTTGGTACCATATTTTCGATTGTCACCGCAACACTTTTACAACTATCATATCATAACGCCGGCAGTGGGCTGGCAATAACTGTAAATGCATTTTGGTTTTCATCGCTAGTTTTCAGCGTTACGGCCATAGCGACCAGTCTACTTGGTTTGGCGTGGACGCAGGCCATACAGTGAGCGCCTCATATTATTTTCGCCTGCTTGACTTATAATGACTTGGAAAATCAAGCCGCTCGCCAAATCACAGAGTACCCTGGTGGCTATTGACATGGATCAGGCGATCCCCTCTCGTGTTACTCGTCAATGCAGTTATGTGCTTTTTTGTGGGACTCATGTTAGTCACCTACATTATAAGTGATGTCCGTAAGAATCCTTACTTTTCATGACAAATTGGTTTACTGTTTGTTGGCTTGTAGAACATGGTCACGCCCATCCTGATCACTATATTCGCAGTACGTTTATTGCTTTTCCTGATGTACGACAAGCTCTTATCTAATCGTGACAGACCATTACGTCCATCGGACTGGCTTCCTCCTTGTGCTGGATCGTGTCAGAACGATTTGTATTCATATACCATCACGGTCACATATGGCTAGAGGACCTCATGCTGGAAACAATCAAACATATCACTGCGCCCATACGGACGATCACCCACCGTCTTTACTCAAGTTTCCGTGGACTTCCTATGTACGTTCGGCGACCCCCTCCTGCCAAATTATTTGAGAGAACGACAGATGATGAAAATGCCCAGAGCGCAGCCCTGACCTCATGCTGCGTCTCTACAATATCTCCCTCGAGTCAGGAGGATGTGGCATCAGTTGTCTCGGAGGCAACGCCAGACGAACAAGATGAGGCTAGACGATCTCGTGCTCGAGAACGCTTCAAGAAGGCTGTTCGGACCGTTATATCGATGCAGTCATACCCGAGAACTTATGGCTCGCAATCTCTTGATTGGTTGCTGCATCCGAGCCCTGATTCCAACAGCGCTTCGATAGGAGGAAAAGTAATTCGACGTTATGGTCTTTCTACTCTCTCCCAAAAGTTGCGGAATTTGGAATGCACAGAAGACATCTCGCCTCATCAAGCACTCGTGAGAGACTTGCAATTCTCTCCAGATGGAAAGTACCTCGCGACGGCAAGGTAATTCCAGAGGTTCTCTTATCGTTGTGAAGTACCCTTGTTTACATTACCCGTTGACGATAGTTGGGATAAAACGGCATGTATCTTCAAGGTCGCCGTGAGTGCTGATTTGCTTACCAGTCTCTCAACAAAATTTGAAGAACCTGACCGTCACGTGCAGGAACCGTCCGCTGATTACCATGTTCTTTACCATGAGAGAGGCTTTACGGAGCAAATACTCTGGTCCGCGGATTTTTGTGACGTTGTTATTGTCATCACGACGATTGATTATCTTAACAGGTCCTCGAGTGGTAGTCACTTGTTAACCAGGTCTCCCCGCGGCATCAAAATTTGGACAAAAGTAAGTTGTAATTTAAAATTCGCGTTCCGTTCTCAAGCAGTATCCTAGGATGGCATTTGCTTGAAAACAATCCGTCGGCCACATATCGTCAAGTTCTTGCAATGGGTGCCTCTTGGAGATAGTAAGTGATATTGAACCCTGTACGTCACTTCCGATACTTAATACTCGATAAGTGTCTATCCTGTCTGTCGAGGGGAGTGAAATCGCGAAACTAGTACGTCATATCCAAATTATACAAGATCGTGAAACGTGACATTCCTTAGGATAAAGATGGAGAGGTAAATACTACATTTTCGAAGCCAAAATTAATACGAAGCATTCGAGAAGGTCCTTGAAATTTACAACTTCGGTCGTGTCCAACTTCGACGGATCGTTGTTACATCGGACGGTCATCGTATAATAGGCATTGGTCCTATAGGGGAAGCGCCTAACGGACTCCATCCGAGTCGTCCTGCGAGAGTGGAAAAGCGCATTGTAGGCAAGTAACTTACCCATGTGAAGATCAATGACAGCTCACGAACATTTCAGTGTATAACACGCGTACAGGTCTCTGTGAAAGGTGGGCCGCTGCTTGCTTACATCTCAATAATGACACGCCTGACGTGCAACCTGTAAAGTCAAATACCACTTTTCCAGGACGTAAACGATGTTAAATTGACGAGAGACAACACCCACCTCCTCTTTTCGTTCGGAGATCAGGTTCGTAGTTCGTGACGAAAAATAACATGGTTTCTACTTATGCTCTGAACTACAGTCCCCTCCTCAGCTCTGGAAGATGGATTTGGTCGGGGGCCGGGGTCGGGCTACCCGTAATTGTGCGAGACTTACATTCCGTCATGAATTTTCGTCTCCAGTCTCCATCGAATATGTTGAATCAACGTTTGGCGGCAAGAACGATCAGTTCATACTCTGCGCCGGGAAAGGTACGATTTTGTGCCGATTTTTCGCTAATCCCTGCTGACGATGTTATGTAGCTGGAGATATCCTGATTTGGGATCGAGAATCTGCTAATCTTCTTCATCACATCTACCCTAAGAACCCTGATCAGGATCTGACTTGTATATCGTCCAATTGCCTCGCAGGTGAACCTTTCGCGTTTGCTGTAGGCGGGCACGATGGCAGTATTCGTATATGGTCAACACTCTTATGTCTCACTCCTATGACTCCGTCCAATGATCCACACGATATGTCACCCCCCGAATCGCTATCCAGCTACTCTCCTAGAGGATGGCATACAAACAAGATCCCCGCGGATAATTTTCTGAAGGTCGTTACGCCAACTCGGCGGTTACGATCTCCGAGTATGACGTCAACGGCTTTCCTGTCAAGGTCGAGTTCGGGATCTGCTTATGGGACACAAAGAAGTATAAGTCAGAAATCGGATACTTAATTATCATTTAAATGCAAATGTTCACTAGACGACAAGCATGTCATGCCTACTCCAATATCATATGATAACTTGATTTCACAATTGACGGACACTTCAGTTCCGATTAGCGGGAAGACTCTGCCAGATATGATTCAGTGCGTTAGGCAGGATGACATTGTCAGATACTGCATGCACGGTATTTTTCACAGGCGGCTGAGCGGTGAAAGAGAAGCGTCGCGTCACACGCGCAGCATCTACATACGAAACCCACAAGCTCACCCCTTTAAATTGATTCAAGGCGGTGATAGAGCTCAAACAAAACTAGACAGTGTTTAGTGACGACCAAGCCCCAAACAAGCGGGGAACAATGGAAGCACCAGAAGCAAGGATGGGTATTGATGCATGCGATAATCCCAGGCTTCGAAGACAGTAGCAGAAGAAATCACAGACTTGGCAAGTAGGGGCGTTCTGTTGCCCATAATCAGAATTGTCAAGGACAGACAGAATGCGAAGTGAAATGGGGGAAATGATCCGTCCTGCATCGCCAAATCGAAGATATAGAATGCAGGATGCCGCGGATGCGGCAATGAGGCACAAAGTCAAGCAAAGATGGACACTGCTGGCCAAGTGACAAAGTGATGGAGAAAAGAATAGCCGCTGCGACACAGTTCAATTACCGATGAAAAATGAACCTGTTCGTTAGAGCAGGGTGATTTCACAGTGTGGCTGAGGATGACGACAGTATGTCGAGAGGGGACAACAGACGGACCTTCCCAAGGCTAGGCGGGGGCGACAGATGGATCTGGGATCAACAGATTTGGCCGGTGACAGGGTGTGCAGAGGGAAGAGGACATCAGCTCAGAAGCCGCAGGCAAGGTGAAGCCGCGGTGAATGAGGCACGAGGTATAACCAACTGGATGAAGGCGCAGCCAGAAATCAAGATGAAATACAATAGGAGGGGCTACAATTACCACGCTAACAATGTCAAAATGAGATTTCGAGACGGAGAGGGTCAGACTGCGTGAAGTTGTGATGCTAACCCTAAGCTAGAAATGTCAATTACCAGAAAAGCGGAGCGATCACGACGCACCCCTAGTAGTAAATATTACAATGAGCAACGTGATGACGAAGCAGGCTAAACAAATAACAAGAAGCGCACAAAATGATACGAAACAAATCACAAATTGGATAGAACATTGAATTGTGATATTGGTTACTGGGACAACCTGAATAGGAGAATGCGTATGGATTGGGTGGAGAGTGCAGAAGAAAGGTTGAGACATGCGAGAAATTGACGAAACGCTGCGTGGGCTTGCGAGACATGGCGACATGAAAGAAATAGCAAGAGGCCACGAAAAGCGTAGCAGACTCCACTGCACGAAAAGCCTGACTGTGATAAAATTATTACCTGAGGCGTCTATGGTTTCCTGAACCACACCGCTTCGTCACGGATACCCTCCTGTTCCGTCTTCACGTTTTGCGGATTGATGCTATTCATGCTACAGAGACATGGCAGGGATAGGAGGACATGCAACATCTCCGCTGAGCGCAGCGTACTGGTGCTTCGCTGCGTATCGGCGCTTATTAGCCCGAGAACCTCATTCAACCGGCATCTCGCTCGGCACAGTAGAGAGCGGCGCACCATCCTCAATTATATCCAAGCAGTAACTATATGCTCAACGAAGCCTGGGAGTCCCCATGACCTATACATTACTTCAGCGAAGACAGCGTCAAAAATCAAGTTCGGGAACCAGTCGTGAGACGCGATACAGGACTAGACCACCACCAGGTATGGCTCAAGTTCTGAGAGGTTCACTGGGGGGTCCAGATCATGTAGCACGAGGCTAGAGTTTGCAGGAGGGAGGTTGTCGATGTCATTCGAGGTCATATATACGTCTGGAATCTATGCAAAACGGGCATTGAGGTTCGAACGCTAGAGCGATATCATAATAGTTTCGCACATACCGGCAAAAATCCCCACGAAAGGGGAATCCGTTTGCATAAAAACAAGCCACTCTACAGGTAGTCTACGTCCTGGATAATTTGCAGAATTGGGTGGTTGAATGACCGGCTAGTGGTAAGCTTTTCAATAGGGTCAGCGAATCATAAGCCATTTGTAGAATAGCGACACATACCTTATCCTTATCACCCTTTCTAACATCCACGAGGTGAGCTGCATCACACAATCATCTTCCAAGTTATCGACGACGTACGAGCCACCATCCTTCTCGGCTAACCCGCTTCTAAGATCGTGAGCGGGGGTTACTTGGGGCTCTAATCAGCCTAAGTCTCAGGATCGATAGCGAATGTGTAAGGTCGCTGGTCTTCTTTGGCATGATAGTAAACTTGGAGGTCTGGGGTGCCACTGGATAAGGTTGTTGAGTTGTATGCGATGGGGTTGACAGGATACTGCAAGGAAAGAGATGGTTCCCCACAGGTACCCGCTGTGGCGAAGCACATATATCGAAGAAGCGTGTAAGGATGCAATGACCAGGGAAGTATACGACGTGAAATGAGCGTACCCATCACAAGTCTCGATCCTGCTGAAGCTGCGGAAGAGATCAATGAAGTCCATATGGAACATGATGCGAGGAGCTGCGGCTGCCATATTAACAGTGTCGGCATGAAGATCTGGGACAGAGGATCATCATCGATCTGACCGCATGGGATCGTGATGACGCTGGATCAGCAGCGCCCAGCGATCACGATACAACCTAGACACTGCGATACGCAATGAGTGAGTGAAGTAGCAACCGGAAGCAAACGATAACAAATGCACGGAAAAACATGAACGATCCAAATAACAACGCATCCCATGAAGACGGGACATTGAGTTGCAAAGATAAAAGTGGCAAATATCTTATAGGTTTGACGAAGAGAGCAAAATTAGTCAACGAAGAGAAGAGTTGATTGACTGATACTCAGGGTGCGGGGTTACAAACGATGGCTATAGAAGGGACTGTTGATAGCAAGGAGCAGAAATACAGACTTTTTATACGAAGAGGTTGACGAGAGTGCGTGAACTTTCGTAGTGGTAAAAAAGGTATGGCATCGCCCGGCCACGGCTGCAAGCGCAGTGTGGAGTGAATTTGTTACGACCCCTGCGTGTCGGAACCAGGGAAACGGGGTGCAGCGTGGATAGATCCCTAGCATACTATCGGCGAGTGGTCATGCATATCCTTACAGGGTACCATGGATAACTGGTTTACTACGGACCCCGTGTTGGAAACTGAGTGGAATGGAAGACGACACGCGTTATTGCGATTCAAGGGTGATATCATTGAGCTGAGGCGAATCAGCAAGCATCCAGAAACACTCGCGAAAAAGGCTCGCAAGGAAGAACATATTTTGAGACGACAGCATGTTGTGTTAGCATTCCAGAAAAAGGGTTCCATCGTCGGGGCATGGGTAAATGATTGTAGGGTAAGGCTCGAGGTCAGTTACGACTGCCCAGAAGAATGTAAGGAGACTCAAAAGCATTCATTGTTTTCTAAGCGAGTTCTCGTTGGATAAATTGACACGTCATCAGGAGAGGACGGTACCTTCGCCTGTTGCTGTATCACACCATTGCTATATGAATTGAAAACACGAGTCGGAGTCGTCTTCACTACTACGTCAAGTTCAGGACGACAAGGAAGTGATATAAGCTAGGCTCACCTGGACTGTCCCACTGAGTTTTACTACAGATTTCCCAAAAACGTAAGGAAAACACTGGACTGGAAGATCTTCCACGAAGTACTTTGACGAGATCTGGTAACCTCCTCAGGAATTAGGGAGGCGTAGTACCGTACAACAACATCATCCAAGCTTTCCGAACAGTATTCGGAGGGATGCTCTTTGAGCATCACGACCCGTCCACCAGTCCACGGAAACTCTTCCACCAGCAATCATACATGTGCTTCAACTCGATTCTTGAAGAATATCACGGTGGTTTTTGCCTGCTGGGGCTTGTGCATCACGAGGATGGATCGCTGGAGCGAAACGATAGGACAATTTGGATGATAACGCGTAAGCGAGCATTGTGTAGAAACCTGCGCTTCTCTAGCAACCGACTGCGCGTCGGCTAGCCTTCACATTTGATGGCTGGATTGGTAGTGGGAGGGCAGGAAGCGACAGAAGAGGACAGGAAGTGTGACTAGTACATGTGATGCGATAGTAGAAAGCATGAGCAGTCGACAGGAGACGGTAATAGGTGAGGCATTGGGAAAATACTGTAGTACTTGAAAGGCGTAAAATTTGGATGGGGGAGACCTAGACTGAGTACTGAGTACTCTAGCACTATGCGTTGGGAAGCGGTAGCACTTGGTGGCCAGATATAAATTTGCGGGCACGCAGGTTTAATACCTTGGTCGGGTTAAATGGGCAAAGGGACGCGTCACGCGGTAGTACTCGTCAAGTTGTGGGTCCATATGGGTAATCTAATCACGTGCATAGAAGCTCAACGCACGTGACGATAATGAACCGCGACTTGGCAAATGTCAGAACCACAGGTTTTTCTACTAGTGTTCACTAGGTTCACTGCTCTTTCTACCTCCTTGCGTTATCTCTCAACTTCATTATAAGGATAATTCTTGCGATTTATCCAATCTTTTTGTGTGCACTTCTGCGACTTATCCTGTGTTACACGTTTGTGATTTAAAAGCAGGGTGCAAAGTCACTTTCATTAACTCTTATTACGACTACCTTCTCCGCAACCTCGAGGGTTCGATACGCTTGTACAACTCATGGCTGCCACTCAACAGTTACCGTCATGGATGACATTGTCAACTACCGTGTACACAAATGCCGCAGGGCAAACTATAACGAGCGAGACAACCCTTCAGCTCCCACTCACTTACTACGGTCCAAGTGTGAGTACCCTTCTTACTTGCTTCCACATTCGTTTCTACGAATACACGCCCGAGGTTACCTTGAGCAAATGCGCTTGAGATAGTTATACATTGTCTATCCATACTGACATCCTTGCCTTCCAGATTCCTTTGGGCAGTGACGGTGCTTGGACTTATGGTGGTCTTACCTCGCCAGCAGCTTCAACTTCTTCTCTAACGACTTCATCCACCGCGACATCCTCTACCTTCACCCCAACATCCTCTGCGACACCTACTTCCTCTTCATCATCATATCAGTCTACATTTACATCTACATCTGCCTCATCTCCTCTACCTCTACCTCTACATCCCCTTCCACCCCTGCCACGTCAAATCACTCTTCTAACTCAACTGCTTTATCTAAAGGAGCCCTCATCGGTATTATCATCGGTGCCATCATTTTGTTCATCATCTTGCTTCTGCTTTTCATCTGGTTTGTCCGTTGGAACTCTCGTCGACGAGACTCCAGAGCTATCACACCTATATGGACAGGATGGAATGTTCTTACCCCAGATCAAACCGGCGACGAGGAGAACCGTCCAGCTGGTCTGGGTTCTCCTCGCGATAGCGGCGATGACGAAGCAGATTCTTTCCTCCGTCGCAGCACCGCTACTGATCCTGAACGCCGTGCACGTCCAGTATCTTCTCTTCCACCTGGTGCAGCGCCACCACGTATTGTAGGAAGCACTGGCTCCGACCGAACAAGATCCTCCCAAGCTTCCACAGACTATGGCGTCGTCCTGCCTGGCTCAGGACACTTTGGACAGGCGTATAGTGGTGATGGCGTCCCTGCCCACGACAGCAGCCACATCATGCCTCCTGGAGAGCTTCCTCCGCATTGGAGACGAGGAAGAGCTGGAAGACATACCCCGACCACGCATGTATAGCTCAAGCCATCCCTCTCTGCCCGAGCACATCGCCCCCCTACTTCCACCCCCACCTTTCGAGGGCACTGCCACCCGCAAACCTTCAGACCGCTCCCTACTTAACGAGAAGGAAAAATCCGTCCGCAGTGCCTCTTACCCAACGAGTGACCTGGAAGACTCAAAAATCTTCACTGCTCGCCGCGTACGCGTCCAGGAGCTCGGTTCCCGCAGCCCCCAAGATGACGACTCCACGAATACCCAGCCTGTCGCAGGACCCGGAAGCTGGCGTAACTCCTTCTCTCGTCTGCGAAGGAGCTGGTTTGGGATCTTCATCATCTCGCAGCGGATCAAACTCGCGCAGGGGATCAGATAAAGACGCCGAGGCAGTCCAATCTTTGCTCGGCCGTAGGCTTGGTGTAGGCTATACCTCTGCAGGAGAACGTCCGATGTCGGGTGTGAGCGCTAAGAGCGCAATATCCGGGAATACGGTGTACCATGACGCAGTCTCCCGTATGGGCACCCCAGTTTCCCTTCCTTCCAGAGCAATCACGCCTGCGAGTCAGAGTCAGAGGGGAAGCGCGGTGCCTGCAACGGACTTTCCACTTCCTATTCCGAGTGGAGCACCACCAGCATACGATGATCCATATGATTCGCTGGGTAGTAGGGGTCCCAGCCCATTGTCTCCCACAGGCATCGACGTCCTGGATATACCAGCACCAGCACCTTTCTCATCCGCTTCGACGGGCGGGAAACCTTTGCCGCCAGGTCTTGTCCCGTTGTCCAGTCGCCATGCATGGAGAGACTCGTTGTCCGTGATCACGGGCTCGTCAAATGGCGCCGGTATCACAATCGATGTTCTCGATGCTGAGCCGCCACGAGCAGGTGATGGTTGGAGGAACTTAGCCGGTGGCTTTCTTGGTGTCAGTGAAGGACCAGACCCAAGTGAACAGAGAACCCCGTTTGGAACTGTAAGTTTGGAGACCACTATTGAGAATCTTGGACTAACGATATTTGTTGATACAGCCCCAAGTCATCCATCAAGGGAACCCCTTGGTCTCTGAGCGAGGGTCTTTGCACTCTATGCGTTCGCACCTGAGCCCCTACTCTGCACGTTCATCTTCAGGATCAGCACCTACATCCTTCGCACGTGCTTTCAATCTCTCAGGGTCCAATTCTTCTCGTCCTTCTGCAAATTCCGCCCACTCACGCGTAGCAACTATGTCCTCTGCATCGCTAAATTCTAGTCGACCGTTTGGTCCTATCTCACCATCTGTGAGCGCGTTTGGACACGCAGATCCCTCACAGTATATGTCCCACACTACTGAGGAATTTGAGGACCAGTTCGCGGAGCCGGGCAGCCGCACGTCGATCCTTGGTCCTATGCCTTCATTCTCCACTCATTCGGTGCTCTCCCAACCTACGATCCGTAGTGTGGGTGGCACAACGGTAACGAGCGATGATACAGAGGTGACGGGAACGACCGTTACTTTTGGTTCTGAAGACGTGATGAGCACGCCTACACCATGGTTTCACGAACGAATAAGGGCCGAGATTTGAGATGATCCAGCGCTATAGGATGCGTTCTCTTCCAAGCGCTGGGGTGGAGCTATTCTATTGATGCGATTTTTCCTTACTTATTCATCTTCGTGAACTAGATGCTTCATTATACTTTCTGCGATACCTCCTGACTTTTGCGATACCTATCATACTTGATCTTCTATGTTCGTTACGAAGAATACGGTTACCTCCTTACTTACGACTGATGATGCGATATCTTGACTACGATTCTTGTACGGTCCCTAGTGAATGATACACCGTCACTTGATCAATTTTTCGGCGCGCCTGTGCGATCGTTCGCCAGGCTATTCGAGTCGCAGTCCTTCGGATCGATGAGTAGTAGGAAATGGCATTTCTAACCTGATACGTACTAGTAGATGACTTCCTAGCTTCTTATAATCCGGCTCTCTTTCTCTCGCTCTAGGCTACATGTACACTACTACTTGGCTAGATTCCTCACGTTACTGCTTCATTCATATACATTATGTCAAGGGGCCTCTGAATCTATTACCGGCGAACACTCCAAACAGTCAGAAGATGCTATGCCAATTTTAGGCCTACAACCTATAGGCCAAAGGGACACATTCATCCTCCATCATATCATCAGGTGCAGGTGTAACAACACTGTTAACTCCATAATCCAGGCTGCGCATCCTATTCCCGTTCATGGCACTGAATTTGTATCTCTTGAAGTCTCAAATTTCACCATTCTAGATGAGTTATGCCGCTTTCATGTCCTCTGAACTCAGATCTGGCGTCCAAAGCATGACAACCTTCATTCTCATGCGAATCACGAGTCCTATGCACTCGTCTGACTCTTTGGCACCGATGTCAACAATGTACAGCAACCTAGACGCACGAGCACTCGTCCTTCAGCGCATCAGGCAAACACCATCACGACCTACTAGTCACCTTCGCATACCTTAACACGGGGACCGAGTCATTGAAACGTTCATCCAGTCTTATACCTTGCAATCTCAATTATTCCACAGCTTGACTATTGAGCTGCCCAGCTCTTCCGAGTCGCATAACCCAACAAGACTTCCAACCGAGACTTTGATCCTTCGATTGACTCACGTGGCCGTATGTCGTTCCTCTAGATAACCATCACTTTTATGATTCTGACCGCAGGGTTGTCCAACCAGACTACTAGTATCTACGTCGTTTTGTTTTCGTCGTCAACGAGTCACTGGAATCAATGTTAGGATCACCATCTCTTATTCCTTCCATCTCCTCGGAGGCTACCATGTTATTATAATGCAATAATACAGGATCGTAGCGCCGCGTACGGGCCAGTTCCCGACTCCGCCAGCTTATTCCGATTAATGTCTTTCTTCGAGCCTTTGCCCCAGTCCTCCCGACTTGGCCAACGTTGCTATTTGACTTGTAAACATACTCATGGCCTGTTGTATCACAATATTCGTACCGGGAAAGATTTCACTTCGATCTCGATTCTCAAAACGCCGCAAGATGACATCAATATTAGCCCGGGCTTTCGTGCGACGAACACTAGTGCGGCTAGTAGTGCCAGATAGAGCAGCAGCGCAGACTCCAGAGAGCCAGAGGAGGGGTCATCACACTGCTCAAATGACTAGCAATCATGGCAGGGCTGTTCTGGAAACAAGACGGAAAACGATCCGTGGATGCAACAACAGATAACAGATGTCGCCACGTCAGAACGTCGGCCAGAAGATAGCCGGTGCCTCACAGCACAGTGCGTATAATTAGATGTCTGAAACACGAGAAGAGACATTGCCACAGACACCCTGTTATGAGTCGTAACAATCAACTCGCCGTCAAACATCACACGACCTGTAAACCGCACAGCGCACGAGCAACAGCGGTCATGATGTTCAACGAAAGATCGCAAAAGCCAAGAACAGAGATTCTCAGGAGATTCGCAGTATGACGGATGATATATGATATTCCAGGCGCGGCAGGACCGCGTCAACATAGCTACGCCGGTTAGGCTGCTAGCTGTCAATTATGTAATATATGCCCCCCTGTTTTCACACCACCACTACGTACATGATGCATCAGGTGTGAGCAAAACATGGTACAGACAGCGCCTCTACGCAGAGCGCCCACCTTGACGAGCAGCCTCCTCAGCAAATGGATCCCATACGACCCGCTGATGAGTGAGTTGCAACTTTCCTAGAATCTCAGTGCGCCATTTGATAGCGACACAGTGAGAAGCAGAATTTTGCACCTTTAGTGACGACTTCACCGCCAATGATTCATTCGCTTTTGTGCCCTCCTTACATGAATCGCAGATCGAACTCTGGGCCTCCCCAACTACCAGGACCTCACGTACAGGAAAGTACTTCGAATAATTCACCTGAAAGTACCTCAGCTGCGTGAGTTCTACTTACTCATAATTTCGGACATGCTCATATCATCTCAGCGAGGCGCACAAGGTCGTAGTGCAAGAGGACCAACCAAGTACAAGTGAATTGTGAGCGATCAAATAAACCAAGGGATCACAACTGATGACGCCATACCTGCAGAGTGGATGTCATGAGGCAAGTGTTGGATGTTCTCAAGGACTCGACGATTGCCTCGAAGACTGGCAAGGACGACCGCTCTCGTTTTTGGGGACAATACAAGAGAGTCGCCGAGGAATACGATGACGAGTTCCTTGAGCGATATAATGGCGACATGGACATTGTGCTAATCTTCGTAAGTTTCGCATACTCACCTTTACCTTGTGTCGGGATTGACGTTCGATCAGTCTGGTCTGTTCTCTGCCGTCAGCACGACTTTTATTGTGGCCATGGAGTCGAAACTCAGTCCAGACCCCGGACGACACCACGAATGCCCTTCTCACACAGCTCGTCCAAATCGGACTGGGCAACTTCACGGCAGCGGGGGTCTACGGCAGCATCGCCAGCATCTGGCTGGTCGCCGTCCACACTCAATATAAGGATCCAATCCATTGCCTACGCAAGCTTATCCTTCAGTTTACTCGCTGCTTTCGGGGCCGTGCTAGGCAAGCAGTGGCTCGGGTATTACAAGTCGCACAGATACGGCCGTGGCTCGCAGGAGGAACGAATGAAGCGCAGACAAGAGAAGTTCGACGACATTGTCATGTGGTATTTTGATGCTGTCGTGCAATCATTCCCGATCCTACTTCAGTTCTCTCTTTTTCTCTTTGGAATTGCCCTCGGCGCCAATATGTGGTCCCAACAGTACACCATCGCCTGGGTCATCATTGCAACCACGGTCTTTGGATTTTTGTTTTATTCCCTGACGGTGATGGCAGCTTTGGTATCTCCCGCATGTCCATTTCAGACGCCGATATCGACGATGTTGCGCATGTTGTGCATTGACAGTGAAATCATTTTCAAGTTCTACCCATTTCCAGTCTGAATCAAAATCACAGAGGTCCTATGTCCAATAGTTATTTTGGCCTCCCGGTATCTTCAGCAGCTGGTGACATCGGTACACGGTAAGTTCCGTTTTCTCAAGCATGCACAAATTTTGACTGTTTCTTGCTAGGCATGCTACAATCGGTGTTAAGTGTGTTGCATGAGCAGTATGATGCATGTTGGACCCGATTATCAGAACTAGGAGGTAGCGTTCTTTGGTACTAATGGATAGCACACTCAGCGCTCATATCACTTCAGACTCTGTGTTTGCGGCCTGCTCATTCGCGTGGCGTTGTCTTCAGCCATTATTTGGCGCATTTCAGCGCCTTCTACCCTGGCAGCGCTCTCTGACAAGGGCCGTGGACTCTGAAGCACAACCTCCTAACCAGAACCTGGACGTTGTAGCCACGAATCAATACCTCATTAACCTTAAGCTGCCGGACACACCCACCAGCTCTCTCGAAGCACCTAGCATCAAGTGGCTGATCGAGACATCGACGGATCCTGAAGTATTTTACGCCACTGCTAGCTTTGTTCCTCATGTCGACTGGCCTCTGGATTTTGACGCCTCAGACATGGTGCGTCAGCTGTATGATGTTTACGCAAGCTGCTTGGACGTTCAGAGGCAAATTGTACCGTCGTTGGAGGAGAAGGCATCAGCATGTACCATGGCTCTTTGTCACCTATACTGCAACCGTCCTTCTTCAGGGACGTCCTGCCTATGGATTTCTTGATGAGGGAAGCACAGACTATAACGTGTTTTGCCAGATGTTGGGGAAGACGAATGTTAACGACAATGTGCTTGTTGCGACAACCAAGCTGTTTGATGTGGAATATAGATCACATTCTGACTGGCAGTCTTCACCAAAATTTGGGGCTTGTCCTGACTATGTACTCGAGTGGCTGTCTCACGTTCTTCCTTTCCACTTTGTCACAGGGTCAGAGGATGAAGATGTAAAGAAACTCGCCATGACAGTGATATCAAAATTCCTATCCTCTCCTTCCTTTCCATCGCCTCAAATAGCAGCTAATTGCACTCTTCTTGCTTGCGTCATGCTCGGGGTTCAGTTTGACAAGAAAGACATCGTTCGGGTCGATAAAAGGTGCTGTTGACTCAATTGAGCTCCTCTTCTATGCTTAATGAAGATATCATGTAGTTCTGCTCTGCCCCAACTTGCTGAGTCTCTTTGGATGCGATTCCAGAAAGTAACCCAGGCCCTCGGATGGAGGCGATCTCGACATTGCTATCCACCGAGAATGGCATTTCGATGACATCTATCGAGTGCTTAACCGTGATCTATTTCCACCTCCGTTGATGTGGAAGCTGGGCGTGTACTTGAAGATTTATTCACGAGCGATGTCATCCCAATGTGATGCTCGGGATTCATCTGCAGCGCTGCGAAAAGTACGGTGCTTCTGGTTCCACATAATATCCTCGCGCCCCGTATCCCCTTCCGACCCTGCCTGGTTGTGGCAGCTTCAAATCTCGTGGCAAGGCATTTCCCACTCGTCAGGAGACTTCGACTGGCTAGTGGACTACCTCAGCGATGTTTGTTTCAATGATCACGAGACAGCAGGTGACATCCTTGTACTACTGAGTAGTATGAGAGTAAGCTGCAGCCCTGCTAAACAACATCTATACATCGAGAAGCTCATCGCCTGTATGGGCAGCAGCATGCCCCCCCGTTTACGTCATGCCGCCCTTCTCGCCGCTCACAATTCCCGAGAAGTCTTGGCCTCCATCGATGTCGTTGATGGTGCGGACATGGTTTTGACCAAGTTCTCCCCTGCTATCCTTACCGCGGTTCGTCCGCAACCAGGTGCAACACCCACCGATGATGGCCCTGACTGCCTCTTCCATCCTGACCGCGACCTGTGCTATCTCGAACTTATTTTCGCCCTGGCAGAGAATTGGTCCCTGGGAGCAATATCTATTGGAGGATGGCCATATAAGTCGGTGCCGTAGCATCGTTGCGAGGTGCCGACGGATTGATATGTATACTTCTCTCAAGAATCTCAATGATCTCCAGCCACATGCGTTTTACCTAGCTGGTATCTTCCTCCGAGTGACATCTGGTAGTATGCCCCCTGCACCACTCCATGCTTTCGACGAGTGGGAGTGGGAGTGGGAACGGAGGTGTGAACAGGAGCGGGAGTGGGTGCAGGAGTGGGTGCAGGAGTGGATGCGGGCGCGGGAGCGGAAGGAGTCGGAGCGGGAGTTGGAGTTGCACCAGAAGTGGAACGGGAAGTGGGAGTGGGAGCGGAACCGGGGCCGGGTGCGGGGCCGGGTGTGGGACCAGGTGTCGGAGCGGGAGCGGGACCCGAAGCCGAAGCCGGAGCGGGAACGGGAGTGGGAGTGGGAGTGGCAGCGAGAGCTGGAGCTGGCGCAGGCGCAGGAGTGGGAGTGGGAGTGGGAGTGGGAGTACATGGTGACAAATGCATGGTATTCCGCTTCTCTCACAATCGGCAACCCACACTGTGTTGAACTCCTTTCCGATCTCGTGGAAAAAACAAAGACGATCATGGCCCGGGGGCGCATGGAAGTGTCTAGACTCGAGCGGCACATCAGAGCTGTGGATTATCTCATTCCGAACCTGGAAAGGCAGGGTTTACTAGAGCAGAGGAAGTGGGTCACCATTGCTGTGAAGGAGTTGAGAGATGTAGCCAAGAATGACCTTGAGAAGCTCAGGAAGGTAGTCGCTGGGCAGGCCGGGAGACACGTTATTAATCCCCTTATTCTAGCTATGATTTTGCAAGTCCCTTACAAAAGATCTACTCGGTTGATTTTCCCCCAGACAGCACATCGCTGGCGAGCGGCTCATCGGACACCACAACGGAGCTCTGGAACATACAAACATGGCAGGCGCAAGGAAATCCAATCCATTGTGGGCCTGGCGCTGAAATCATCTGTGTTCGGTAGTATTCCTCTGGTGAATATCATAGGCTTGCTATCGCAACAAAGATAAATATCCACACGCGTAAATCCGATGGCAACTTAAAACAGCTTGTCTCGGCTGGTTCGGTGAACCATGGAAGGGTCATAGGTGACTATCTATGTCTTTATGATTGCCTTGAATCCTACTGACACCCTTCTCATGTCCACATCTGACGACCACCAGGTTCGCACTTGGCGGCTTTTGGATCGACGAACCATCGCCATATTCAAGTACCCCAGTGCGGTGGAGTGTCTCCTTCTCCACGGATGGCAAGCACATTCTCAGCCGAGGTAGAGATAAAATAACGTCAAAGTAGGCAGTACCTTCGCTGGAGGACATTCTCGAGGACCACCAAATATAAGATTCTGATAATTTTCCGTCTCCTCGCATATTGATCCTCGAGCTTGATACCAAGGCTCGATGCGAGGCATGTGTCTAGCTTTCACTCCTACTACGTAATCTGACCATGCGTGATGGTGATGCAGATCCTTACCATCAACACGATAGCCTGCGACGCATGCCTAACTGGGGACTTGCCCACTGCTGACAGGCTGTTAATACAAGATATCGGCGCCGATGGCAACGTCTACAACTCTTATCCGAATCGCTCTTTCGTCGAGGCAAGAAATTCAGACTGGGACTGCGCACTTGATGATGCATTCAAAGTGAGATGCACCATTCCGCCGTGACCATTCTAGCAGACTCACTTATATGGTGATATAGAGCATCAGTATTCAGCCATCCCTGATGGACTGTATCTCCAAGAGCATCACCCACCGTGGAAAACGACAGTTCCAAGACGCGATGAAAGCATTTGACCTCGCATTCACACAAAGTACGCACCAAAACAACCACATCCTCAAACATGCTTGACTCTTTCTCCAGAGCTGCGCCAACAATACACTTCCTTTTTGTCTATTTGACCTTTCTCTATGTCCAGCGGGCCTCGTTCATGGTAACAATATCACATTCTATGTTCGGCCTCGAGAGCCTTCTGCTTTGGGGGTGCGTTCAACCGGTTGCACACCACAGGTTGGTGGCTCATTTCTTGACAGAATGTCATTCTTCGCTGTAGGATTGCTCACAATTATTTATATGGTCATTTCAGAAATAGATTTCAAACTTGTGAAAATAATTCTTTTTGTGGGCTGGTACATATCTTAGAGGGTACTTCCAGGAATGATATGAGCCAAGAATTACAGAAAATGGCGGTTGGGATGTG